GATTCTGGGATAACTCTTTTTAAGTTTATTTTTATTTACTGTATTTGTATACCACACCCCTCTCAGCCTTCCAGAGACTCGAGGCGGTTTACAAGGCAAAATTCAATGCCACAAAATCACAAGTACAATTTTAAAAATGTTAACATCAATAAAATCAGACTAAAACCCAAGGGACTAAAACCCAAGGGAGATTCACTGCCCACTGACACAGAAACCACCTGTATCATAAGGTGCATCATAGATGCCTTGTTAACTTCATATTTACCATGGAAAGGGGGTTATTATTTATTAGATTTGTGCCTTGCTTTGATCACAAAGAATGGCTCCCAAGGTGGCTAGCAATGATTAAAAAACAAGAAAAACAAATACAATTAAAACAAGATGCAGGTTGCAATAATAATTTAAATTGTACTAATAAATGAAAGCACTCTATCAACTCAGTTAAAATCTCTTTACATGGTGACCTAGCTTGAATGCATATAACCTGAGGGTGAAATAGATATGAAGCAGCTAGACATTTGAGCATTTGACCCCAGTTAAGTGGCTGCCTTTGGATTGCTTGCTTCTCTTACATGCACTCTAGGGAAAGCTTCTGTAGCAACCATGGGATTCAGTTTATAGTCATATCATGAGAAACAGAGTTTTACACACAGTTTCAGCTATTAAAGCCCCTTTTAGTGTGGTATTCACACTTAATATTGCCTTAATATTTCCCAGTACTAAAACATTTTGAGTTTGTTTGACATATAGGGCACTTCAGGATGGACAGCTGTTTGTGCTGTCAATCAGAAGTCAATATGCAGCTATTGCATTCTTTGCGCCATAATGGAATTTGTTTTTGTAAGAGGAAAAAACGACAGGACAACATTGATAGGTTACAAATGTGGGTCTTTCCAAGAAGACTTCTCACACTAGAAACTGGAAGGCATTCTGCAGCTACTCTATCTTGTATTTTCTTCAGAAGTTGTCCATAATAAGAATAAAGACAGTAGAAGCAGTTGAACAACAATGGTGACTTATGGATGGAGAAATTTAAAAGTCCCATAAAGTGAATCGAATGATATGTGTTCTGGAACAGCTGTTCCAGGAGCTCCAGATTTATTTCCTTATGAGACATGTTTGTGTGCAAACCCATGCTTGGGATTTTGCAGCAGGGGGTTTCCTGTTATAATTTGCATTTATAGGGTAAGCCACCTGCCAGTTATAGTTAGGATCCCTGGTCCCGCCCCCTTTTGCCTTTTGGAGGGAAGGGGCCTATTTTCAGTCACACAAGGAAGCCAGTCTATAGGACGCAGATCAGCTAGTCCCGTAGGAAAGGCTTCATTCCTCAAAACCTTCCGGGGAAATAGAAATAGCCGTCCGGGGATCATCCAAAGGTGATCCTGGGTCCATCCAGCGACCATCCAGGGGTCATCCAGTGACCATCCAGTTCCAGGGAAACAGAAGGAAAAGGTCCCAAACGCTCTGGCTGAGAGCTCACAGCCTCTCAGCCTCACAGCACCAGAACGGAAAACAGCCCTGAAGTTTCCACAGGACATCACTGCAGAACCACAGAATTCCAGCTAAACATCTTCTAGCTTCGTCTGGTAGGTTACTCGGTTTCCAGACGCATTTGGGGATCGGCAGTATTACCCAGACCAGCGAGGCCTAGGTGATGGATGGCCTGGGAGGGATTATAAAGAGTTCTTCCTTAGTCAAACCAAGTTAGTGCCAGTCTCTTAAAGACTTGAATAGTAAAGCCGTGAAGTTTTGTTTGAAGATTTGTTCCTTAATAAAGACTTTGTTGTACTTTTAAAGACTCTAAGGCCCATTACTTTTGGAAGTCTCTAACAATCTCTCTTCGGGCACCCCGGCTTCCCACTGGGTTTAAAGTGTGCGTTCTATAGAATAAAGACATTTTGTTTGGATCCAGTGGCGACAGAACAATATGACAAAATGTCACCTGAACTTATCACGAATTTTTGCAGACTCATTGCATTTTTAAAAGGCCTTCTCTGAAAGCACACTCCGGGCACTTTCAGACAGTGTCAAAATTTGGATTAAATAAGTGGGTTAAAAAAATCGCAGGACCTGACAGCATGTCCAGACACAGAGTTGTCAGTGCCAGGAAATGGTCCCCCACCATCCTGACAACTTATTTTGTAACAGATTTTACAGATCTGTAAGATGGATGGGGACACCTGGTGGAAGTTGTTTTTTTTAAAAAAAAATTCTCTCCATGTGGATATCTCAATGTACACACGCACATATTTCTTATCTCTCTCCTCACCCAATTATAAATTCAAGCTGTGTTTAATATCATACAGAGCAGAACAAAGGAATAGTTGCAGAGAGTTCTAATTGTAATTGCTTTCCAACTGTGCTTCCATTTAGCCACCTGTGTGCCTGTGGCTCCATTTTTTGACAGCCCTGATCAGCTGTTTTGGACTTTTAAGATGTGCATATGCACTGGGAGCAGTCCATACCAGGGGACAGGAAGGACATCACATGCTTTCCATGACCGCAGGGATATACAGTCATGCAAATAATATGCACATTTTTGGGCTGGAATCAGGTTTTAAGCTCACCTTTTAAACACATGCTTTTCAGCGGTTAAGCTGCTTCTACCGCACCTCGTTTAGCCACCCCTCCCCTCATTTTATCCCAGTTTCTTCTGGGTTTTAGTGCATGTGTTAAAGAGCCTTCAGGCAAAGAGATAGAACTAAGTCACTCTGGGGAGACCAATGTGGACCAATGCTGACTCTTTGTGTCTCAGTCCCTGGTATGGAAGAGGATGAGGAGAAAATGAGGAACAAGATGGCAGTAGCTTGGCCTCCTCTAGTAATGATAGTTTGAACGCATAGTTATTATTTCAAATGCCTGCTAAAACAAAGCTCTATAGGGGTGCTATGTGTGACTTTTCTTCATATCCAATACATTTATGTCCTCCTGTCTTGCAGTGAGTGCGCATACACCATATCAGCCAATATGTACTGCAACAGTGGGCTGCAACATCCATAAATGATCTGACTGCAAGGCAAGTTTGCCCTTTTATAATATTCTCTATGGAACACTGGTTTCCTTGTATCTGTGGTCTCTTTTCCACAAACATTCACTTGCCAGGCATCCCTTGTTATTTTGAATATGCCTTGTTTGAGGACCAGAAACCTTGTCCCTTATTGGGTTGGCACTTATTGTAAGAGATGCCTCTTTTTGAGGGTTTGAAAGCTTTTCCTTTTTAATAGGCTGAACAAGTCACCAAAACACCTCAGAAATGTGTGCACCATGCGATTCATGAATGTCCACAATAGATTAACTTTATAGTGAAATACATAGCTAAGCTAATTAAAACCAATACTTTTATTCAATAGTTAAGTAGGACACAAATTTGTTAATACGTAGCTATTTCCCAAGTGTCAGCCCTGGATGTCATGAATTTCTACTGTCCTATATGGTTATTTTGAAAAAATGGCAGCACTAGCATAAAACAGAACAGCTCTAAAATACAATTACAGTATTTACCAATTATGTATCAGTGACATAGAGACGTTGGTTTGGAATCCCACCCTGTTAAGACCGTAATTACCCATCAGAACTGAACAAGTGAGACTTTGTGAGTAAGCCCAAGTGCAGGCAGCAGCACTGTTTTAATTAGTCAAAAAGTGTTATGGGTATATATATATATTTCCCTATTAATATTTTACTGGCAAACTGAGTGATGACAGAGGGCTCTAGTTTCAGAAGGCCCGTTTCCAAATCTCAAGCCATGGCAAGGATTTAGTGCGCTTTGTTCAATGAAACCTAAGAGCTTGATTAGGATTTCAGCACCAGCTTCTCAAGTTAACCACAGTGCCAGTGTTATGCCCATTGTGCTCTCTTCTCTTGTGGATTAAGATCTTCTGGTGTGGAAGACATGTAGGTGCTCAGCAGAAGACTTTCATCCAAGACTGAAGAGCCTCTGAGCTATTCCTCCTGACCCTTTTTATCTTGCCATCTGGCTCTTGCTAATTGCTTTCTAGTATTCATGTCCTGAAAGTGGCAGAGGCAGCCAGTCAATAGCCTCAGCGACACGATGGCCCAGTTGTTATTCTGTGCCAGAGTCATGCCGAGGTGAAAAAATTCCACTCTACTTAACAACAAACCAAAAATAGCTCTGAAGGCAGAAGGGGTATAGAGTAGACTGCTTTCGTAATGTAGAAATAGAAGACCAGCCTCTACCTCCAACACAGAGTTGCTACTCATAAGAGGAAGGAAACAGTGGTGGCAGACCCTCCAACTGTTCCCATTTGGCAAAGACAGTGATAATTAATACTGTTTTCCCACTTTTTCAGCTTTTAACATGTGACACTCTCCTCTTTGGTCCCCAGCTTATTTCAATTGCTGCAAACTAAGGCTGAATCCAGACAGGCCTTTTTCCCAGAAGCATCCACATTAAAAAAAATGCGGATGTTTCTGGGGACCTGTCCACACCCACCCCAGAAAGCGTGTGCTTTCTGGGTTGAGTGTCCAGACGTTGCCTAGGGACTAGCCCAAGAAAACGTCTGGGGGCCCTACCCCCCCAAAGCCCCCAGACCCCTTAGAAAACTAATAAAAACTTACGTGCCCTCCATTACAAGCCTCGGCCAGCTCTACCAGCAAATGGAAATGAATTTGTCATTTCTATGTGTCGAGAGAGCCAGCCAAGGCTTTTCATGGAGGATGGGTAAGTTTTTATTACTTTTCTAAGGGGTCTGGAGGAGAGGGGATGGGTATTTCTACAGTTTACCGGGCTTATTTACCTTTCCCATACTGTGGTTATCTTTTCTTTCATGTTGATATCTTACCGCGAGGATAGGAACAATGTAGTCATCCAGAGGTATTATACTACATCTTCACTAGATATGCTTGCTGGGGCAGTCCCACAGCTTTTATACAGCTGCAAAATTCCCACTCCTATCCAACTGTGTAATGTAGTGACCCCTATTTTCAGAGACTCACATGAAAGCAAAGATCTGTATATCCAAAGATAACACTTCCATTACCATCTTCTCTGCTTCCTGCAGGTAGCAAGCACACTGCCTGTGTCCATTGTATTCTGCCAGGTCCCTTGCAGTATAGCCATCCACATCACGGATCCTGGGATCAATTTGATGGGAAATCAATGTCTGACAGCACTGCAAATAAGTACACAAACAACAACCATCATCCTTAATCACAGACAACCTACATGCATTTTGGAGTTTCCCTTTTAGGGTATTGTATTGTACTGTTGTTGTTTTGTTGTTGCCAGTGACCCTCCCACAAAAGGACAAGTATCTGTCATCAGTGGCAATGGCTTTGTGATAGATCAAATTGCATTGCCGGCTGTGAGGTAACTTTCATTCAGTAAAGCTATCTTATGTTAGCTGCACAGCTGTGTGAATTTGTCCTAAAGCTACATAAGGGGTTGACTGCATGCTACATTAATTACATAACATGTAAAGATTAAGGTTTCCCCTTGACATTAAGTCTGGTCATGTCCAACTCTGGCGGTTGGTGCTCATCTCCATTTCTAAGCTGAAGAACCGGCGTTGTTCATAGACACCTCCAAGGTCATATGGCCGGCATGACTGCGTGGAGCCCTGTTACCTGCCCGCCGGAGCAGTACTTATTGATCTACTTGTATTTGCATGTTTTCGAACTGCTAGATTGGCAAAAGCTGGGGCTAATAATGGGAGCTCACCCCACTCCCTGGGTTTGAACCACTGACCTTTTTAGTCAGCAAGTTCAGCAGCTCAGTGGTTTAACCCACTGTGCCACCAGGGGTCCACATAACATGTAGATAGCCCCTATTTTTTTGGGACTAATCCTGATTAGGACAACTGCATATGGATGGGGAAGGCTTAAATCTCTCCCCCACCCCCCAAGAAGTCTGTCTGTCTGTCTGTCTGTCTGTCTGTCTGGTTCTCTTGCTCCAAATCTGTCTTTTGTTCCTTGGGTCCACAGATGCTTAAAATGAAATCTGCCTTGGTGCAAACAGCAGGTGGATAATGCTATATCTTCAACCATTCCTAGCCAGCACAACACTAGGAATGATGAGAACTATAGCCCAATGTAAACTATTATATTTTGTCCTTTTCCGTTTATTAAAATACCTTATTATTTTAATAAAAAGGTTTGGATAGGATATTTTGGACTATGTCAAAAGTATTAAAAATTAACTAGGTATTTCAAATTACAAAAACGTGAGTCAAGCACTAAAAGGGTTAAATGGATGCAACGGCTCAGCAAAAGCTGCAGTTCAGTATAAGCAGGTGTGCCTGTAGCTTAGTATGCCTCAGTGTTAGTTGCCCTCAGTATGAAGAGGCCTCAGTCTGAGAAAGGCCTCAGTGTGAGATGCCTCAGTATGTGAAGACGCCAGTGTTAGACAGCCCTCAGTGAGATAAAGGCCTCAGCTTGAGAAAGGCCTCAGTGTGAGGTAAACCTCAGTGAGAGAGGCTTCAGTGTGTTAGTAGGCCTGAGTGTGAGTAGTCTCAGTGTAAGAAGGTCTGGTGTGAGAAGCTTCGCTGAAAGAAGCGCCAGGTTGAAGACCTCATGTATGAAGCTCCAGTGTATAAAGGCTGTTGTGTGTAAAAAGCTACTGTGTGGAGCTCCTTTGCAAGTTCGGTGTGAGAGGAAGCTCAGTAACAGCGAAGCTGTTTCTCTGCATGAGAAAGAAGCCCAGCGCGGAAGCAAAGAAGGAAGCATAAAGAACTTTGTGTTATGAAAACCTTGTTCTTGTAAATCGTGCAACCATATTATTTTGCTATAAAGAAAAGTTTCCTAAGGAAGAGATAACATTAGCCTGTGTGTTTTTTGTCCTTTTTATCACCTTTGGCTACTGGTGCTGGGTCACATTGCTGCTAATGGGTTACTCTGCTGTATGTTTATGAGGAGGGTGTTTTGTTAATAAGCCCACTCACCAAACTGACTACTCATATTATTTTAGGCGCCATATTGATATGGAACAATGAGTGCTACTGTCCAAATATCTGGAAGGCACTAAGTTGGGAATGGCTATTATTAAATTCTGATCTATCCCAAATGTGTTTCACTGAAGAAAATCCTTGGTGTCAGGTAATTTCAGAACAGGTTATGCTGCTCTGTATTTAGTCTAATTTCTTTAAATTTTGGCTGATAGATTTTCTGTGTGACTGATCAAAAGTGGGTGCAAAACATGCAACAATTCTATGAGTGATTTAATTGGAACAGTTTAACATATTATTGGCACTACACTTTGAATCCATTGCTCCATGTCCAAAGGTGCATCTACACTGTGGAACTGATGCAGTTTGACACTACCAATTGGCATGAATCGTTGTTATGAAATAATTTCTACAATGCCTTTTGCCTTTTCTGCCAAAGATTGCTGGTGCCTCACCAAACTACAACTCCCAGGATTCTATAGTATAAAGTCAAGTCATTAAGTTAAAGTGGTGTCAAACTGCATTAATTCTACAGTATAGATGAACCTTTAGTCTTTTTTAAGGAGAGGGGTTTAAGCTGAAATAACATTTAAAAATCATTTTCTACTGGACTCCACCATGATCTATACGTTGGACCCTGCATTAAAAATTCCTCCAAACTGCCAAAGTAGCACATCTCTACATTCTAGAGGAGGCATGAGCAAACTTCGGTTCTCCAGGTGTTTTGGACTTCAACTCCTACAATTCCTAACAGCTGGTAGGAATTGTGGGAGTTGAAGTCCAATTTTGGGAGTTGAAGTGGGAGTTGAAGTCCAATACATAGGATGCAGGATCAAATTCTGTAAACAACCAGATTTAGGCTGCAGTGAATCTGCTAATTGTCCACAAAATTGTCTCTGGGAAACGTGTGTGTGTGTGTGTGTGTGTGTGTGTAATGAGTCAATGTTAGGGGAAATGTTCAACCAAAATTTGAGTTCATGTCAAGTATTTGCTTTCCCTCCACACAGTACCAACAAATACCTCCAAGTGCCCATTCTCCGCTGCGTCATGGAGAGGGGTTCCTCCCCAGTTGTCCAACACAATTGGAGCACCAATGAGGAGGAGTCTGTCAGCAATAGCGGTGTGCCCCTCTCTAGCAGCAAAGTGCAGTGCAGTGGCTCCCTCCACATCCTGTGTGGCGAGGCTGAGATCAGTGAAGGTTACCTGCATGGAAGGAAGATTGTGTCTTTTGGGAAACAGTCCAATATAAGTAGAAATGGAGACTGTTTTTCTGTAGTGGATCTTTTTCATCTAATCTGGCTCTCCTGTGATCTTTGGTATTCAATTATCAAAATTCACAGGAAAAATTCCATATCATAAAACATACAAACAGTTTCTATAATCTGATTTCTATATGTTGATGACATAAACCTAATAGAATGGCTGGCAAAAGTCCTTCCTCAGTGGGAAGCAATGGGAATAAATGCCACCTCCCACTTGCTGCAGTGACCAAAAAAATCAACACAAAGGATCATATGGGCCATCTGATCTAACCCTTGGTCAGTGCGGAATCTCTAATGAAAACATACACAGCAAGAAGAAAGAAAGGTTTGGAGACTGCTAGTCGAAAAATCAGATTAGCTTTGGAGACTGCTAGTCGAAAAATCAGATCAGAAACCTTATATTGGAACAATGAGAGGTAAGGAACAGAACAGCACAGTTAAAATTTTCCACTAAAGAAAATGACAAAACCGACAGTGACAAAACCATATTGAAAATGCAGATGTCAAGAATATTCGCTTCTTTGAAATACAAAAAGTGTAAATTTACCAGCCAGATGACAACAGCATAATGGCCACCGCAGGAAGCTGCATGCAGTACGGTCATGCCATCATAGGCTCTCAGGTGCACATCAGCTTCACAGTCTTTCACTAGGAACTGCGTGATATGGAGGTGGCCTTCCTGGCAGGCAAGGTACAGAGGGGTTGCTCCGCTCCTGGTTTGCTTGTTCACACAACTGTTGCCGGAGAAAAGTTACCACACCAATTTATAAGTAGTACCACAGTGGTTCTCAGCCTGTGGGTCCCCAGGTGTTTTGGCCAACAATTCTCAGAAATCCCAACCAGTTTACCAGCTGTTAGGATTTCTGGGAGTTGAAGGCCAAAACGTCTGGGGACCCACAGGTTGGGAACCACTGTAGCAGCAGGACTTAATGCTTTGGCTTAAACTTGTTTATTTTCTAAATTTAGGTGCCTACATCATGGCCTTCAATTTTTCCAGAAAACTTTGTGATAATATATAGAAGAAAATAGTGTGACAATGTAAAATACAATAAAACCACCCTGACATAAAACAATTACCTAGGAGTAGAGAAGAGAGGTTGACCTCCCCCCCCCAAACAAAAAATCAGACAAAATTGGAGCATCAAAGTTATGACATAGTTGAGCCCCATCAGAAATTATCACTCAGAAATGTACTAAATAGTCAAGAAAATAAACACTCATCGATGGCATAAAAATCTAGTAAATGAGGAGCATCTGAGGAGAATTCATTGTTCCCTCATAGCAATGCTACCCCCACCACATGGGGGAAGCATCATTGGAGCCAAAACAACATGGGAAGCTTCCTGTGTTGAGACGGAAGCTTTAAATTAAAGGGAAGCATTATCATTAAATAAATATATAATACTAATATCGTGCTGTGCTAATAATATATTGTATTCATATATAATATTAATAATGTTACAATGCAAAACAATATAACACTAATAATAATGTAATATAATAATTATATATTTTATATTACATGTAATATTACTAATAATATTACAGTATAGTGGTATAGTACAATATGGGAATGTATGGTACTAATATTGTGCTATGCTAATAATATAATGTATTGTATTTACATATATCTTGTAAGCCGCTCTGAGTCCCCTTCGGGATGAGAAGGGCAGCATATAAATGTCATTAATTAATTAAATGACACTTCCACTCCAGTTGGAGGGGTTTCAACAGGAAGCTCTTCTGTGTTGTCTGTTGCCCATCCAACGTCCAACTGGCGTGGAAGCACCCTAGGACGTTTCCGGAGGTCCGTATGATGAAGTGGTTAGTTGGCATCAATAAGAACCTCATCACATTATCTTCAGGATTCACCATGCATTGTGGTGAATCCATTGGGTCCCATCAGAGTGTGTGAGGAACCTGTCACCCCAAGCCCCGTATTGCTTGACTTACCTGGAACCCCATCCCATGAGAGGAAACCTCTGCCGCCTGGTTTCCCACCATTGTTTTAAATGCAATATGGAAGTGACCTGCGTTGCTGTGGCAGCAGCATATGCTGCTTGCTCTCCCCTTTTGCCACGGAATCCGGCCAGAAGTACATGTGTGTCATGTAATGGGCACCATGGCAAAACAGAAGAACAAGAAGCATATGATGGGCAAATTAGCCTGTCTGATGAGGTCATAAGAGAGAACTAAAGGGATTTCAGGAAAAGTCCAAATGGCAGAAAAACTTTATATTACCAAGGAATCTAAATCTAGGAATACATTTCCCTTCTTTGGTCTCTAAAGAATTTTATTTAGTTTTTAGTTATACTCTATGGGTCACTGCCCAGTACAACAAAGGAAATCTAGACCAAGAAGATATTTGCATTCTTCCCAATGTTTTGCTTCTGCAAAAATATATATTTTTATATTCTTGATTTTTCTATTTAGTTTTTAAAGTTTCAGAACCTCAGAGAAATTTTTGGATGCATCCTGATTTGCGCTTATGTGAGAACATATGAAGAGGCATGCTTCATATGAATGAAGAGTCCAACATTTTGTTTATACAGTCCTTATAGGCAAGTTGCTCCAATTCTTTGGTCATATGGGTTGTCCTTTTCTGCACACATAGAAAAAATATTTTAACTGGAGTCACCAAGCAATGCACACACTTTTCCAGTTGGTCACAGAACCAATTTGGATAAGGTCAGCGAGAGACTAACTTGTGTCTTAAAAAGGCTGAGACCCTTAATATTAAAAATAGCTCCAGGGCTCATTGAAAAAACATGTAGCCATTTGATACATAGGATCACTTTAACTCCCATGGTACCATCCAGTACATTCCTGGGATTTGTAGTTTTGCAAGGTATGAAGAATTCTTTCCCAAAGAGCTCTCCTGCCTCACCAGATTATACATCCCCGGATTTTACAGGATGCAGCTATGACTGCCGTTCCCACAACAATATGGTAAATTAAGTTTAGGCCTGAGGCTGCAGTAAAAGTCTAATTTAAATTAACATTACCTGCAGTCAGGCATGTAGCCGGGGGGGGGGGGGGTATTGGGGTAACGATACAAAAGGTTTGCTAGGCTAGACCCTCTTTCACTCAGACTCAGCCCCCCCCCCCAATCAAAATCCTGGCTATGGGCCTGCCTGTAGTAAACCCCCATTTAAAATAACAATACACATACAGGAAGAACTGGAGTCATCATACAAGGCTATGCTACAAATATGTAATTGTGGCTTTATCACTCTTTAATTGCCAGCAGAGGGCAACCACATTCTTATATTTATCATTCTCCATAATAACAGGTGAGTCTATACACACACACAAACACACACAGTTTTAACTTTTGTTACTTGGTATATATAGATGTTAATGGTACTGTTCCATAATCTGGGCGGAGGCCACAAGGGGGCGTTAGACAGAGAAGGGTAGTCCATTTTACCAAGGGTTTGAAGGAGTAAATCCATTTCCATTTTAACTAAAAGTTTTGCTGTTTTCAGGACATTTTCTCCTTATACTTTTAGAGTCTTATCTAAAGTGTTTTCTGCATAACTATTGATAGTAACAATGACTAAAATGCTCAAGAATTGATTAGTGGTCATTAAAACTCTCAGTTCTAAGTAATATAGAAATCTCAGTTAAGGCTGTATCCACACTACAAAATTATTGCAGTTAGATACCAATTAACAACCATGGCTCAGTACTATGGAAGTCTGGTATTTGTAGGAGATTGCCACAATAATGTACAAAACCCAGGATTCCGTAGGATGGAGCCTTGGCAGTTAATGTGGATTATGGATATAACCTTATGTCGGGGGAAAGATGGCATTAAAACAAAGTAAATGAAAAATGACAGCTAAAGTTGTGCTGAACTGCTATAATTATGTACTGTGGATAGTCTGTGAGTGATAACTAGATGAGCATGATGCACTTTGCATAATGTAGTATTATGATATAATATTGTCGCTAGCAGTAGTGATATTATTTATGGCTACCTGTGACTTTGAAGTTTACATCAGTTTTCCCAAACCTTCAAGATGTGTTAGAATTAAGGCTTGACAGAGATATTTTGGGTGCATCTACACTGCAGAATTTATGCAATTTGACACAATTTTAACTGCCAATGATTAATGCTATGGCATTATGGGAGTTGTCATTTCATAAGGTTTTAGTGTTCTCTTCCAAAGGGTGCTGGTACCTCACCAAATTACAACTCTGAGAATTCCATAGCTTTGAGTTATGATCATTAAAGTAATATCAAATTGCATCTTTATATATTTACTACAAAGTAGATGCACCCATTAATGCTTGAAAAAAAAGGACATCCCATGAGTAGGAGAGAAGCAGGGGATAGCATTTGGAAGAGTAGATGCTCGTCTTATCCTGACCAGGTCCATCTTTGGGAATGGCCAGTCATCCCATGTCCTTTTCCCATCTTCTTCTTGCTTTTCCTTGCTTCCCCCCGTTTCTTCAATTGAGAGTTGGGTGACACCGACTCTTGAACACCGAATCTTCTCTCCCTTTTTGTACACTGGCAAGAAGGATTCGCACTGGCAGCCACCAGAAGTGGCCAAGCATCATGAGATGCCCTCTGTGAGTTTCCGTTTTGTCAGTGTGCAAAAACGGAGAGAACTCGGGAGAAACATATATGGGATGAGGGCCTAGGATTTCAAAATACCACTTAAATCCATAATACAAAATCCAGCCAAAATTGGCAAACGTTTCCTCAACTGGACATTTTCCTTAGATTTAGCTCACCTTACCCAGTAAAAGGCCTGGTACTGGTTGGACTATCATCCCAATTGGCTATCAGGTGGATTTCTGGGAGTTTTAATCCAATACATTTGGAAGGTAGCAGATTAGAGAAAGCTGGCCCACATAATAATATTTCATTTTGCAATATATATAGAGTTGGCCAGGGAGAGGCAGGTAAGAGTATCCTTTGTGAGGGGGTGATGCTGTGCTTTCGCATACCTACGGTCTGCAGCAACCAGCACTTTCAGGCATGTGAGATCTCCCTTGGCTGCTGCATAATGAGCTGGCACGGCTCCTTCCCGAGTCTCCATTGCAGTGTCAAACCCTGCTTGGACCAGCCACTCGACAACCTCTGGATGTCCAAAGCGAGCAGCTAAATGGAGTGGAGACGCTCCGGAGGCATCCTGCTCCTATGGAGAAAATTACAAGCTTGGGAGCAGCACTTTACCAGTTATTGTTGTGACACAGAGAACACTTGGAACCACCTTTGTGTATGTACGTGTGTGGCTGTATGCATTTTCAAACAATCCCATCCATTCATTTATCAAATGCATGAGTGGGATAACAGGATAACCTTCTCAATAGATGATCCCATCCTCTGAAACTCCCTTCCATCAGCCTTCCATGGGAGTTTCAGAGGAGAGGCTACGCTGGCCTCCTCCTTGCTTTCCTTTCAGTAGCAGGCAAAAAAATCTATTTGTTGAGCATGAGAGCCAGCATGGCATAATGGTTTGAGCATTGAATTACAACTCTGGAGAGCAGGGTTTGAATCTTCCACTCATCCACGAAACTCACTCTCTAAGGGCCTGTCCAGACAGTACCTTATTCCAGGAGCTTCCACAGCAAACAGGACGGTAGCCAGCCATCAAGCACTGTAAACATGGAAGCAATCTCTACAAAAGGCAAAAAACATTAGATTTCCAGATGCGGGAATATTGAGGTTTTGAGCCAAATATACGGATCTTTGCATATCTGTATGTCCCTGTAATCAGATATCACGGGATTGTTTAATCTAGGTTTGTTCCCAGGTTTTAGATGTTTGTTCCTGATTGCTCAGTTCCTAAAAAGAAGGGGACACTTGAGTAGAAGGCAAAACCTTGTGTATCAGAAACTTCATGAAACATGTGGAGGGCACAGGTTTTTTTGACTAGGACAAAGAACTGAACTTTTGTGGTGATTCTCCATATATCCACATCTCGTGGGTTTTTAAAAAAAACTGCTGCGGTTTCCAATGAAAGTCCAACAGTGACCATCTTGGGAATTTCTAAATCTTGATGCAACAAAGCATCAAGTTTAGACAACACAGGCAGAAATCCTGGGACCAACAGGTCTATATGTAGACCTCTTCTGAAGTCCTAGGATTTGTTTGCCCCTCTTTAAAACCCGTGATTTAGAGCTATCTGGAAGTGCCCTCAGCCTCAGAGGAAGGCAATGGAAAACTTCTTCCAAACAAATATTGCTAGGAAACCCTTGTGATAGGTTTGCCTTAGGTTCACTGTAAGTTGAAAATGATTTGAAGGCACACATATTGTTTTATGTGGCATTTTATTGTTTTAAAACTGTATTGTTCAGTTTGATTTTTTAACCCACCTTGATATACAAGAGAAGGTCAGTATACTAATGTAATTCATAAATAAAATACATTAAACAAGCACATTTCAGGTTATTTCACCTCTTTGCTAGTCATGAAATTGGTGGAAGCATAAAGGAGATTTACATGCACATCCCCCTGTTTAAACAGAGACCCTGTTTGGCCAAGCTTCCTGTTCAAATGAAGAACGCCTAAATGGATAAGATCCATCGCTCTGGCACAAAGCATCCTTTTACACTATGCAGTTAAAACACTATGAGTCCACTTTAATCACAACAAATCCCTACTGAGATTTGCACATTAGGGAGGATTAATTAGAATTCTCTTCCAGAAAGGTCTAGTAACACAGGATACAGCCATAACAATTAAAGCAGAATTAAAATACTACTGCTGTGTAGTGGAAAAGAAGCTAGGGTAGGAGTTGTATGGCCATGATTTAGTGGGACACAATTGTAACATTTTTCAGACATTGCTGTGCTGTGGCTCACATCAGCCTTAGTCAGCATAACCAATGATCATGAAGTCCAACACCATATCCATATCCTCCAATAATTGCAGTCCAGCAATATTTGCATACCCTCCAACCATCACAGTTTGGCAGAGACTGGTATTTGTTGTGTTTCTCTAAGTCATTGCCTATGCCACGTGTGTCAAACTCAAGGCCTGCGAGTTGAATTTGGTCTGCTGTGTTATTTTATGTGGCCCTCCAGATGTTGAATAACAACTTCTGTATTCCTCATCATTACACATTATGACGAGAGCTGATGGGAGTTGTGATATAGTAAGATTCGGTTTAGTTAGGATAGCGGGGTTTGAATTGAGGTACAAAACTTGTGAATATGATGTTTGACTTTAAAATGTTCTTTAACCTTTCCCCAACCTCATAGCCACAAATGCTGTTGGGTCGCAACTCTCATTATCCTCAGTCCACATAGGGGATAATCAAAAGTGATGGGAGTAGTCATTGAGTAACATTTGGGGGCCCAAACTGGGTAAAAACGAAAGAGCACTGACCACTATGTAAAAAATATATTTGGTTTTCTGTATCCACGGATTCTTCATCCATGGATTCAATAGCCCTGTGAAAGCAACCATAAGGCTGTTGTGGCCCTCCATGAAAATGAGTTTGACACCTCTGGCTTAGGTCAATCCTAAAGTGAACTTATCACAGGGTTCTCTTTGCAAGATTTGTTCAAAAGAGGGGATTTGCTTCCCTCTGAGATGTAATGGGTTTCTACAACTGAGCTGGAATTTGAACCCCAGTTTCCAGAGTCATAGCTCAAACCACTTCACCATACCGACTATTATAGAATAGAGATATTAGTAGGTACAATGTCTCCCATTTAGTAGGGACAGTCTCAATTAATACTCTATTGTTCTATTTCAGCTGCTTTTAAATTTTTCCTGTTTCTCTCTCTTTTTTCCACTTTCCTCTTAGTTTATTTCAATGCTTACAAACAACAATTGCAAATGAATTATTTCAGTGAAGGAGAAGAAAGCAAAGGTAGTACAGGGCCCTTTCTAGTAGGCTAAGGCAAAAGCAAACTGCTGCAATCTCTCATACTTCATGTGTTCTTCCTCAATAATAACTTTTGCAATCTTGACCACATTGATTCTGCTTAGCCACACATTTCCAAGTTTTAATTTGCGAGTGCTCCACAATTTCCATTTCTGTCTTAAAGGTTAAATGCTACTACCTCTTCATGCATTCGGTAAATGAGCAAAGGATGTGCTTGGACACTCAAAGAGATTATCATTTGAGGGGGAAAACATAATAGCTTGCTTTATGGAATCCCCATCTTTTACATGCACAATGTACCTTTTTTCTCTGATTCTGGGTACTTCGTCAATTACAGAAATCTCAATGGGAATGCACTTTTTGTCTCTACACAGAACATTCACTTTAGAGCACCTTGCAATATATGATCCCTCCTACAGCAACAACCATAATGAGGAGCAGTATGCTCGATATTGGAGTATCCTTGGAGGAGGATTAATTATTGACAATACTCCAACCTGAGACTGTTTATACCCAGGGGTTGCTGGTATTCTTTGCCACTGCAAACGCAGCAATGCAGACAAAAGCCTCGTTGTAAACAACCTTCGGCCTTGCACCTGATTAGGAAGCCCCTTGTACATGGGGCAGCTACCTTACCTGCTTGCTGTATCCTCCATCTTTGATCAGCCACTGCAGTTCAGCCAAGTTCCCCATGGCTGCAGAGTCATGTGCTGGAGTTGCACCATTGTTTGCTCTCTGATTCCCGGGAAGCTTTGCTTGCAGCACCAAGAACTTGACGCACTCGAGCCTGCCGGCTCGTGAGGCATGATGAACCAGGCCTGCCCCTAAGGAGTCAGTGATATTCCGACCCAATATGCCGTCTACGTGTAGCCGCTCCAAAGTACTTAAGTCTCCTTCCTTGGCAGCCACAATAGCCCTCTGATCGCCCATCTCTGAAAGCCTTGCTGTTGTCTTTACTGGAAGACCTACTTTCCCAGAGCCTCTTGTTTTATGTACTAGGCAGATGGTGTGTGTCTCTGGTTACCTGGTAAGGTACGGCAGGAAGCATATGTTCAGCACGGGGGCTTAAAGAAGGGGCACATGGAAATAACAGCTAAAGTAACTGATAAGAATCATGGATTTTATTAGCGCTTCTTCCATGTGTAGCATGCAGTCCTAAATTGCTAGTAATGCAATTGTAAAGCAGTCCTTATGCTCTAATTTGTAAAATATGAATTGCAGGTACAACACCTTTATGATGTACGTGATTATCTTCTATTCTGAGCAACAACCTGTTATTTTACCCATATTTTAAAAGCAACATTCATACTCATAACTACTATAGCTGCCATCCGAAAAGCCCTAACATTTCTTGTCTTGAATCATGATGTACATGTCTATAACATATAATTGATGATCATTTCAAACAATGATAATTCCTATACAATAAATACCACTGATGAATTAAACATCTTTGGGAATAACGGAGTTAGTTCTACAGATTGTTGCCATATTAGGAATGGGATGGATAGGAATTTGGATTTTTTTTTCCTTGAAATTTATAAAACACACAATTGGATATAAAAGCATCAGAAAGAACTTGATTTTTTTTTAAAAGAGAGAAATTGTGGAAGACTAAAGGTAAACCTACACTGTGGAATTAATGTTTAACACCATCACAACTGCCAGGAGTCAATGCTATGGAATCCTGGGGTTTGTAATTTGATATGGCATCAGCACTCTCTGGCAGAGAAGGATAAAGACCTTGTTCTGCTCCGACACTATCTTAACTACTTGGAAGGTGAACTGGCTGTGCAGGGAACAGATCAGACTATATAGTTGAATCAAACAAGAATTTATTAACTGACAAGAATTTTAGACTTTCTCTCCTCCTGAGCCTCACTACAAAGTCTTTGATAGACACAGTTCTGGCCAAACTGAGGCTCTTGAATCTTTATTTCTTCTTATTCTCTCTTTCTTGTATGGTGTTCAACTGTCTCTAAGATAGTCTCAATATTTATCTCTGACTGGACTTGAATGCAGCTCCAACTAGATGTACTATTTTGTAGATTTTATGGCCTTCTCCTCTTCACCTTCCAGTCCAGGCTAACTCTTCCAAGAACCAGAAGTGCCTTGCCCAAGGCTCCGCCCCTGAGGAGATTCTTAAAGGGGCAGGACAATGGTAGCTTCAAATGCAAAGAGACTGTCTAGACTAACCCCCCAGAAGTGTAAAATATTAATCCCTCTAACTAAAAGGGGCTTAACTAGGGATAAACAGTGAAGGTCTTCATGGGGCACAATAGATCTTGTTAAGACCACAACTGTCATGATTCTTTAGCATTGAACCATAGCAGCTAAAGTGGAATTAAACTTCATTAATTCCACAGCACAGATGCACCCTTAGATCTGCACTCCCAGGCTTAGATTGTATAAGTCTTGGTCATCATGTTTGTGGTGCTGAGTTAGGGTTGCTGTCTTGTTTTGTCCAACTGAACTACATCCATGTTTGAAATAGCTGTGCATGTAGAATGTTTTTGGTGATAAAGGGTGAATAAGATCTCCCTCTCTTTTGCGCATATGTGTTTTAAAATAAGGAACATTTAAGAGCCATACGTTTTTTTGGTAGACAGAATAAGGATTTTTGAGGAACTTAATGTTTGGGAGAACAAAGCAAGCAGGGATTTCAATGACTTCTAACATCAAAGTACTTCTGACTGCTGTAAGCCTTTCAATAAAGGCAAACCCTTGTGTTTCAATGTTGCATTTACAAAGAGGCTTGTTATGGAGCCGAAATGTCAAGGTTCTTGCAAGCTTTACCTATTTCATCCCTTACTGGAATGAGTCCAAGGTCAGACTTCTTCTGAAAAAAAAAAGGGGGGGGGGCTCTCCTAAAACAGCCCAGAGAGCAAAATATGTGGCTACATGCCCCCCAAGAAATGGGGGGGGGGGCATTTTGAGTTTTATCAGCTCTGCAGGTTCTTCAAAAGGAATGAGCAAAACCACCTGCCAAAGGAGATGTATAATGAGTAGATATCCTCAAAGGTCCATGACCTCAAATTAGCACCAACTGTACATCTACTGTAAATGCAGATATACTAGCTGGCTGTCGCTTTTCCATGCTACCAATGCATTTATGTGAATGAATTCACTCTCTACAATAGCAAGATTTTAAAAAAAAATCACATTGACAAATAAATTATTCAATTTATTTTTAATAGAGTGCATTTTTGTTGTAGAATTTTGTAAACTGAAATATTAACAATCCAAAAGAAAAATGCTTCCAGACAGAACATTCACCATTAAAACATGATTTCTTTACATTTCCAAGCTTGTCAGCTGTGAGCCCATTCCATCACAACACCCAACATTTAAAGGGAGGGGGGTAAATTAGCACATTCCTATTGTATAAATACATACATGACAGTCTTCTCCAGTCATTTTCTTTTCATTAGTGCAAACTGACCATTCTCTAAAAGTGCATATTTGAAATTTTCCTATGGCATGATTCACAGGGCTCCTTTCGATCTTCTTATTCAGTGATACAAACAAACACTGCTCCAGTAGCACGTGGTTAGTTGAGTTGCCAGAAGCACACAAAAAAGAAGTTGTCTAATTCAAAAAGATTTCTTCCTACAATTATGACAAAAACTCTAAAGCATTTGGCTCCAGATGCTGTGAAATAGTGTGCCTAGCAAGAATCTTTAGCTTTCAGAAATGCTTGATGTATTTTAGTATTTTGAACCCTTCAATCTATCAATAATAATAATAATAATAATACCCTGCTTTTCTCTGTCAAAGCACTCTAAACAGCTAAAAATAAAAACCACAACATTGTGTGAATTGATCACTAGCACATATAAACATTACAGGAGGATTAAACATTAGAAGTATTAAAATGAACAGTTCAAACCATCTGGGGCAACCTATCCAAGTAACTGGGAAAGCCCTATGAATTGTGTGCGTATATGTGTATGCACAGACAGAGGGAGGAGAGGCACTATGGATATGCATGATCACCGCTGAAGTAGAATCAGATATTGTTCTAGATAAAAGCACAGTTTCCTCATACAAAATGAACTGATAATAGATCCTATATAATTCCTAGAGTAACCAGAAGCCTGATTCTAGTTTCCTCTGCATTTTAAAATCTAGTGCTTGGACATTTCTCAGTGCTGAGGTGTTTAGATTCCATGTAGTCTTTGGGAGGAGAGAGGACATAAAATGGAAGCTGGCACAACATGGCAGCATCAAAAGAGAGTATTTGTCTACATTTAGTATGGGAATGCCAATTGTTCAAGTTGCTGAGAGTCATCTATTTATTCCTATGTGCAATCATTCAGTCCTACCTAAAAGGCCTCAACCACTGAAATAAACATCCACCTTGAATCTGTCATCCCGATCCCTTCTTAGAAACATAGATTCTCCTTCATACAGTCACTGCACTCAGTGAGCTATTATTTCTCAAAACAGATGCTGCAGCCAAAACCACAGAAGAATGACCTGATGCCTATGGATTGGAGGAATCCCAATCTACAAAAATTGAGCAGCAATTCAGCAAGAACTTAGCAGCCAAAAACAAATAGAGGTGTAAATTGCTCTCATTCTCCCAAACCTAAGGGGTGATACAGCAATTAGAAATGAGGTCTGTGGAAGCAATCTCCCAATTCTAGCAACCTTCTCCTTGTAGCTGGGTCACAGCCTGTTTCAAGTCTTCTACAATCAGGTCCACATCTTCCCTGCTTGTGTTGCGGCCCACGCTGAGGCGCAAGGCATTCTGGGCCACATCGTAAGGAATGCCACAGCTGAGCAGGATAGAGGATGGCCTGAGGAACAAACACAATAGTAAATTTTTCACCTGCAAAACGTTTTCAGGGGGTGGGATTCAGAAATGTACAGAGGAGGGAGAGAAAAGTTATGCAGCGTTCCCCAATCCTAACAAATTCCAAAATTTGATTAGTACACATGGAAATTAGCTCCAGACCACATCTTCAAAAATATGAGATATGTCTACCATATGTGAGTATGTCCAAAAATTTACCAGAGTCTATGCTGAATTCCGGATGTTGTTATATTACTATTGGTTGTGTGATCTATTCCTACAGTTCATGCCACAACACAAACTACCAAGCTCTGAAGAAATGTGCCTCTGTAGTGCATATTCACAATACATTTCTCTAGGAAAAGACTGCATCCAATTCTGCTTGGAACAGTTGTAGTTCACCTACATGGACTCAAACAATGATGGACCAAACTTGACACAAATACTCAATGTGCCCAAATGTGAACACTGGTGGAGTTTGGGGAAAACAGACTTTGCCATTTGGGAGTTGTAGTTGCTTGGGATTTATAGTTCACCTACAATCAAAAAGCATTCTGAACCCCATCAATGACAGAACTGGGCCAAACTTCCTACACAGAACTCCCATGACAAACAGAAAAAACTGTGTTTTCTGATGGTCTCTGGCGACCCCTCTGACACCTCCTCACAATCTCCCAAGGGTCCTGACTCCCAGGTTGAGAAACACAGCTTTAAGGGATGTCCAAGGATTTTGTATACTTTTGGTGACTTCTCTCAATTCATTCTGCCTGGACTAGTGCATTGGCATAGAATTATTCTTCCTTACTTTTCCAAAAGTTGTAATATAGACAACATTCTTAAATCATAGAATCATAGAATCATAGAATCAAAGAGTTGGAAGAGACCTCATGGGCCATCCAGTCCAACCCCCTGCCAAGAAGCAGGAATATTGCATTCAAATCACCCCTGACAAATGGCCATTCAGCCTCGGCTTAAAAGCTTCCAAAGAAGGAGCCTCCACCACACTCCGGGGCAGAGAGTTCCACTGCTGAACGGCTCTCACAGTCAGGAAGTTCTTCCTAATGTTCAGATGGAATCTCCTCTCTTGTAGTTTGAAGCCATTGTTCCAATGATCCAATAAATGAACAAAAATGGCATAAATTGGGATAAAATGGGTGAAAAGGTGTATTTTATGAAAAGATGGAGTGGAAGAATGAGATAAGGAAGAATCAAACCTCTGAATGTGTGATTTCTACATCCTCACTCAGTGCTCCCAACTTAACTTTCCTCACAAGTGGTAATATCATATTTTGCTGTGAGCATATAAAGAGATGCTGTTTTGAGCTGCTTGAAAGAAGTATGGATAGAGAGGGAATGAATCAGTGACTGAGTGATCTGGGTAGACATTTGCTTCCAAAATGTGATTGTATGTGCATGCACATGGAAAGGGATGATAAAACTATCTATATTTTCAGGGGAGCAGATTTGCATGGAGAAGCCTGGAATCCAATTCCATCCTGTCCACAGATTTAGCCCCCAAAGTTATGTGTTTGAGTAGTCTGGACACAAGCTCACCACATCAATATGCTTTCAGAAATGATCAGACATCATACCGAACCTCTGAGCATTCTGGGAAGATTTTCAAAATAAAGATATACAATGCAAGGTGCTTATGTTTCCACTGCACTCTCCGGTATCTAAATATGCAGCACACAACAGCAGGGGAGCAAATTGCTGTTCAGACATTTGATCCGTCACACTCCACTATCCTCTTTATTCAGAGCCAAGAAAATAACCACTTTCTGATGTCCTAATCCCAAGTACTTTGCAGATCACCTAGTTCACATCATTAGTAAGACCTAAAAGAGTATGCAAGTAATACTCAGCAACAGAAGATTAAAGTTCTCCGTTAGGATACAAAGACACTCATCACCTCGTGAAATTAAAGAAGATTGGCCAGCTTCCGGAGTAGGCTCAGCTCCTGAGCAGCTGACAATGGTTAGCAACAGGATCACTCTCTCAGCAGCCTCCTCCAACTAGCCACCCATGTGAACGCTTCTTTTTTCATCTAAGGAAACAGGTGCTGCTCTTTCTCTCTTTCCACACATCCTGCTCTTAAAGGGCCAGTGGCAATCCAAAATTAGGGGAAAGAGAGCACACATTTCTGCTTGAGCTAGGGCAGCTCATTTATGAAGGGCCAAGATTAGTCATCTAACAGATCTGATCAGCACATTAGAAGGGCCAACAAGTAAATTAACACAGAGTTTTAGTCTTGCAGGCATATTGATATGGTACATATAAGCTGGGCTTACACAAAACTGTTTTTGTGATTATAACTAACTACCGTATATACTTGAGTATAAGCCACCCCAAATATAAGCCGAGGCACCTAATTTTACCACACACAAAAATGGGAGAACTTAATGATTCAAGTATAAGCCGAGGGTGGGAAATGCAGCAGCTACAGGTAAATTTCAGAAATAAAAATAGATACCAATAAAATTACATTAATTGAGGCATCTGTAAGAGTAAAATAAATGTAACAATAGAGTAAAACAATAATAATTAGTAATAATAATACTAAAATATAGAGTAAAATAATAATAATAATAATAATAATAATAATAATAATAATAATAATAATAATGTAACAACAACAGGTGGGAAGAGAGGAAGTGGGAAAGACTGGGGAGAGGAAGGCGCCCATCTTGGCACAGCAAGCCAGCTGTTCTTTCTTTTCCCTCTATTTTCCTTTCTTACTTTCCTTCTCTTCCAGTCCCTCTTTCCCATCTTTCCTTTTCCCCTAACTCCTCTCCCACCTCCTTTCCTCCCCCTCTTTTTCTTCCTTCCTTCTCGTGTCGCGTGCAAGAGGAGGGAAGAGAAAAACTGCACGTGAGAGGGGGAAAGAGAAAGGAAGGTGCACACAAGAGGGGGGGAAGAGAAAGGAAGGCTCAAGTAAAAGCCAAAGGGGTTATTTCAGTCTTTAAAAAGGGCTGAAAATCTTAGCTTATACTTGAGTATATATGGTATATAGTTTGCTGAAACACTGCACAAACATTTCAATAAACGGTAATTGTAGTGTCGCCTCCTCTGATGGTGTCTTCCAGTGCGGTTCCTACTCCCCCCACAACCCCAGTGATGCCACTTGCTCTGGCCATATCACGAGAAGACATGACCCTCAAGAAAATATAATAATGCTTGGTAAGTTAGAATGCGATAGGAAAAGAGAAAGAATACATTCTACATAGGCAGACTCAATTTAGGATGCCATATCCTAGAATCTGCAAGACCTAAGGAGGGTGGTTGAAGATAGGGCATTTCATTCATAAGGCTAAGGTTCTGTGCAATATGTACAGCAAGGTTATAATAATGATTTGTGGGTCGTGATATTAATGTGATCAACCGTCTATTCCTAGAGCAGTTTGGAAATGGGAGGCATTAAGAGTTTCATAAATGTTTTGCTGGAAACAGTATGAAAACATATAAGGGCTGGAACTGCAGCCTTAATTTTTTCTTTTTCTTTGGTGGTATATAATTACTAGTCATTAAGAAGGTAGGGGCTGTGAGAGTTAAAATTAGATATCTCATTTATAAGTAGTGGTTTGAAAATTACCACTACAAACTATATTAATTCTACTGTGCCTCTATATGGCAGAATTAATATAGTGGGTCACCACTTTAACTGTCATGACTCGGTGTTACGGAATTATGGGAGTTATTGTTGAAGACTCTTAGCTCAGCCACGAAACACACAGGGTGAACCTGGGCAAATCACACACTTTCAGCCCCAGAAAGAATAGTCATCTTAGGGTCATTATAACTTTGCAACAATTTGAAAACACATAACACAATTATTTGCAAACCTCCTCTTTCACTCTTCTGTATTAGACAGAACCACCCCCTTCTGTGTCACAGAATACCCCAGTCCGCATCAGCATTCCTTACTTGTCCCCATTCTTGGAATGGCATGCAGCTCCAACACTGGCAAGCAAAGTCTTACAGTGAGACAGTATCAGTCGACCTATAAAGAAGACAAGGCTCAGGCTTGTTTCATGAAAACAATAAGGACTAAAGTATAGAAAAACCCACAGGAACACTTTTCAACCTCCATTCTGTCATTAAGCTATGCACAAGCTATCATTTAAAAAAAACAATAACCAACCCATATTTTGACTATTTATCAATAAAACTAATAAAAACCAACAGCAACAACAAGGCAAATAATTTGTCATATTACAATATAAATAGATTGCAAAGGTAAGGTCTATCTATAATGCTAAAGTCAAGTGTTAAGACAAAGTGTCGGTATGGTGTTTTACAATTAGAATCCCCCAACTTAGTAACTCATTCCTGGGTTTTAAAAGGTTAATGAATGAAACTTGCTTTTTTTGCTTCTTACATCATTCCAAACTTTTCAGATGCAGCTATATAGGCAATTTCATTAAAAACACGTAACAAATGTGCCTCTTTCAGGCCAGGTGGAAATACCAGCCTAAAGAACAATGTAGCAAATCGCTTTGTATTGGTCACTGAGTGGAACATGGGTAAAATCCCTTAACCCACACTGACAATGGATCTATAGCGAGATGGATGGGCCTACTGCCATCCAGATGTTCACATTCTGTGCCAGTGTCTGGGGTGAGGGGAATTAGAATCCAGCAATACCTGGAAGCTCACACGTTTCCCCATTTGCCAAGTGGAATGACACAAGCTTAGCCCCACATAGATTACCTTGCAATCCTGAGCCCATTATTGAAAAATTGCTGGTGTTGCACAGTCGCTTAGAGCCTTTTAGGCGACAGTTAAAATGGATACCTTGTTCTTCAAATTCAGCCTAGAATACGAAAGTAAGTTTCATCAAGAAACATCGGCTCCTGTCCCTTACTCCACTTATCCACTCCAGGTCTAACAGTTATAGGAATGAAGTCAGTTTGAAGGAAACATCTTACAATTGTATGAAAAAGTATGGTTATAAAGATTACAGGGTTGGGAACGAAGTTTGGAATATTTGAAACCTTCCCAGCAGGTTTAAGATGACTGCCTTAAACAAGGGTGCAGAAGCTGTGGCTCTTCAGATATACAAGATGTATAACTCTCACAATTCCTAATTACTGATCATGCTAGGCAAGGTTGATGGTAGCTGTAGGTCAGTGGTTCTCAATCTGTGGGTCCCCAGATGTTTTGGCCTTCAACTCCCAGAAATCCTAACAGCTGGTAAACTGGCTGGGATTTCTCGAAGTTGTAGGTCAAAACACCTGGGGACCAACAGGTTGAGAACCACTGCGTAGATCAAAACATCTGGAAGGTCTTCTCAGTTTACCTGTGCCCACCTGTGAATCTCAATTGAAGCCACCCCTTACTTCTTTCTGACTACAGCACATGTCTCAAGGAGACACTCCTGAAAGAATTTCCTCTCCTCATGCTTAGGTTGCAGATCCATTTAGAGGACACACAAGTGAGTAACTTACTTCAAGCCTCTCCTCCAGGTAGTCTCGAACTTTCCTCATGTGAGCTTCATAAACTTCACAGTACTTGTTTACTATTTTTGCTGCCTGAAAAAAATGACAATAAGAGCTTCACATTTGACTATTAGATATAAGCACAGTCTTAAAAAATGAGGAAAATAATGAATGTTCCAGTCCATTTAGATGACTGAATCAAGAAATAAGGCCTGGTGCTGAGAAGATGAATAAGCTAACATTGTCAGTTGAATCAGAATGGAAATGCAATGGTTGCCTTTTTTGGCTCCTAAGAAGGTGTTTCTTTTGTCATGTGGAAGATTTGCTAGACACTGCAGAAAGTCTACAGGGCACAGTTTCACAGAAGGATATTCCCTTACCGTATATACTCGAGTATAAGCCAACCCGAATATAAGCCGAGTCACTTAATTTTACCACAAAAACTGGGAAAATGGATTGACTCAAGTATAAGCCGAGGGTGAGAAATTCAGAAGTAACTGGTACATTTCAAAATGAAAATAGATACCAATAAAATTACATTAATTGAGGCATCTAATTGAGGCATCAGTAGGTTAAATGTTTTTGAACATTTATATAAAACTGTAATTTAAGATAAGATTGCCCTAACCTTCTTCAATGTAAATGTGCTTACGTATCCTTCCACTAATAATAAAGAAAGTAAACTAATAAATGGAATAATAATAGAGTGAAATAATAAATGGAATAATAACAATCATAGAGTAAAATAATAAATTTAATGATAACACTGATTAAATAAAATAATAAATGTCATAATAAAGTAAAATGATAACTATAATAATAATGAATAGAGTAAAATAATAAATGCAATAAATAATAATAATGACAGAGTAAAATAATAAATAACCTTGATTCAAGTATAAGCCAAGGGGGACTTTTTCAGCCTAAAACAAGGGTTGAAAAACTAGGCTTATACTTGACTATATACAGTAATTGGGTTAATATTGCTATAACTCCTGGATAATAATAAAGAAAGCTCTGTGGAAATTCCTGAAAATAAGTTTGTGAAAAATTGTCTGACTCTAGATGTGACAATTCATCAGTGGGAAGGAAAGGAAAGGAGGAAGACCACAAAGGAGGGGAGAATGAAGAAAGAGCCTGAATACAAACTGGGAAATGTTCAGGTAAAATCAAAACACAACGAACTGGAAAATCTCAACACTTCCAGAAGATTTTTTTTCTTTTTCTTTTTGGCAAAGCCCTTAGATTATTTGTTTTTAAAGAATGCATTAAATCAAGCATACTGTACAATAAGATGGCATTGTGCTTACCTTGCCAAGGCCAGCAATCATTGGTGTGTTCTCAGTCCTAGAACAGAGAATTGCCGAGCTTTATTCCTACACCACAACAAAAGCTCCATAAGCACTGCTCTTTGATAACTAACTCCAACTCTCTGGATAACTTGCAATGCAGATGGAGTAGTGAATGATCAGACCTACGATGTTAGAGTTGCTCTCCATGGGAAAAGTATGATCTTCTTAAGCAAAGATTATGGCCACTAATAAGAAGAAGGAAGACAGTGTCTTGAAACAATTATTTTCTCTCCATCTGCTATTGAATAATTATGTACAATTTTCTGGTTGTGGTGACTTGGAAACTTATATTTTCCAGCAGTAAAATTCTATGTATATTCTCATTTTTTTCTCTGAGTTTAAAATACTGTACAAGTTGAGACTTACAGGAAAATATCTTCAGAATAATATCACTTTTCTCTTTTCAGCATTGTCTTTTGGATAAGCTTGCCTGCACCGCATTTTTAAAAAAAAGATATGCATGCCTTTCTCTTTAAGAGGTGCTCTCATTTGTCTTACCCTGGGCGGAAGTTCTGTTCCTGCCCGCCTCCAAAGAGCATGGGATGGAGAGGAGTAGTGACACCAGGACCTCGGACATATAGTGCTCCAATACGAGGGGCATAAAACTGTAATGAAAAATCAAAAGGTAAAGTGGCCAGTTTAAGTAACAGCTGGAAATTGCAGTAACACGGATTTTATCTAAATATTATGGAGAAATAGTCTAATTCTAAGAGCTGTTTGGAAGTGAAACAGACTATCTTTGGAATTAGCAGGCTTTCTGTCAATTGAAGCATTTAAGTCAAGGCTTGTTAAAGATTGTGGTTGCATGAGGCAACACAGCATCAGCACTGAACACAGAAGAAAGCTAGGTGGCTTCCAAGGTCTCTTTGCTGACTCTTATTTTAATTTGGTGTTACATAATTTGGTGGAGATGAATCCAACAAGAAATTAAGGCTCATCAACCAAACAGAAGTGACATGAATAATTGAATAGTGCTTCAGGGGTGTGTGTGCCTTCAGGGTGCCTGTTGATTTATGCCAACTTTGTGGATTTCATGGTGCTTACTTAGGCAAGGAATATGCAGAGGTGGTTTTGCCAGTTCCATCCCCTGAATTATAGCCTACCGCACCTGATATTCATTAGCAGTCTCCCATCCAAGTATTATCCTGCTTAATTTCCAGAATCAGAAGGTATCTGGTCCTTTTGCAGTGGTCTCAACCTTTGATCTTCCAGGTGTTTTGGACTTCAGTTCCCACCATTCCAAACAGTTGGTAGTTGGCTGGGATTTCTGCGAATTTAAGACCAACACACTTGGAGGACCAAAGGTTGAGAACCACTGAAGGAAGGTATAGTAGTTAGTAGGCAGAGATTAGGGGTCCAACGTCAGGCCATAAATTATTAGAGCTACTTCACACATAGCAAAAGACAGACCTTTGACAGTAAATTTTCTATTTGAAAAGCATTTGTGTGTTTAAAACCACACTTTGGATGTGCTTCCAGATGCTTCAGTTCTTAAATTATGTCTGGAGATTAACTTTAATCTTTAAGTGGCTGCTGTCAAAAAAATAATGGAAAGTTGTAGTTGACTACTATAATGGAACAGGATAGAAGCCAAGTCTTCATTTGTTTTAAAACTGATCCCCTTCTTGAGGGCAAAGAAAAAAAAATACTCAATCATCTCAATCACTAGATGGGCTGTAAACAGAAAGAAAGGATAGGCCATGTCCTCTTTGTTTTGGTCATTCTGTGCCTTCAAGCCATTTTTGACTTATCATGCAGTTTCCTAGCAATATTTGTTCAGAGTGTGTTTGTCCAGGCCTTCTTCTGAGGCTAACTGCCATATAACCCAGAATATCAAGGCAGAAAATCCAACAATATCTGCTTTGAACTGAGACGTCTGAGTCCACACTGCCATATATTCCAGTTCAAAGCAGATAATGCAGGATTTTATTCAGCTCTGTGGAAGGGGCCTAAGAGACTTGCCTGTGCTCTAAGTAAACAATGTGGAAAAGCTGACAATTTTTCTCAGCATTACTCCTACATTGCCATCTAGTGGAGAAATTCTTGCAGTCACGCTCAACCCAAAAGTGTAGGTACAGGCAGTTCCTGGGTTTCAAACATGATAGGTTTGTTTTTAAGTTGAATATGCACGTAAGATATTTCTAAGTGTAACTCCAGCCAATTTCTTTTTAGTTTTTGATAGCATAGGGGAGAATCCCTGTGGTGTTTGTTTTGCTGTCTGTGTCCCTGTTCAGAAATTTTCACCTAATTGTCTGTCCCTCTGACAATTGGATTTTGAAAATTTTGGCTTGTGGAAACAAGGATTGGTGATAAAGTGTCAATGGAGACACCTTTTCCCCCATGATAACTCTTCCAGAAGTGAATTTCTTTTCCTAGGGGTAGATTTCCTCTCACTTCACTGTCTCATTCCTGTTTGTAACTAGTAGTCGTATGTTTGTAACTCGGGAACAGCCTATATGCTTTGAAGCTGCCGAGATTAAGTGTTAATTTGCATCAGATGTGTGAGTTTCAGTACTCCAAGATATCAAAGATGAAAATAAAGACTAACTAAACTCAATTCCTTTTATATACCTTTGCAGATATATTGTACGTATGGTAAAGGGGAGGCACTGCCAAGAAGTTGAGGATTTTGCCACATTTCCACATCCTCAGTGTCACTGAGTTGCATATCAAGATACTGCTGTTAAGAGCAGAGTTAATATAAAAGGCATTGCCATTTTCTGACATTTGAGCATCTGGCCTAATGTGGAAACCCTTTTGCACAACATATTAAATTAGGTTATTTGTTAATTGAATATCATTATATTTTTAAAAGGCTATGTGATTTTAAGCTCAAGTAGATGATGAACCATCAAGTACCATCAAGTAGAAGTGGTGGCAGTTAAGAACTAGATTGTCTAAGTCAGGAAGCAACACAGTCTATTGTTGAAGGACCTATTTTCATTGAGGAAGAGTGATTTCAAAAGGATACAAAAGGACACTTTTCAAAAAATGCATGTGTTCCAACAAAGAAAGAGTATGAAACATGTATTTGAATATAAAATGAAAAACATAATATGAGGGAACTTATCACTACTCAAAATCTCCAAAATTCAGAAATTATTTTTCTCAAACCGATTTCTTCAAAATCCTGTTGCCGCAAATCTCAGATAGCCTTATACGCCTGCAAATTATTAAGAGCTCCTTATTAGGCAGTTCACCACAGAATTTCCCGACCTTTCCATCTCCTGCACTTTACACGGTCCCTTTCTGGCACTTCTAACACTCTAATAGCCTAAGGACATTTGCCTCCTAGTCCAGCCCTCCAATTGTCGCACTTTCCCTGGCTCTTCTTAGGATTCATTGCACTTAGTAATTATGAACCAAACCCAGCACTTTATTTGCTCAGCCATGATAGCTTTTAATCGTTTTTATAATGTTAGCTGATTTTATGTTTATTGATTTTGATATTGCTTGTTTTTTATGCTTATTTTAACGTGTTTTGTTGGGCATGTCCCTTTGTAAGCTGCCCCGAGTCCCTTCGTGGAGATGGAGGCGGGGAATAAAAATAAAGTTATTATTATTTATTATTATTCAGTAGGACTTGGGATGACTGCAGATACAGGTTACCTACATCCACTGACATTCCTTATAGAGTACAAGAACCACAGAGAGAAGAGTCATACCTTGTGCCCTACAATTGTGAGGTAATCCACTCCCAGATCCTGTACGTCCACCAGACCCTTCCCAATCATCTGTGCTGCATCTGTATGGACCAAGATCCGGGGCAGACCAGATGCCATTCTCTTCTGATTGATGGCTTGAATCTGCTGGCTGAGTTCAGAAACAGGCTGGAAAAAAGGAAGATTAACTAACAGAGGTCAGGAGGCACCGTCTCTATCAGAATACTGGAACGTTCTCTTCCAATTTCCAGGGACCATAGCTCTCAGTGGAATGGTTTAAATGGAAGGCACTTATTTGTAATTTTTACAGATATTACATGGTTTTCTTAGTAAGTTCTCAACTGCTCTGGGACTTTTTAATCAAACAGTTAAGAACCTACTGTAGCTCTGAAGTGACTCATTGCTTTACTTTACTATATAGCTCCAACGTGACTTATTGCTTTACTTTACTATATAGCTCCAATGTGACTTATTGCTTTACTATACTATATAGCTCCGACCTGACATACTATTTTATGTTTCTTTCAGTCCTTCTCACTCTTTACCTTCCAGTACCACACTAACAGAACACACTGTCACCTCATGAAGCCAGAAGAGTCAGGACTGAGGCTGCACCCCTCAGAAAATCCTTAAAGAGGCAGGGCGAGGGAGGCTCTAAATGCAAAGGGGAAGATACTATCTAAACTTACCCTCTTCAGAACTGTACATACAATGCTAAACCCACCTAACTATAAGGGCATGATTAGGGGTAAATAGTGAGAGTTTCTCTTGTCTTCGGCCAAATAAATCTCTTATAACTTTTGTCTGCTTTTCAAATAATACTTAAACTATTTTGATTTTGTTCTTTCTCTGTATTTTTATTACTACTTTGTATTTTGAAGCCTTGTTTCTGTTTATTTTATTTACACCTTTAATACTTTAAACATTTAAAGGACTTTTTTTCATATCAGGAACAACTTGAGAAACTGCAAGTTGCTTCTGGTGTGTAAAGGACTAATAATCTAATACTTAATTAAAACTAACAGTGACTGTGTAGCACATAAAAGAACAAAATATGTAACAGGAAAAGACTATGAAGATATAAGTGATGGAGGAGGAGCAAACGGTTTTCAGAAAAGCCTTCTGGTATCACTGAAAGCAAATAGCCTTAATTAAGAAAGAATCAAGGTGAGCTCAGAACAAGTATTTTATAGAATGAAGTGGAAATACATGCATAAACTATAAAGACACTATAGTTAAAACTGTTGGAGTGAGAAATTTGGAGGGAAGTGAACATTACGTCTCATTATTCTTTGGGGAAATCCCCACTAAGGATGCATTTTAACTTTTACATTAGACACACAAGAAATTAAGAACTTGTGACACAAACTCACCATGATAACCCCAGTCTCATTATTGGCCAGCATTATGGAAACCAGACAAGTAGTTGGACGAATAGCGGCAACTACATCATCCACTTCCACCTGAGCAGTTGCTTTACACACTGGAACAAAAGTGGCTTCTGAAAATCAGAATGTAAAAAGGAAAAAGTACTACATGTAGTTAATCCCATAGCTAAATACGTTAATCAAAAACTACTGTATTCTTGGAAACGGATTCAAAGAATGCCACATAAGCACAGACCCATTGCTAGAAAACAGAGTTGCTTTAGTCCTGCAAGATACAGCTGTCATGAGGGAACTGTTGGGAATTTGGATTAGAAATAGCATTTTAAAAGGGCAGAGCCCCAAGTTAATTTGGGGGATACAACTTACAAGATATTTGGGGAACTGTAGCCCCAAAAAGGAAATGTTCCATATTTGGATTAAGGTAAAGGGACCAGCTCAAAAATGATTTCTCTGGAAATCAGCTTGACACTTTAAAAAAAAGTGAGACCAAAAAGGAAGGAATGAAAAAAATGGTACCGCTTATTGTCATTTATTTTGCTAAAGCCTGAGTGTATCCCTCTGGATTTTCCATTGTTGTGATCCTGAACAACAGGTAATACCAGGGATCAAACCTGGAATTGTTTGAATGACAGCAGGCATTTCTCCTAAGGCTGAGATGGGCCCATATGCCCACATGATCCAGATAATGAATGCTGGTGCTGACTACTGTATTTATGCCTTCTGGAAAGGTGAGAAAGGAGGAACCAAGGAAGCAGCTGGAATTAAAGCTCATAACCATGGACATCTTAATGAAAATACTGCAAGGCAACTTTAGGCAATTGCTATTCAGAGGATGTAGCCCATAAACAACAATCCAGTATGCCAACAAAGAAAAATCTGTGTTTGCTACTTAGAAAGTAAGTAGGGGAATAGAAGTAGGACATTTCTCTGAGTCTTCCCTTGAGGACCAGTGCTCACCAGCCTCATGTTCCTTCACTAAGTGTTCAATAGGGAGACGGACTGAGTCATGTTCAATGCAAGATGTAATCAAATGTGGACGTGTCCCTGAGGTCTTCTCTGGACTTTTGCCTGGTCCAACAAGCCTTTGTTTGTTGTTTTCCTTAAAATCCATTACAGCAGTATGGATCACCAAATTGTTTGCCTGCAGAAAAAGAAGAGGTTGCCGTTCCCATTATTATCATTAATTACAATAGATACTCTAACTGTAATGCACTTTGCTCACTGAGAGCAAAGACAGAGGATTCAAAACTATTACATTGGTGTGAGATCATGGCATTGCAAAAACTGCTCTACTGGTTGTTTTAAATAAAAGGTAAATCAATTCTTCAGAAGACTTTCTTGTGATCTGACTGACTGGTATTTGCTGACACTTCCCTTGCACCAGAAAAGGAGGAGAGAGGTCACTGCAACAAAATGCCCATCAGGTCAGAAAACATTGACAGAAAGCCAGCAAAGTTTGTCATGGACTGCTCTCTTCTAGTAAGAACAAAACAAATTGCATTAGCAGCATTGAATCTCACCTCAGTCCCTCCAGAAGTGAAGATGATGTCCTGAGGCTGACCTCCAACCATTTTAGCCAGGCTTTCACGAGCTTCGTTTATGATCTCTTTAGCCCTTTGTCCTGTGATACCAAAGAACACCAGATAGACTTAATAAAATGTCCAAAACAACCATGCAGTTTCTTAAAAGGAGGAATAGCCTTTTCAAGAAGGGTGTTATACTGGATACAGAATAAATGCTTTGCTGGACTCAGCCAACGCTTCCCCCAATTAGGTAATTGTTTCCACCTTTCTCTTGTTAAAAGATAGGCAATATCTTGTAGTTGGGAGACCACATGCATACCTTTTAGACTATGGGGCTGCACCTCTATTATTATTATTATTATCCAGACTGACAAGAGTTTTGGAATACAATACCTCAGATATCAATATTGTAGATAAGAAAAAAGTTTGGATTATTGATGTCGCCATACCAGGTGACAGCCTAATTCACTATAAACAACAGGAAAAACTCAGTCCTTATCAGGATCTGCAAAGGCTCTGGCATAAACCAATGCAGGTGATCCCAGTGGTAATCGGCACACTGGGTGCCGTGCCAAAAGATCTCAGCCAGCATTTGAAAACAATACACATTGACAAAATCATGATCTATCAGCTGCAAAAGGCCACCTTACTTAGTTCTGAACCCATCATTCAAAATACATCACACAGCCTAAACACTTCGGAAGTGTTCAACTTGTGATTTTGTGATATGTTTGCTGTGTCATACTGTGTTTTTGTGACATTTAAATAATAATAATAATAATAATAATAATAATAATAATAATAATAATCTTTCTTTATATCCCACTTCATCTTCTGAAGGGACTCAGGGTGGCTCACAACATAAATAAGACAATAAAATACAATATAATAAATTACATAGAGTAGGACAACCAAATAAATAACACAACCAGTCAATATAGAACAACAAGATACAATACAAACAAGAAAACAAATTTAACAATACTAACACTTAACATCACTGTTGAGAATTAGGAGATCAAATTGTTTCCAAAGAGACCATCACACACACATACAAAAGATTTTTTTAAAACTTCCCTCATATTACCCCCTCCTTCACTTATGGATCTCTTCCTATTTCACATAAGGGCAAAAATAACCCAGGAAGCCAAAAATATGTCAAAGTAGACTGAAGGTGGTCTAATCAAAATGGGAAAAGGAAAGAATGAGAGCAAATATGAGTCTGGATAACCCACACAGAGCAGAAGTCGTAGGGAGGACAAGAGCTAGTGAGGGGAGTGTGTAGGACAACATGAAATTAGAAAGAAGAAAACAAGGTTGGAGAAAGGAGAAAAATAAGAAAAGGGTTGTGTGGGTGCTTGTGGGCTGGAGGTGGGGGCGAGGAATCAGAATTATAAATATTCAACATATGTTTATAGACTCAAATCCCAATTCTATCTTGCGTTCAGGTTCTTGCCTTCGAGTCTCACCAGTTTGTTTTTCAATGCTGTTTTTTAAACTCACCAAAGCAGAAATTTTATGAATCGGCCTGTCTCCCACGGCAGCTATTTCTTGATGGCATGGATATTTATTTTATTTTCAGTATTTCTACCCCGTCCTTCTCAACCCCGGAAGGGGGACTCAGGACGGCTTACATTTGGCAGCAATTTGATGCATACATTTTCTAAAAACTCCAAAGGCATCATGAGAACTCCAGAGTTTGGATGACCTGCACTAGATTACAGCTTCTTAAACTGTAGGGCTTGGCCTTAAACGGGGTCCCCTTAGCTCGATGTTGGGGTTATGAAACATTTGGCAACGGATTTCTGAATGTCAGCCATTTACACAAATCTGATAGCAATAGATTCTAAAACAAATGCTTCAGCTGTGCTTCATAAAAAGGAAAATCAGTCTATTGTCAAAGGCTTTCATAGCCGGAATCACTGGGTTGTTGTAGGTTTTTCGGGCTACATGGCCATATTCTAGAAGAATGCTCCTAAAACATGGCCATACAGCCTGAAAAACCTACACCAACCCACAGAAAATCAGTCTGCTTAGCAAGCCTTGCAAATGCTGTTATTATCAGTAAATGTTTGATTTGATACCTATTTTATATACCTACTATATACCTGGAGTTGCATAAAAAATTTCACAGGTCAAAAGGGATCATGAATGGAAAAAGTTGCCCCATAGTAGATGATGCAGTCTTATACAATGCAGGGCATTCATAGATGCAATGGAAACTAGGGCGGACAAAGACCTAGAAAAACTTTCCCACAAATCTACTGCTTTAAAAAAAAGAAAAGAAAATCCTGTTTCTTTCACAACATATTTATTCAAGAAAACATACGTATCTGCTCTTACATAACTCACCCCTCATCTACTATACAGGCACTACTCATTGACTATATATTCAGCCTGACGTTCACTGCCAGCAAACTACTCAAAATCAGGAATGTGTTTCGACAGCAGATGCAATTATATCCCAAGGAAACTCTCTCACAGAACACTTCTATCCAACCAGACTCTCACCTTCTGTGTAAGAGCTGCTAGGATTGCCCCAAGCTTCATGCATAGCTTCTGTGACTGTCTGAATCACTTCGGGGGCCAGAGGAGTAGTTGCATTGTAATCCGCATATATTTTTCTGCAAGAAGCAAAATGGAAGAATTATTTCAACAGGAAAATATGCATGTACAAGAAAATTGTTCACTCAGACTGTGATAACTTGGTTATAAAAAGAGCTTCTCTACACAACTTCCACAGGGATTTGAAAACCTATCTGTTCCAGTGTGCATTTGAATGATGATTGGTTCCTGTTCATGAATGCCCAGCCCTAATTTACTGATAAGGTTATATTAAGAACTTTACCCTCAGCCAAGCCCTATAGCTTGGAATCATGAAACATGAACAAAAGAAAACATGGAACTAGAAATCCCTTGACTTGACAATAGTTCTATACTCAAACGCCAACGTTGCCTGGTTCAACAGACTCATCTGCTGGGCTTGCTAATATAGAGAGAAAATCATGCCTTCTCACCTGGGAGTTCTTGGCTAATAAGTGTTTTGACTTTCGTAAATTCTCCTGAGAAGCTCTATCTTAATGGAACGTAAATCTGTCCACCTGGACTTTCATTTTCATTCTCTGAGCTCAGATCTGCTGCTGACCTTACTTCCCTAGTGTACTGCCTTTCAGGAATGTGGCCTTCAGACATAGACGGCTCATTTTCAGGGCTCAAAATCTCTTGCTGGCTTTCCTGCTGACATGTAGACCCATGATCCCCACTAACAGGCCCAGAATCCCCAGAGAGATCAGGTGCAGGCACAAGCAAAGGCTGAACCGCCAGCAGCAACTGCCGCTCTGGGCCAGGGGACAGTTCCATCTTSTCTCCTGCATATGTCATCAGTTGGGGACCCCTCCCCCCAGCACCAACTGCCACTCTGGGCCAGAGTGGGGGGGGGGGGCAGAAGACAGTTCCACCTTATCTCCTGTGCTATTCTAATAATATAATATAATGTAATATAATATAATACAATACAATATATTGTATATACATATAATATTTATAATATTATAATGTAATGCAATATAATACTACTACTAATATGATATTATAATTATATATTTATATTACATGTAATATTACTAATAATATTACAGGATAATGGTATAGTACAGGGGTCCTCAAACTTATTAAACAGAGGGCCAGGTCACAGTCCCTCAAACTGTTGGAGGGCTGGATTATAATTTGAAAAAAACATGAATTCCTCTGCACACTGCAAATATCTTATTTGTAGTGCAAAAGACACTTTAAAATGATATAATAATAAAAATAAAGAACAATTTTAACAAATATAAACTTATTAGTATTTCAATGAGGTGTGGGCCTGCTTCTGAAATAGGATTGTTGTTGTATGCTTTCAAGTTGTTTAAGACTTAGGTTGACCCTGAGCGAGGGCCGGGTAAATGACCTTGGAGGGCCGCATCCGGCCCCCGGGCCTTAGTTTGCGGACCCCTGGTATAGTACAATATAGTAATATTTAATACTGATATTGTACTATGCTAATAATATAATATATTGTATGTATATATATCTTGTAAGCTGCTCTGAGCCTCCTTCGGGGTGAGAAGGGCAGCATATAAATGTCGTAAATAAATGAATAAACTACAATACCAACACACTTTCACTTAGACAAAATTCCACTGAGTTCCAATAGGATTCACATCCAAAGTAAATCATAGATCGTAGATCAAACACTCAGCATTTGTACAATCATTGAACAGTCCATCTCTCACGTCCGGGGAAGCTACAAACCTGGCTGATGCAATGTTCTCTTTCAATATACATCCAGTTTTCTCATTGGTCTCCCATCCTTTGTTCACTTGTGCCATCTTCATTTGGTCCTCCTCTACTTCCTTCAGAGGGAAAATGTGCATACAGTTAAATGAAGCATGCAGTTAAATAACACAAATGAAGTGAGGGTGGCTGCATGAATAACTGGTACAATTACTCCACCTTCAACCAGTCACCCCATCCTATTATATGTGCTATCATTCCATAGCATTGAGCCGTAGCAGTTAAAGTGGGATCAGACTGCATTAATTCTACAGTGCAAGTAAAGGTAAAGGTAGAGGTAGTCCCCTGACATTAAGTCCAGCCATGTCTGACTCTGGGGTGTGGTGCTCATCTCCATTTCTAAGCCGAAGAGCCAGCGTTGTCCATAGACACCTCCAAGGTCATGTGGCCAGCATGACCGCATGGAGCACCATGCAGGTAGTCTCCTGCATATGTCAATGACCCCAAGGCCCCTTCCACACAGCTGAATAAAATCACACATTTTTTCCTTTGAGCCGGAATATATGGCAATGTGGGCTCAGATAACCCAGTTCAAAGCAGATATTGTGGGGTTTTCTACCTTAAAATTCCAGGTTATATGGCCGTGTGGAAGGGCCCTAAGTCTGCAAGGTTTGAAGGCAATAAATGTATTTATTTATGCCATTCTTTAAACAGCTTTAGCAATGTATAACCGCAGAAACGTATAAACGAGACAGCAACTGCCCCCTTCCTCCACTTTCAAACTCATCTGTCAAAACAAAAGACAGAGAATATATGCAAATTTCAAGGCTGCTATTGGTTACTGCGTGGCATAATGCTTCACAGAAGAGCCAATCCTCGCCCTCCAACTCACCCGACAGCTATTGGCTGAGGTGACTAAAGAGCCCTCCAACCGCTGTCTAATCAAGCCCGTCTAGAGTAGACGAAGACGGAGTCGGTTCTGAGGGAAGAAGCGTAGTAAGGGGCGCGCGCTTGTTCTCAGCCCGTCACATGACGACATCTCCGGAGAGAGCTGATTGGCCCGCGGTCGAGGTAGGCCTCGACCGCGGGCCAATCAACTCGCTCCGGGGGTGTCCTCGCGTGTCCGCCGAAGACACCGCCAAACGCGGAGCAAAGGGCAGTTAGCAGAACGATCCCAACTTGGACTGATCGCGCGCGCTCGATGACCAATCAATTGGTGTCTTCCTCGAGCGTCTATTGGCTATTGGTCAAAGGCCGTGGTGTTACTAGCCAATGGAAGGACAAAGGCTCCTGCCCGCCCCCTGGGAAGCGAATTGCGCTCTTCTCTATCTCCGGCTTCATTTCCAAAGGCGGGAGTTTCTCTGTCTGTGGTCTTCCTCCTTCGGCCTTCCCTCCTTCGAGGAGGCCATGTTGTCGCTTCAAGAGCTGCGGAAGTTGTCCTTGTTTTTATGTATACATACATATTGCATAAATTCTTTCAATATATATTGGATTGCATACATTCTCTCAAGGAGCCCCCGGCGGCGCAGTGCCGGCAGGACTGAAGACTGATAGGTTGGAGGTTCGAATCTGGGGAGAACGTGGATGAGCTCCCTCTGTCAACTCCAGCTCCCCATGTGGGGACATGAAAGAAGCCTCCCAGAAGGAAGGTGAAACATCAAATCATCCAGGCGTCCCCTGGGCAACATCCTTGCAGACGGCCAATTCTCTCACACCAGAAGCGACTTGCAGTTTCTCAAGTCGCTCCTGACGGAAAAATAATTTCTCAATATACTTTTCGATTGAATTCTCTCTATATATGATATGCACATACATACTCTCTTTCAACATATGTACAACTTCTGCATATATATATGTATATGTATTCTCTTCAGTTGCATAAATATTGCATAAATAGGTTGGAGGTTTGAATATGAAGTCCAAAACACCTGGAAGGCCCAAGTTTGCCCAGAGGAGAACGTGGATGAGCTCCCTCTGTCAGCTCCAGCTCCCCATGTGGGGACATGAAAGAAACCTCCCAGAAGGAAGGTGAAACATCAAAATATTATTTTCAGTTGAATTAATTATCTGTATAATGTACACATAAATATTATCTTTCGACATATGTACACCTGTACATATATATGTATATATAATATAATGTAATATAATATATTGTATATACATATATTTATAATATAATGTAATGCATCTGGGTGATACCAGATGAGAGACTCCCCCCTGGGCACTCAGAAGACTGGGCGACTTGGAAGGCGCTGAACAGACTGCGCTCTGGCACCACGAGATGCAGAGCCAATCTTAAGAAATGGGGCTACAGGGTGGAATCCTTGGCATGCGAGTGTGGAGAAGAGCAAACCACTGACCACTTGCTGCAATGCAACCTGAGCCCTGCTACATGCACAAAGGAGGACCTTCTTGCGGCAACCCCAGAGGCACTCCAAGTGGCCAGATACTGGTCAAAGGACATTTAACCAACTACCAAATTTGCAAAATCTGTGTTTTTTTCCCCCTTTTTCTTTTTAATCTGTGTGTTTGTTTTGCTCTGTTAGAATTGTAATACAATGGTTGCTGATGACACGATAAATAAATAAATATGCAATATAATACTACTAATAATATAATTATATATTTTATATAATTATATATAGTTTGAAATATATAGCCTCAATTACATTCTCTATACATTTAAACATATATATATATATATATATATATATATATATATATATGTTTGTATATCTGTCTTTCGGCAGGCCTACCCAGACAGTCTTTAAGCATAAACATGAATTGTAATGCATGTCCTTTGTTTAATCTCTGTTTTGTCGGTTTTTATATGTATTTCATAGAGATACGTTTTGAGGTGTAACTTTTATGGAGGTACGTTTTAGTGTGTGTATTTGTAGTGTTTTTGCTTTGTTTATGAGGAGAGCCGGGTAAGAAATAAAATTATTATCTAGCTGTCTATGAGCTTGAAAGGATATATATGTGTGTGTGCATGTGTATATACATATAAATTAATGCAATTGAAGAAACTCTTTAAAGCTGTCGTTCATGACCTCTTTCAATATATATGTAGAACAGGCCTGGGCAAACTTGGGCCTTCCAGGTGTTTTGGACTTCAACTCCCACCATAGGCCCAAGTTTGCCTGGGGTAGAGAGAGAGATGGGGATGGTGAGTGACAGTTTGAAACCATAGAAACGCCAGGAAGCTGGCGCTGCCCTTCTCCAAGATGGCGGAGGGGGCGTCGCCTTCCCTTTTCCCGCTGCGTAGCGCTCTCTCGCGCTCGTCTACCAAAATGGCGGCCGGCGGGCCTTGAGTCCAGAGTCTCTGGCTGATGCCTCTTTCCGCTGGCTCGGGAGACCTGAGGCAAGTCTTGGGGATGAAGGAGAGGAGGAGGCCCGGTTCCCCCCGCATAGCGATGCCTTCCCTCCTCCTCCGAGGAGGAGCAGCCGGGCGCTCAAGTAAGCAAGGCTTCCCCGCCGCCTTCCCTTTGACAGCCCTAAGGGGTTGTTTCGTTATGATCCATTTCAGAAGACCAAAGCTTGCCTTTTGTGGAAGCTGCTGACAGGGGGCTTGCAAGCAGTGGCGGCTATATCTTGACAGTCAGCTTTCATATATATATTCTATCTTGTGTACCCGGCGATGCCCGGGTTATTTGAACAAAGCATTGTTTGTTTTTGTATGTTAGGTAGCATCAGGTCATTTGTTCCCCAATATATATGGCAAGGTTTTTGGTTTTTTTAACAATTAGACAAAAGGTTTAAAATTTGCAGTTCAGGACAATTACAGTGTTCAATGTTTATGGTAGTTTTCCTCAGATTTAGTTTTAAATGGATGTAAAATGCAGTGTTTTATATATTATATTTTAGTAATATATTCAGTTTGATGCAGTGTTACATGTCATTGGCAATTTGTTCTGCTATTTTTTAAAGGGAAAAGCCAGTATTTGCTTTTGTTTTTTATGAATGCTCCCATTAGAAAATGCATAAGGATGTGGGTGAGCTTCAATTTCCAAAATTGTGAGTCAATCACCCCCCAACCCCACCAGTATGCAAAGTTGACTGTATTTAATTTGTGTACCACATTTGTGTCACCTGCTGGGTTCCGTGTTCTCTGAATATGAATGAACTATAACTCCTGGGTGCCAAGGTAAATCACCCTCAAACTCCGCCTGTATGCAAAGTTGGTCATGTTGGGTCTGCGTGCCAAGTTTGGTCCAAATCCGTCATTTCTTGGGTTTAGAGTTCTTTCTGGATGCAGGTTGAATTATAACTCTCACCTGGGTGAGTCAGTCCCCCAAACCCCTCCAGTATGTTCAGTTATTTAATAAAAAATAATAATAATAATAATAATAATAATAATAATAATAATAATATGTTCAGTTGGTATAATATGTTCGGGGTTCTGTGTGCCAAGTTTGGTCCTGATCCGTCATTGGTGAGGTTCAGAGGGTTCTCTGGATGCAGGATGAACTACAACTCCCATGTGGGTGGGTCAGTCCCCACCCCCAAAACCTCTCCAATATGTTCAGTCGGTCAACAGGGTTCTGTGTGCCGAGTTTGATCCAGATCTGTCATTGGTGAAGTTCAGAGGTCTCTCTGGATGCGGGGTGAACTACAACTCCCATGTGGGTGGATCAGTCCCCACCCCCAAAACCTCTCCAATATGTTCAGTCGGTCAACAGGGTTCTGTGTGCCGAGTTTGGTCCAGATCAGTCATTGATGAAGTCCAGAATGCTCTCTGGATGTTGGATGAACTATAACTCTCACCGGGGTGGGTCAGTGCCTCCCCCCCCCCCCCAAACTAATATTATCCCCCACATTTACCATGCCATAAACTCTATTTACTGGATATTGATATTGGAATACAGTAATTGAAAGCAAACTWAGACTGTTATTATTATATTTCTTTATACTTCGCTTTATCTTTCCTTCGGGAAACTCAAAGCAGCTTAACATAAAAGCATCAAGCATACAATTTAAAATATACAAATATGCAAACATTAAAACCGGACTAAATATAAACTATTTGAAAATTCCCAGTTAAAAACCAATTAAAGACAAACTTAATATAACACAAATTTAAAGTACAGTAATAATCATGTATTTTATTTTTTATTGTAAAGTATTGCTTATTTGATTTTTTATTATTATTTTATTATTATTGTTTTTGCCAGTCACTTGAGAGTTTCTGTTGCTTGAGTTCTGGTTAACTAAGAATCTCTGTGTGTTCGCGCGCTTGCATGCACACGTACACACACATTCACTCACACATATGCATATCTATACATATAAATATATCTGGAATTAAATTTCTACTTCTCTGTAATAAACTACTTTATTGCAATCCAGGATGGCAGTATCATGCATACTTTCTTGGCAGTCAATTGCTCCATGAATTTTAATTCTCAAGATTCTTTTGTCGGATTGCGCAGCACATATGAGATTATTGTTATTTCRAGTTAAAATGTAATTTAACTGGATCCATTTTTTCCATGTGCATGCTAAGAATTTTGAGAAACTGAAATGGAGCTGATAGAGGAAGTGTTTTTCCACCTTCTAACAATGAGCAACTTTGGCGGGGGGGGGGGGGRGGTTGAGAAAACTCCTAGCTGCTTTGAATTTTTGCATTACAGATGTATTCGCTTTGRCAGTACATATATTAAAACTGGAACAAGAAGATTAGCATGGCCCCTGTGTATTCATGGATTTAAACAATCATGACTTGAAAATATTTTTTAAACCTAAAATAAGCCTTTGATTTTGCTATTTTTGTGCAAGGGACACCAGTTTATTAAGCTACTGTATGTAATGGGATTATGATATCCACAGGGTGTCTTGGAACCGAGACTCAATAGACATTGAGGGCCCACTGTATTGTAAATATATCAGATCTTAGAAGACTGACCACAATAAAACTCTAGTTTTTCTCATCGAAGTGGTCAGTGGTTCATCTGTGCTGGACCTTGACCAAGATGGAAATCATGCAGCCCTTCAGCTATTGCAGTGGTTTTCAACCTGTGAGTCCCCAGTGTTTTGGCCTACAACTCCCAGAAATCCCAGCCAGTTTACCAGCTGTTAGGATTTCTGGAAGTTAAAGGCCAAAACATCTGAGGACCCACAGGTTGAGAACCACTGAGCTATTGTTACACAGCAACTCCAGTGTTCCTATGCTGACTACAGCTAATGGGAAGAGCAGTGCTTCAACAACTACAGGGTTCATATTTCCCACCCTACCTAGAGTACCAGTAAAGGAAGGGGCCTGTTTAGTGAATTCCTTTCCAGGTTTTGTTTTATTGTATAAATCAATACCCTAAATAATGTAAAAAAGGCACATGAATTGCATTAGAAATAGAGGCATCTCTGTCAGCAAAGGCATGAATACCTTATTGCTCTATATCATGTTATCCTGTTTGATGGCTGAGAGCTTAGTTAGCATAAAAGCTCTGTGGAAAGTACAGTTGCCTTTAACCCTAAACATTTTTATGATCTTGATTTTTTAAAATGGAAGTCAGTGGCATAATTATTGTTCCAGGTAGGCAGTGTTTGTTTTCATTCTTTTTGATGAACTCTTCTGCAACAGCTAACATCTCTCTCTATTTCAGTTTTCCTATAAACTCACACTGAGAAGAAATGATGGCAGCTTTGGATACTAAAGCAAAGAAGACTCTGGGAACTGTTGATTATGTGGAGTCATCAGAGTTTGCCCAAGGAATTCTGCCTACAAAGAAGGATGTCATTCAAAACATGTTATATCTACTGCACCCGAAAAGGGCAGGGCAAGCCCAGCGATCCAAAGAAGATGCTGCCCAGTTGCTTGCCGAACTCTTGCAGGAACATTGGTCGTTCTGCAATTTATATACCATAGCAACACAAAGCATAAAGATGCATATTCTGAAGGTGTATGAGGAATTCTCAAAGCTGTATCAGTCCAGAAAGCGAAGAAGAAATGAGTTGTTTACGCAGAAGGCAAATGATTTCAACAGGAGTTCAGAACAGCTCTTTGACATATTTTGTACAGACACTGTAACCAGAGAGAAACAGGAACAGTTCAGTGGTGTGAAGATGACAGATACTGAGTGGAAATTTCTTGAGGATCAGAGGAGTGAAAGAAAAATGTATTTTGAGGACTTTATGGACAAAAAACAGATGGAAACAGTAGAAAGACGAAGAAAAGTAGAGTCACTGGAGCATTTCAGGAAGATTTCAGAAGAGGAGAGGAAAGGTTGCAAGCGTAAAGAAATGGCTTCCAACCGAGACGAGCAGTCAACTGAAGATGTCAATGATAGGAGTAAAGTTGATTCCTGTATAGAACACAACAAAGGAATTGGAAGCTTTTCACATAAGGCAAAAAGAAAGCGCTTATCTTCTGGCTGGATTACTGGGACAGCAAGTTCAACTAGCTATAGCGAATCAGTTCCTCCCGAGTGTCAGCATATACGCATGAGCATCAGAAAAGTCCGACCAGGATTCTATGAGACTTTTGACAAATACGAAAACTGCTAATGTCCATGTTTCTAGAGGCAGTTGATTCTGTTGGTGTTTACAGAATTTTGGGAGGTCTTAAATACCCTGATTAATTGGAAGTTGATGTAGATAATAATGCTGGGCTTCATTAATTCACAGCAAAAACACCAAAGCAATGGCATCAGTAGAAACTGTCTTTTAGCTCACCGGGAAAGGCTGAGATGTGGCTTGTTTGGGCCCTTTATCACTACCTTCCAAGGGTAAAAGTATGAGGTCCTAAAAGGCTGTAGTGTAGCAAAGGACAGCAGAACCACCAGTGTCTGGAAATTAAAATAAATAAAATGCATGACAATAAGCTAAGTATGTGAAGATAACTAGAACAGGCTGTTAAGGAAGATTGTATGCCTGAATACTTCTGAAAATATTCTGTATTGAAATGTTGAGAGTAGAGGCCTGAGATGGAAATACAGGAGAAAATACATTCTCTTCCGCAAAACAGTAGTCTTACTAAATAATCTGTTACCCATTGCAACTTAAGTATCTATCAAGACTGAATGCCACGTACAGATGAGGAGGAACATAGTGAATGGGATGGCTGCTTAAAAGAAGGTGCAGTTTAATGGTTTACAGTAGATTGTGGAATCTTTACTCGTAGAACATCCCTTTGTGGATAAACAGTCATTGGCCCACTGACCTAGGAGGTACTGTCACTTCATTAAAAACCCTCAGTAATACTTGTCTGGTCTTAAGAGACAGAACATGTATAATTCAGTTAATTCACTGCAGTTTGAAAGGGTTCTGCATCAGAACTAGATCCTGGTAGTAGGAGAAGGAAAATGGATTACTTCACATGTCCTGGGGGGCATGGTTGCTAAGGGACCATTACAATTATGAGGATGAGCTTTGTGAGATAACATTGGTTTGTTTGAGAAGGAAAGAATGGTCAGGGAATTTCAACAACTTTAGGTATAAATGTCAGCTCTCTGTATATTTTCTGCGTTCTTAGCAATTAAATATTATGTTCGAGTAAGATCGTCTTCCAGGATCATTTTAGCAATTAAATATTATATGGTGGTGAGAAGTTATGTGGAAAAGTAGACTTTGTAACTATAAACATTTGAGAGTTGAACATATATAATGCACTGAACATGGCATACGATGGAATTGCATAAGACATTATTTTAGAGCAGGGATGGGCAAAATTCAGTCCATGGAGTTAATGCAGCCCCAGTGATTATTTTGTGGCCCTCAGATGTCAAAATGTTTTTGCCCCAAATGTCCTCAAGGTTTGCAAGGTTTGCAAGGTTTCTTTTTGTGTTTCTGACCCCAGTCTTCCAGCTCCCCTGCAAAATAAGGCGCAAGAGGGGCCTTTCTTTTTTTCCCCAAACAAAGCCCTCCAAGGTTTAGGGGACTAAAATGCCCCCTAGCCTTTCACAGTTGCCCAGCTCTGTTTTGGGGATTTTTAAAAAACTCAACATAAACAACTATTAATTCCAAATGTTCTGTTGTGTTTGCAGTAGTGGAAAGACATAGCAATAAGGTAATAATGTGAATGATACCAGAAGCAAACTTTAAAATCTAGATAACACTACATGTCTACACAGATTATGTATAGTACAGTTTTTTCTAGTTCAAAGCAAAGCATCCCATGTTTATATTTTCCCAGTATTCATTAGGGTTCCTATCATAATCCAGCCATATTGTATATGTGGTAGCCTGCACACATATCCCTCTAATGCGTGACTTGTTGGTGTCATGCCTATAGATATTCCCAGGCAGAATTGCTGTAATGCTACCTCAAAGGGGATTGGAACTTGCCAGAAATCTAGAAATTCACACAGGCCTATATTTTCACTGATTCAAGAGAGAGGAGCGATACCTTTTTCCTAATGCACAGCTCTATAGATTATATAGCAGTCCTGCATTGATAGTGATAGAAGTCCTGAAGCTGGATTTTTTGGTGGGGGTATATGTGTATTTCGATCTGGGAGTTTTTAGCTGAATTGTAGCTTAGTTTTAAGGCATGAGGAACAGAAAAATAAATTGTTCTACTTTTCCCTGGGGAAATTTGTCATTGGGTATTGCCTTTGAATTGTTAAGAACCAAGAATATTATTTCATTTACAAGGATTTACATCAAACAAAGGAATAGTGATTTATTCCTATATCTTTTCATCTGATTTAGATGTATTGCCTAGATACAATGACCATATTCAGAACATATTTTGCACATATGTATGCACTGAAAAAAATTGTTAACTAAAAACTGCATCTGTAAATCAGACCACCTATATTGATACAAATTGACAATAAACCGCTACACTACAAGCATGTCACTTATAAGCATATAAATACAAATTCAATTCTCTGAATAGAAAAATGCAACTTTCAATTGTTTTAATTCACAAGTATTTGTTCATTTATGTGAATCGTCAGCCCATTTTTACACAAATATTATTTTACATCTGCCTGTGTATATTAAAGTCTTTATAAAATTATTGATTTATTACTTTATACATAGAGGAATGTATGTGTCAGATTGGCATAGCACATATACATTTACAAGAGGGTATGTGGTAAAGCTAATCCAATATGTAAGAATATTGTGGATTATATGAATGTGTCAAGTTGAATGGGAAAATATTACAGAACATACGATCTCTACTGGATTATGCCAAACGGCCATCTGTTTCCCACAGTAGCTAGCTAGATGTCTCTGAAAAAGTAGCAAGCAACACCTGTCTCCTCTTATTTGCTAGATAGTCAATGGCAATCAAAGGCATATATGGTGGTAATATTTAACCATTATGAATAATAACCTTCAATTACCTTATCTTCTGTGAATTTGCTTCATCCCTTTTTAAAACCATACTAGTGGCTACTGCCCTATTTTATGGAGGTGAATTTCCTTGGTTTATTTTGTATGAAAAAGCATTTCATTTTGTTTTTTTCTGAATCTTATTAATTCAGGCTTCATCAAATGATACAGGGCTGTGCTATGATGAAAAAGGGAAGAAGCAGATACAAAATACAATGCAATGAACAAACCGTACTCATTACTGAAGGGGTATAATTTAAACAAAATAGGATTAAATTTCAAAAAGCACAATAAAATCAAAGGAAGAAAAGCAGCATGTTTAATTGGTGTTTCATTTCACATATGGATAGATGATGTGGGAACCCAAACTTGAATACACCCTGCATTTCTGCTTGCTTTCATCGTTTTTAATCATTTTGGCAATCTAACAATCGAGTCCACTCCTATTCAATACACAGGCAGTCCCCAAGTTATGAAGTTTGTCGGATGTTTGTAACTTGGGGACTGCCTTCACTGCTCTACCTCAATAAAAGCAGTCAGGTCAAATGTAAATCTGGACTTAACGCTATAATTTTAAGTAAATGAAGTTGTAATCGTCTTCCAAAATGAAACTGGTTATCCATTTACTTATAATTATTGTGTTGTGTGCAACATCAAATGTGCCCACTTCAAACACCAGACCATTCTTGGAACAGGTTGAAGTTTTGATGGACCTTTGAATAAAATGCTCACAATAAGATTCAGACAGTGAATCTTAGAATAGTGTTAAAGCTGTTCATAGCATTCATAGAAATATCTTGTTAGAGTCTTTTCATAATGATATTGATTGCAGCATTGAGCAAACCTAAACATTTGTCAGGGAAAATAAAAGTATATCCTCAGTGCTTGTATGCCTTATGTTTTCCTAGTTTTGTTTTGGTGGGAAAAGAATTACACACTTAAATATATCACTCGCCAACATTTTGGTGCCTCAAATGTTTGCCCTGTTTCTGGGTATATTTGACCGGATGATTCAAAAAATGATACTCATTTTCCTTTTATCAGCTCCAGTTTTTCAGATACAGAACATATGCCATGTATCACTCATCATAGAAAACTATGATAACCATATCTAAGAAACTAGAGCTGATACTATCTATCCAATGCAAGTTTCTGAATCAGTGCACCAAATAACCCCAGGAACAGGCTTAAAAACCAAGACACTAAAAAAGTTATTACTAGTTGGGCTGTGTTATTATGCCTGAGAATACTCTATGAAATACATGGGGTTTCCATACATTGGCAGGCAACTTGAAGACATGTATCATCATCATCATCATTATTATCTTTCTATCTCACCTTTCTCCCCATGGGGACTCAAGGTGGCTAATATCTTTCCACATTAAACAGTTTAAAAAGAGCAATACAAAATTTAAAAAATAGTTACAGTAAATAATATCAGTGTGGTAAAAGCAGAATGAAAATACAGCAAATACATTAAAATGGCCTTTAAAACTCATACCTCCCATCCCACCCACCCTCCTCATACACACATAAGGAAAATCCATACATTCTGGGATTGCTGGCAGCTACTACCGGGAGTAATTTGAGTGCTTTTAATCCACGAATGCTTGGGAGTTGTGGTTCAGTTATTTCACATGAATTATAGCAGTTCTCCCAGAGTCAGTATAGAAAAAAAAATCAACTAATATCCTTTAAGTAACACCTACCAGCTACACACAATTACATAGCAGGAGGCTATTCTGAGAAGTCAATTGAAGTTCAGAAGATGGAAGTGTTACTCTAGCAGCGTTATTATTATCATTAAAAGGCTACAGCCTGAAAAACTCACAACAACCCAGTGATTCTGGCCATGAAAGCCTTTGATAACACTACCCAGAGTTGTTTGATATAATGCAGAAAGAAAAAACAGTTTCTATTTGTGAATAAAAGGATTAAACTCTAAAATAAAGAATACTTATTAACTTGAAGATAGGCAATATCTAGAACTTTGCCTCTAATATCCTTCCCTTTCAGCTTTGCCTCTAATATCCTTTCCTCCAGTGAGCAGTTGGGCTTTATTTCCTGAAGTATGGACAGGTTGGATCTTCTCGCGGTCCAAGGCACTCTCAGAATTTTCCTCCAATACCACAGTTCAAAAGCATCTATCGTCCTTCGCTCAGCATTCCTTATGGTCCAGCTCTCACATCCATAGGTTACTATGGGAAATACCATTGCTTTGACTATGCGGATCTTCGTTGCCAGTGTGATGTCTGTACTCTTTACTATTTTATTGAGCTTGGTCATTGCTCTCCTCCCAAGAAGTAAACGTCTTCTGATTTCCTGGCTGCAGTCTACGTCTGCAGTAATATTTGCACCTAGTAATACAAAGTCTGTCACTGCCTCCACGTTTTCTCCCTCTATTTGCCAGTTATCAATCAGTCTTGTGGCTATAAACTTAGGTGTTTTTTTTTATTTACTTGCCTGCCCAGGATAAACTCTGCAGTTAGATAGAGTGAGACAACTGCCTTAAGCAGCACATTTGGATTGTCATGAAAATTGGTGATTTAATTCTTTACCTTTTGTCAGAGATGGGAAGATAAACTGTTGGGTCATCCAAGATTCTCTCTAGCTTCTGCCTGCCCTTGTTTTGTCCTACAGGCCAGTGTCCTGCAGAGGGGCCGAAATGGGGAAGCAGTGTCTATATTTAAATTCAAAAATTATCAACTACAACATTGCCTTGAATGACTTCTCAGAATGATTATGTGGTTGGCTATTATCACCTCTTTAGAGATCATACTGTTTTCTATAAATTTGACATGGCATTACACCATGGAAAGAGGGAAACACAGTACTTCCCCCATGCAATGCAACCCTTCTATTTTCCAGTCATGTAAGGTCACATATACGGTGTGCAGGTGGTACAGGGTGGAGTGAAGCACTCTCACAATTTTTGAGATAACGAAGCAGATAATTGAAGATAGCTGCAGCTTCTCGGATGAACCGAAAGATTACCATTGGGGTTCTATCCGTTTTCTCAATAAGAATTTTAAAAATTCGACTCCACCCCTAAATTTGTGCATGGACTGAACAATATAAAAAGTGCAGGAAACTGGAGAAAACAGATACAATATTTTCTCTGACTTATGGCAGGTGAGATGAATAATGCTATAGCCTTCCCTTGTTAGGATGGAGTGAGCAAAATGCATGAAAGCTGGGTGCTTAATAGTGATTTTCAAGATGGAAGGGAGAGGTTTTAGTAATCTCTGCTTATATATTTGAATTCCTAGAGACAGGTGAGCTGAAAGTGAGAAGTATAATATCTTTTAGGGCAGGCACGGGCAAATTTGGGCCCTCCAGATGTTTTGGACTTCAACTCCCACAATTCCTAACAGCCTCGGGCTCTTTCCTTTTCCCCCTCAGCCACTTAAGCAGCTGAGGGGGAAAAGGAAGGGGCCTGAAGCTGTTAGGAATAGTGGGAGTTGGTCCAAAACACCTGGAGGGCCCAAATTTGACCATGCCTGTTCTGGGGGCACATTATATTGTACTTGTCAGAAATTAGATTTATTCTGAAGTCTCTCTGTACATCAAATCATTTTGTCTGGTGAGTGCTGGCAAATGTTCGATGGCAAAAGGGAAAGAACAGATGCAGTGGATGAATGCTCCTAACCATGCTGAACTCTGTCCCAGGATGCATAGTTCCAATAGATCACTGGGAGAGGGAGACATGCGGAAATTATTGAAGCTCTATCGCACAGAGATTTCAATGGCTGTGGATGATGTCTTCCCATTACTTCATGGACTTGCAGACTATGATGTTGTCACTGAAGAGAAGTTTCAGGTGAGAGAAGCAAGAACTTTTCTGAACGTTTATTCTTCAGTTGATTTTTTTAATTTATCGTATAAGAAGTGAACCGAGGGAACAGCTGCAATATATTTAAAAAACACAAAGTTTAGAAAAACTTGGCATCATACTAAATGACCTTTGACCAGTAGCTGGTCACTTGGAGTGCCTCTGGTGTTGCTATAAAAAGTTCCTCCATTGTGCATATGGCAGGGCTCAGCCTCCATTGTAGTAGGTCGTATGTGGTTTGCTATTCTCTGCGCAAACATGTCGTGGACTCCACTTTGTGGCCCTATTTCTTAAGGTTGGCTCTGTATCACATGGTGCCAGAGCGTTGCTTCTGGTGTGAGAGAATTGGCTGTCTGCAAAGACATTGCCCAGGGGATGTTCAGATGATTGATGTTTTACCATTTTGTGGGAGGTTTCTCTCATGTCCCCGCATAAGAAGCTAGAGCTTGACAGACAGGAGCTTACCCCATTCCCCGGATTTGAACCACCAGCCTGTCGGTCGACCAGTTCTGCTGGCATTGCACCGCAAGGATGTTGCCCAGGGGATGCTCAGATGATTGACGTTTCACCATCCTGTGGGAGGCTTCTCTCATGTCCCTGCATGAGAAGCTAGAGCTCGACAGACGGGACCTTACCCCGTTCCCCGGATTTGAACCGCCAACCTGTTGGTCAACTAGTTCTGCTGGCACAAGGGTTTAACCACAGATGAGTCCTTGCACTTTCTCAAGTCGCTTCTGACACAAAACAAACAAATGGCTTGAGGTTATCTTCAGTTGATAATGCAGGTAAATCTCAATTTCTTTTTTTTAAATTTAAAACATTAAAACCTCATGGAGAAATCAAGAAGCAATATGAAAATGCAAAATAAAATACATGGAAACTCCAAAAGCAAAGCATGGATATGTTGGTTAAAAAGGAACTTAAATTTAGAAGTATGTATTCTAGACTTCTGTATACAAAGTATATGGACACCATAAAAGAAATGGAGATTTGTCTTCAGTTGATAATGCAGGTAAATCTCCATCTCTTTTATGGCATCCATATACTTTGTATAAAGATGTATAGAATACATACTTCTAAGTTTAAGTTCCTATTTCGCCAACATATCCATGCTTTGCTTCTGGAGTTTCCATGGGTTTTATTTTGCATTTCGGAAACCTTTCTCCATAAGGTTTTAATTTTTTTTAAAATTTCATTCATATACTGGGTGAGACATACAAATTATCAAGTGAATAGGAAGAAAGTAAATATAAGGCATTCAATGTATAGACATTTTGGGAGAGCGTAATCATTGCTAGTATTCTTCATGGTTGTGCATTTCCCTTCCTTTCTGCCTGCACAGACCTTTCTCTGAGTCCAGATCTAGATCAAATGTTTAATCAGAAATCGCTCTGGCATGGTGTACCATAGGACCAACCTGTGGGTTGAATCTTAAACCATGCTCCCAAGTGGATTTCACTGAAATATGTTAAGGGTCCATTAAATCTATGTAGTGTCTTGATTGCCTTTCGTTTTTCTTTTCTTTCTTCTTTAAGGAGACACTCCATCTAAAGGAAAAGGAAGGCTGTCACAAAGCTTTTCATGCCATGTTAACATGGCTGCTGAACCAAGACTCAGCTTCTATCCAGGACTTCTGGAGGGTTGTTTTCAAGGATTACAACATGGAGAGATACTCCAAGCTCCAGAACATTCGAAACAGTTTTTCTAAAGGTATTTGTTCATGGCACCACAGCCTATTTATAGGTGAATTATAAAGAAAAGATGGAATGAAACACCTCCAGAGGAGACTTAGGGGTTCGGATCCTGACTAAGGTATTTGATATTTCAGTTAAATCAACTACCATCTATATAATGTCAGGGGAAACCTTTACCTTTACATTATATATAACGTAAGTCATGACTGAAGCTCACATAGATATGTCTGGATCCAGTCCTATATATACTTCACATTTTTTGGAAGGTCTCACTCAGGGATGATGTTTCCTCCTCTTCAAAATAACTGCTCGAGTATTCTATATATAATGTCAGATCCATCTCTGCTGCAACAACCCTGACCTGGAGGAAGCGAAGAGTAGACAGTATTTGCCAGACTTAACCCCCTTTGCTATTATCACTCTCTTTTCCTTCTGTGCTTTATTTAGGTTGTAAGCTTCTGGACAAGGAACTGTCAAATTATTTGGCTGAAGGGCAGGGTATAAATACTCAAAATGTGTAAATATATTAATAAATAACTTAACAAAATACTTCAAACATAATTCATTTGCTCTTTAAAGTATATTTAAGGATATAACCAGTAATCCAGTAATAATAAAATTTGCTTCAGTAAGTATTCCTTACATTTTTCACAGGCAAGGTTTCTATATAGGTATAGCCAAAAATCCCCATGCATTCTTGGTGGTTTCCTTTTACTCCTTCAGGTATGGATCTTAACAGGCATCGCAAGACACGGAAACTCCCAACCAGTCCCAAGGCACTGACTCAGCAGCATAAGCCTCCTCATGGAAAGAGGAAGGCAGTGGAAGAAAAGGACTCGCTACACCGCTCTCAGTCTCCAGCAAAGGGCGATCCACACCTTGGTACAAAACTCTTTCTTTGGTTTTGCTGTACTCTTTGTGGATACTAGGATTCAGCTGAAGAAGTATAGAGACTAAACAATAGCATTCCTCATCCATACACACAAAACAAAAGCACCAGGGAAAGAATTCCATTAGGATAATATGCTTCTTCTTTCTATAAGAACTGTGCTTATATTAAATGTTACACAATGTTCAATATTTTCATTTCATTTCCATTTTTGTGTAAATAAGTTGTGTGTTGCCTTCTGATAACATCCCACACAACCTATGTTATCTGAATGGGATTTGTAATTACTACTAATTTGGATTTGCGGGGGGGGGGGCATATCCTGCTTTTCATGTTGTCATTTTTTTCTGGAAATCAACAGGTTCCCTTCCAAGGACAAAAGCAGTGAAGAAATCAGAGAATGTTGAAATTCAACATTATCCACTTCTTACCTGTAAGTATAGTATACTATTTTATTTATTTGATTTTAAATAAAGGGAATCAGTACTAATTTGTTTACTTACACTATTCATATATCAACTCTCAGCCTATCAGGGCTTCAGTGGGGAAGCACAACAGGTAAAAATATTTGAAGATGATGATGATGATAGAATCATAGACTCAAAGAGTTGGAAGAGACCTCATGGGCCATCCAGTCCAACCCCCTGCCAAGAAGCAGGAATATTGCATTAAAATCACCCCTGACAGATGGCTATCCAGCCCCTGTTTAAAAGCTTCCAAATAAATAACAACACTTTATTTATATTCCACTCTATCTCCTTGAGGGGACTCAGATTGGATTACAACATACACAGATAGGCAAACATTATTATTCCACTGTATTAGAGGCATTGAATGTTTGTCTATTTGTGTATGTTGTAATCCACTCTGAGTACATACAGAGGTAATTTTCGACGGTCAGCAAACAGTATTTTGGGGGGCTCCCCAACCAATCACTGATATATATTTTCTGTTCGTCGTGGGAGTTCTGTGTGCCATATTTGGTTCAATTCCATCATTGGTGGAGTTCAGAATGCTCTTTGATTGTAGGTGAACTATACATCCCAGTAACTACAACTCGCATATGTCAAGGTCCATTTTCCCCCAAGAGCGCCTCAAGAGTGCCCCTGGGCAAAATCAACTATACTGCAAATGTTTACTTTGCGTAATGGGTTGAGCTGCCCCTGAGTACATACAAATACACAGAACAAAAGTAAAGGCTTCCCCTTTTATCTCCATCTTTCTGGAGGAGGTGCTCAATTCTGGCCATGGGGAGATGCTCTTGTTCCATTTCCAAGCCGAGGATCCTACTGTCCGTAAACACCTCCTAGTTGTGTTGCCAGCATGGCTGCATGTGCACCTTTATTACCTTCTTGCCGAACCAGTACCTATTGATCTACTCACATTTGCATGTATTCAAACTGCTAGGTTGGCAAGAGCTAGAGCTAACAGCGGGAGCTCACCCCAACCCACGTCTTCAAACTGACAACTTTTAGGTCAGCAGATTCAACAAATCAACGGTTTAACCCCTTGTGCCACCATGGCCAGGGCTGTAGCCAGAAAAAAATTTCGGGGAGGGTTGACAATTTCGGGGGGGGGGGGGGTTGAAAATTTTGGGGAGGGTTGAAAATTGGGGGGGGGGGTTGAAACCTGCCTCATAGCTCACGCTGAAGCAAAGAGCACAGCAGGGGGCAGAGCAGCCTTCAATAGCCTGCAGCTCCACCCCTGTCAACCACCTCCACCAAGTCTGGCCTCCTTAATGAGAGCATTCAACACCCCCAACTTGGTTGCTTCACTACATCGGCTATTGATGCAAGTAATGACAGTGTGAATAAATTGTCAATATTTGCTTGAGATAGTGCTTGCAGTTCTGGAGGGACTCTTAATTTTTTGCATCTCATAGACTTAGCATGGGGATTTGGTTAACCAGTTAAAATTCATGAGTAAACCAGGTTTTTTTTAAAAAATCTGAAACATTTCGGGGGGGGGGGTTGAACCCCTAAAACCACCCCCTCGCTACAGGCCTGACCATGGCCCCTGAAACAATAACTTTCTATAAATAGACATCTTCTATTTATAGACAACACTGCTGCACTTACCTATTTTAATGAAGTCACACTGGGCATTTTCACATCACTTAATTGTACCACCATGATTCTCCTTTGACTGTAAAGGCAACAAAAGTGAAATATTCCTTGCTTAAGCAAACTCCTTGAAATTGATAGAGTTAGCACAAGTCTATAGGTAACTTGGAGGTACATATACACAGTGACTGTATGCGACGTAAAGTGTATTTCCTTTTATTTGCCCTGTGTGTTCTCCACTAATCATCAAAAGTTTAATGTCATGATAGTAGAAAAATGTTTTTGCTGTTTATAGTCTCCACACCACTTACCCTTCACTTACCCTCTTTTTTATAACCTAAACAGTTCCCCATAGTGTTACTTTTTCCTATAGGAAAGATGTTCCAGCTTCTTGACCATTCTGGTTATCCTTTCTTTGCCTATGTATTATTTTTCTGCACTATTTAGCGTGCAGCAGTTTGACATATGGTGAGAAGGAACTTTTTGTTTAGTTTCCCTGCAATACCTAAAGTACAAGAAATCTATTATAACAGGGACTACTTTTAATTCCATTTCTGATGGCATAAAGCCAGTATAATCTTGTTGTTTTCAGGTGATACAAAGAAATATATCAAAGCCGATAGTGAATTTTATGCATCCAGCAAATTGGAAGACCCTGGAGAGAGGAATAAAGTTTGTGAAATGAAGCTGAGTGTGAAAGCCAAAGAATCCCAGGTCCCTGACTATGTAAGTGAACTTCTAGCACCTTCTCATTTTCCAGGGACCTTTTGACTACTGTAGTACAAATTAGTCATGCGCCTAGTATCTGTATCATCAGTTTAATTCGTGTTTCCATTTCATTACATCTATTTGGATGGCATGATACGAAAGACCTCCTTCCAGAACAAAAATAAACTCAATACGAAAGGCAGGTGGGAGTGGGTACTGGCTCCAAGCCTTCTTTTCGGCATCATAGTTACAGAGAGAAGAGGGATTGCGCTGTGGTCTCTTCATCGGAGAACCTTGGTGCAGGGCTGGCGGCTTGCCAGTTGCCGGGGCTTTCCCTCCACCACTCGGCAACCATCCAGGCCTGGCCAATGTGCTTTGGGACTACGTGCGTGGGCATGCAGCCAAATGCCGAGTAAAGAGCAATGCTTACTCGCCACTCAGCTGCAGGCCCTGCACAGTTGTTAAGCGGTAAGCTTCGGCAACCAGCAAGCCGCCAGCCCTGTGCCAAGAATCTCTTATGAAGAGACCTCAGTAGCAGTGGCACAAGGTAGGCTTCCCAATTGAAGGGGGAAACAGCAGCAGCCCTAAAACTATAGGATCATCCACCCATGAACACCCATGGGATGAAAATATTTGGGGGGTTTTGGATGAGGGACAGACGTATAAAGCTCTATACGGTTCTGGCCCAGCATACTTTTCCAAACGCATCCACTCCTATGTCCCACCTCGAAACCTAAGATCATCTGAGGAGTCCCTGCTCTCGCTCCCGTCAACAGCACAAATGTGCCTGGCGAGGACAAGAGACAGGGCCTTCTCAGCGGTGGCCCCCCTGCTTATGGAACACACTCCCAACTGAGGTAAGATCGGCCACCTCCCTCCTAGTTTTTCGAAAGAAACTAAAGGCATGGTTTTGGGATCAGGCTTTTGGACAATAGATGCAAGCAGCACTTTAAGGGAATGTGACTGGAATGACGATATAGCTGATGAGACTGTTTTACTGTTTTAACGATGGCTTATGTATTGTTAATTATGCTTTTATGTCTAATTGTGGTTTTAATTTTGTAATTTGTTATGTAATAGTTTCGTAATGGAGCCCATTGTAAGCCATGCGGGGATTGAGAAGGATAGAAATGCGAGAAATAAATAAATAAATAAAACAAGCTCATTCAGAAAGGTGCCATTTTTTGAAGGGGCACATAAAAACAGGGCCTTACAAATTAAACAAAGAGAAATGGATAGGGATAGGGATCCTTTACAAATACACAAGACTAGTACAAATCCCAATTAAATTTGTATGCAACTGTCACCTTAGAGCTCGGAAAAGTTACATATTTTTACACTATTGTCTTCTAGCCAGCATGGTCACTAGACATGCTAGCTCGGAGAAATTTCATTCAAAAATAACTCTTCTAAGCTTTGATTTGAGATGCAAAACTTCTGCCTGTGGCAAAGAAGTCATAGTCATTCGCTACATGATGAGATTTCATAATTTCAAAGCACATCAATGGATGCAGCTCTCTAGCACAGCACTCTACCTCAATGTCCTTCATGATGTTTTATCTTATCTTTATCACTATAGCTATGGTAGAAGAGTAGCATTCATGAAAAACATCATTAGGTGGCTGGTTTGGTTCAAGCTTGTAGAATGTTAATATCCACTAGTCTCCATATATTATGGGTGGGACCAGGCTAGAGAGGAGCCATTTTAAAAACCCAGCTGTAGTGCTATAATTTCATTTTAGCCTCCATGACTGTGTCCAATACAATCCTGAAATGTGTAATCTGGTGAGGCACTAGATTTCATCAGATTTAAATTTTTGAACTGGAACTTTCAGAATTCCATAGGATGGAGCTATAGCTGCTAAAGTAGAATCATAGCACTAAAGCTGTGAAATGTGAAAAGGCCCTAGTTATAGAAACACTAAGGACAAGAACACTCTTTGACCAATAGTCAAGGACATAACTTGTGCATGCTTACTTGGGAATAGGTCATGTTGTGTTAAGTGGATATCCCCTTTACTGTAGTGATGGGCAAGTGTAGTTCTCCAGATGATGGGACTGCATCCTTCATCGCAGGCTTTGCTAGGGATGGCAAATGAGAGTTGTCGGCCAAACATTATCTGGAAGGCCATAGTTGCCAACCCTTTTCTACAATACTTTATTATTTTCTCTTTGCTTTTGCAAGTCACCCCGAGTTTCCAAGGGGAGATGGGCAGGGTATAAATAAAGTTGACTTGACTTTGCAGAATGGACACCAAAAAACAAACCTGCCAGATGGGTGCCACACTCTAACTTTTCAAGCTGGAGATTCAGCAACTCAACAGGTAATGAGAATAATTTTTTCCTTCTCTATCACAGGGATGTATTTGTCCCAGCACCACTCTCAGTTTTCTTTGTGTTTTCTTTTGTCTCCATATTCTGAAAATTGTTCACGCTTTCATGCAGCAATCATATTTAATTTACACTTTATTGCATTTGTACTCCATGTTTTATACATGGAATTCAAATGGTATACACAAGATGGTCCCTATCTGTGAAAGTGGTCAAGCTGAGGGCAAATGATACAAAGTGAGTTTGATAGCTGTGAGACAATGTGAACCTAGGTTTCTACAGTTAAACTGCAAATACATTCTTCTCTGCATCACATTGTCACTTTGAAGTTGAAAAGGTTTGAAGAACTGGCATTTTCACATGATCTAGAATGTATATGAGATTGAAAAATACAGGAAAAGTTTTGGAAAATAGAAATCTCCATAGCCCTTTGGAGATTTTATGATCTTTGGAAAGGAACGGCCTTGTTAGAAGTTATAACCTTTTTGAAAATGATGCAATAACCTCTGGTTTTAAAAAATGACCTGTTAAAGCAGCAGATCTCAATCTGTGGGTCCCCAGGTTTTTTGGTCTACAACTCCCAGAAATCCCAGCCAGTTCACCAGCTGATAGAACTGGGAATTGAAGGCCAAAACATCTGGGGATCCACAGATCGAGAACCACTGTGTTAGAGTCATAACCTGGCATTCATGCAAGACAATTAGGTTTCTCAACTGTTAGACTAATATCCTAACTATCTTTTTGAATGGTTAGGGACAAAGCCAATGCACAAACCTACGGTATATATATATTCAGCAGAGTTTCAGAAGTGTTCTTTTAGTTTCCCAAAAACATCTACTATTCCTTCAAATATATTTGCCTTTAAATCCTGCACAAAAACAAGCAGACTTCTTTAAAATAACATAGTTGGTTTACTCACAAACTTCATGTATTCAGCACAGAGGTACTTTGCTTATCAATCCAGTTCCATTTAGGATTTGAAGTAGTTTCTCTGTGTAAGTAACACAGGGCATCATTCTTAGAATCAATAGTCCAAAGTCCAAAGCACCTCTCTGTTCTGAGAGTCTAATAGAGCCTCTGCAGTCTATATCTGTTTCAACTGAAGTCTCTAAGCTGAACTGTACTAAAATGAAGTCTGAGCTCTGAACAAGCCCAGTTCTGATCACATGGTCTGCAGCCCCTTCCACTGCAAAGAGTTCAGGCAAAATTGTAAACCAATGCACACATATACAATACAGTAACCAATCTGAATTATGTACATAACAAATAACTAGTGGAGGCTTGAGAAGGTTGCTATTACCAACAAAAAGAAGCAGATTAAGCAGTGGAAATGTGTACTGTCAATATTATGGGTTTAAAAAATAAGGTAAGAGATGGAAAGGGAGCAACAAGATCGTTTCTTGTGAAGCAAGCATGAAGTGTTACATTGGGCAAAGCTAAGTGAGATCCTAAAAGTTTGTCACAAGAATGGTAGATTCTCCTCAGATGAGTAGAACAAAGGTCATGTTTAATTCCATTCTTTGTGTTATGATATTGGTGCTTTGACATTTAGTCTGCCTCGCATGGAAAGTCCCGTATTTCTACAATTACTTAAACTGGTGTCAGATTTACCTGTGACAAAAGAGCTTCACCAAGAAAAATGTCTTTCCTTGATAGAACCTAAACCAAGATGGAATTCCCCCAAACAGTTCTAAGCTAAACAGAAATGCCATTTCATGCTTTCCTCACCATTGGGTATGTTAGCTAAGTCTGCTGGGATATGCAGCCCAGCAATATCTAGGAAACTAAAGGGGAACTTGCCAGAGGACCTAGGGCTGCTGTATAGAGTTGCTTTTTTGGAATACTGTACAGCTATCCAAATGCTGTAGTCACTACAATGTAATTATTGCCTCAGCTATGTGCATATGATTGAGGCTCTAGAACAGTGGTTCCCAACTTTTGGTCCTCCAGGTGTTTTGGATTGCTCCTGCAATTCCTAACCGCTAGTAAAATAGCTGGGATTTTTTGGCATTGAAGTCTAAAACAACCAAAGGACCAAAGGTTGGGAACTACTGCTCTAGAATATGATAGGTGGTGGAAGTTTTGTGGGTTGAAATTCAAAAAGTAATTTTTCAGAGCTTTGGTTGGACATGTATGAATGCTTGCAATTTATTAACCTCTTCCTTCCCCAAACATCCCTCCTCCCCTTTGTATCAATTGAATTATACTTTTTAAGCTTAGTAAATTGTAAATGCTTTAAAAGTCATGCTAATAGCGGACATTTCAGGCTGGTCAGTGGGTGGAAGCAGTTTTGGCAACTCCCTCTGCAGCCACATCCAAAGAATCTGCCTAAAAACTGAGACTTTTTTCTGCTTTGGTTCCTTTCTCTCAATTTGCTGGGCCAGAGGAACGATGATGAATGTGCTGTCTGCAGAGATGGTGGGGAGCTGATCTGCTGCGATGGATGTCCCAAGGCCTTTCATCTTGCCTGCCTTGTACCACCACTGACAGAGATTCCCAGGTAATAGCAATTCTACTAGCAAATGCCTGTCTACAGCTTCTGAGGAGCCTTCCACACAGCCATATACCTCAGAATATCAAGGCAGAATAGCCCACGATATCTACTTTTGAAGTGGGCTATCTGAGTCCACACTGCCATATATTCCAGTTCAAAGCAGAAAATGTGGGATTTTATTCAGTTGTGTGGAAGGGGCCTAAGTTACAAGTAGGAGTTCTGGAACAAAGAAGAAACACAACAACAAAGCAATATTGAAAAGAGAAAAGGTCAAATCAAAACCTATTGACAAATTCTGATCCTTACTTTGAAATTAATTAACTGTCCATGTTCAGCTGTAACCATGGGGCATTCCATACAGCACAGTAAGAGCTCTATGACTCCACTATAACAGCGGCAATTCCATCCTATAGAGTCCTGTGATTTGCAGTTTAAGGAGGGGCATTTAGAATTCTCATCCAGAGAGTACTAGGACCTCACTATACTACCAATCCTAGAATTCTATTAACAGCCAGATGAAGTGGAATTATAGGGTAGTGTGAAAAGCTTTTACATACTGATATCAGTTAGATTCTATTGATAATCAGTGCATAAATGCATTAATTATTCAATTAGCCTCATCGCAAAAACTACACGATAGAGAAAAAATAAACACAAATCTGAAATAGCACAAAAAAATCGATAAGAATGACCTAAATTATATCTGATGAAAAATACTTGTTGGCTTGTTAATCAACTACTTCCTTTTTTCTTCTTTTTTTCAGTTGGTATTTTATTGTATTTTAACTTTTAATTGCACAAAAATCTAATTATTATTTTATTTTTTATAATATCTTTATTGAAAACTAAACACATTTTCAAAGATAATTTTTTTAAAAAATTGGGGTAAGGGGGAGAGGTAGTCCAATAGGGGAAAAGTGTAGGGAAGGAAAATAAGAAAAGAAAGAGGAAAAATAGAAAGAAAGAAAGAAAAATAAGAAATAAAGGGTTGTTGAAACTTCCATCTACTTGGAGGTCTATTCACTGTCCATATCAAAAAGGAAAAAAAGATATATGTTCTCCATATCTTGCATCCCCTTTGTGAAAACTCACTATCTTGTGAAAACTCACTACTTACCTTTGTAGCACACATGCCAACCCAGATCACACCACTGATTCCAGCAACTCCCAGAACAGTACAGAACAAAAGCCTAGAAAAGAGTGGAGGAAACAACTGCTCTGTCTCCCCCCCCCCCCATTCATTTCCTTGAGGCTTCGAGTAAAAAGAGAGTTGTAATGTGGATGTAACTGCCTTCCACCATTCAATTAATGCTGCTAAAGACAGATGCCATTTCCCCCCAAAAGGAAAATGTTGATTTCCCTGTACCTTTGCTTGCCTTTTTTGTTTATCTCTCCCTCTTGCTTCACGTGTCTTTCTGTTTTGGAGCAGTGGGACATGGAGGTGTGATTCATGCTCACCTGGGAAGGTGAAGAAAGACAGATGTAAGGAAGAAGAAAACAACAACAGAAAGCCACTATCTGAAACTCAGGTATAATCCCAGAAGCCAGTAATGCACTGTATCTTCATACTGCTCTTTTTGGAGTAGCTCCAAAGGGGTTCCATCTTGTTCATGCATCTTCCCCAATGGCTGGCTCTAGTAGGAGACAAGGCACACTTTTCAGTGCTGGCCTCAGGTATTAAAGGCAGTAGATGTTGGGGAAACAGGGAACCAGGTGTTGGAGGACAAAGCTATATGGACCATGTTGTCCTATACTTTTTCCAGCAAGCTAACCTACTTCCCTCAAGTGTAGAAATGCTTCTCTTATTGTTAAAGAAACATTCAGTGGCAAATCAGAAATTTAATTGTCTGCAGAGCTGGAGGAGGACAGTGTTGTATCCTTTGCCTCAAATAGCAACATGCATTGCCCTTTTTATGGTGGCTCGGTTTTGCTTGTGAGAAAGAACACAATATCCTCCTGAAAGATATTGGCCTAGCTCTTTAAGCTTTAAAACACTTTAGTCTGGACAATAACAAATAGCTTCTCTGTGGGCATTTTAATTTTGCATCACAGACAAACAGATGAAACAAATACAATGTCACCTTGGGTATTATTTACATTGCTACCAAATAGGGACTAGAAGGGTGGTTGTCAGAATTTTGTCTTCCAAAATGATTGATGGATTGAGCAAATCCATCTTTCTCCTAAATTGGATGCAAGATGGCTCACAACAAAGAATGTGAATTAAAAAAAATTAATTCACAAAGAATGTGAATTTAAAAAGGTTTAAAAACAGTTAGATGAATTGAATTGGGGAAAATGGCAGCGTAGCCGGAGCCACGACTTTTCACTCGCTAATCATCAAGCAGCACAATTAGAGAGGAATACTGACAACAAACTGACAAATCACTGCCAAATCACTCTTATCTCGGAGGGAGTTTTGGACTTAACCAGCAACACTCCATTAATCAACCTGAAGAGAAATAAACGAAGAAAAAAACAAGAAGGGTGAGAAAACAAGCTGATCTGTTTAGCCTTCTATGGCTTCCGGAAGCTGAAGCAGCATTTGTATTATAACTTGTCCTACAATCGTTGTTGTGGTTTCTGCAAAAACAGTTAAATAAATAAGTTAAAACAATTTTAAACCATGAGAAGAATAAACAATAATAAAGTACACATATACCCATTACAGATTTTTCCACATAGCCAAATGCTTGTTCATGTAAACAGGTTTTTTATCTGCTGATAAGAGAAGACCAATGAGTGGGCAAATTCTTTGTATATGCCTGCCTGAGTATTAAGATTTAGCAGAAGTGTACTTCTCCATGTCCCGCCAAAAGGAGAAACCTATTGTGGGAGAACATGATGGCATCCCTGTTGTGAATTCCCTCCCTCTGGAGGCCTGATTGGTGCCAACATGGGAATAATTTCAGTACTTGGCTAAAAGCTGGCCTTTGGGCAACCTTGATTTTATGGTGGCACAGCAGATTAAACCATGGAGCTGTTGAACTTGCTGACCAAAAGGTTGGCGGGGAACAGGATGAGCTCCCACTGTTAGCCCCATCTTCTGCCAATCTAGCAGTTCGAAAACATGCAAATGTGAGATTAATAAATACTGCTTCCATGGGAAGGAAATGGCACTCCATGCAGTCATGCTGGCCACATAACCTTGGAGGTATCCACGGACAACGCAAGTTCTTCGGCTTAGAAATGGAGATGAGCACCACTCCCCAGTTAGACATGACTAGACTTAATGTCAAGGGGAAAGCTTTTCCTTTACCTTTTACAAACATTTTATGGTTATATTATTTCAGATTGTTTTCACCAGTTTAAAATCATGTGTTTTTAACTGAGAGACTACTTTTAATTTTTTGTGTTTTATTATAAACTCCTATGAGACCTGTGGGATTTAAATATTTCAATAAATAAATATAGTATCCTATGCCAGATAGTTCCAGAGCCCAGGAGCTACTATTGAGAAGGTTCTTTTCTGTGTCTTCACCAAACATATCTTTGAAAGTGCATGGAAGTAAGAGAAAGCCCTCTCTCAAGGATCTAAAAACCTTACCATATGTACACTTCAGCTTCCAGTCAGCATAGACAATGGTCAGGAATTTAGGAAGTTGAAGTTCAACACACATGGAAAGCAAAAGAGAGAGAGAGAGAGAGAGAGAGAGAGAATATCTTGAATAAAAATGATACTTACTTCTTGTACCTGATTAGGGTCCTGTATATGTGCAAAGGACAACAGATGATGGGCGGAGAGTACTTATCAAAGAACCTGTGTGCACCTCTTTGAGGCAACCACTGCCTTCCGCATCCCCAATGCCTGCGATTGTATTGCCAGCTGTACAACATGTGGGAAATGAGAAACAACTGGTCAGTAGTAACCATCTTGTGGACTATTTGACATGCTTCAGTGGGCTTTAAGTCAGTGGGCTTCTTGGAGGAAAACAGGATATAAGTTACAAACAAGCTTTGGATAGCATAGGAAATGGTTAACATCCCAGTGGTGTTTGTTTTGCTTTCTGTGCCCCTGTTCAGAAGATTTTCCCTCACTTTTTATCCCTGTGAGAAGTGGACTTGGAAAAATCTGGCCTGCTATGGAAATAAGGATTTGTTTTGCTATGTTTTGTTTGTGTGTCAGGAGCGACTTGAGTAACTGCAAGTCGCTTCTGGTGTGAGAGAATTGGCCGTCTGCAAGGACGTTGCCTAGGGGACCCCCAGATCTTTTTGATGTTTTACCATCCTTGTGGGAGGCTTCTCTCATGTCCCCACATGGGGAGCTGGAGCTAACAGAGGGAGCTCATCTGCACTCTCCCTGGATTTGAACCTGTGTCCTGCCAGCACAAGGGTTTAACCCACTGTGCCACCGGGGGCTCTATGCAGGATTGGTGAGAAAGCTTCAGTGCAGACACCTTTTCCCCATGATCAATCAGGAGTGATTTTCCCTTCCTAGAGGTAGATTTCTCTCACTTCCTGTTGTCTCAACCCTGTTCTTCACTATGAGTTGTTTGCATTTCGTTTTTCCTGCCAAAGTGGAGCATCTTGCATTTGTCACTGTTAAACTTAATTTTGTTAGTTTTGACAGATTAGAGAGATGGGCCAAAACTAACAAAATGAAGTTCAACAGTGACAAATGCAAGATACTCCACTTTGTCAGGAAAAACGAAATGCAAAGATACAGAATGGGGAATGCCTGGCTTGAGAGCAGTACGTGTGAAAAAGATCTTGGAGTCCTCGTGGACAACAAGTTAAACATGAGCCAACAATGTGATGTGGCAGCAAAAAAAAAAAAACCAATGAGATTTTGGCCTGCAACCACAGGAGTATAGTGTCTAGATCTAGGGAAGTAATGCTACCCCTCTATTCTACTTTGATTAGACCACACCTGGAATATTGTGTCCAATTCTGGGCACCACAATTCAAGAGAGATATTGACAAACTGGAATGTGTCCACAGGAGGGCGACTAAAATGATCAAGGGTCTGGAAAACAAGCCCTATGAGGAGCGGCTGCAGGAGCTGGGCATGTTTAGCCTGAAGAAGAGATGGCTGAGAGGAGATATGATAGCCATGTATAAATATGTGAGAGGAAGCCACAGGGAGGAGGGAGCAAGCTTGTTTTCTGCTTCCTTGGAGACTAGGACGTGAAACAATGGCTTCAAACTACAAGAAAGGAGATTCCATCTGAACATGAGGAAGAACTTCCTGACTGTGAGAGCTATTCAGCAGTGGAACTCTCTGCCCCGGAGTGTGGTGGAGGCTCCTTCTTTGGAAGCTTTTAAGCAGAGGCTGGATGGCCATCTGTCAGGGGTGATTTGAATGCAATATTCCTGCTTCTTGGCAGGGGGTTGGACTGGATGGCCCAAGAGGTCTCTTCCAACTCTTTGATTCTATTATTCTATGTAAGTTGGATGTTTGTAACTCAGGGACTACCTGTAAATGTAATGAATAAGTAAATCTTATGCTGCAGCTTTCAAATACCAGGTAAATGGTAAAACACTGCTTGTTTTAAATTTAATTCACTACATAGTGTGTACCAGAGGTGTGCAAATCCATTCTGTGTCCGTTTTATTTTCATTTTGGATTTTGAGTGCCTCCCGTTCCGTTTTTGGGAAGATTCCAGGAGATTAAGAGGGGGGCTATTCCAATTTGTTATTCAAAACCCTGAGTCCCATTTCCATTTCGGGAAGAATCTTTCCCAAAAAAACAGAACCAGGGTGGGTGCATGGATGTGAAAACAGATCAAAAAACAGAACGGATTCTGTGCTGTTTCGCATACCCCTAGTCTGTACTATTACCTGCCTTTATTAAGAACTAAATAGATGAAAAAGAACCAGTATGGTGCATTCGTCTGAGCATTGGCTTTGGAGACCAGGATTCAAATCCCTGCTAAGCCATAGAAACCCATTGGGTGACCTTGGGCAAGTCATTCTCTCAGCCTCAGAGGAAGACAGAGAAAGCTACTCTGAATAAATCTTGCCAAGACAGCTCCACCATTGCTTTGCCTTTGAGTAGCCATAAGTCAAAAACAACTTAAATGCACATAATAAGGGCAAAAATGAGGGAGTCTGGATCTTCTTCTGCCAGTTTTTATTATTAAAATTGTGTTTTGCCTCTTCCTTATTTATTCAGGTTTGAATGTTTATGTATTAATGATCAAGTAGGTTTAGAGATCTAAGTAATTATAGGGGGACAGTCATAATATCAAAAAGAAAACACATACATTCCAGAATAACTCTGAGGAGAAAATAAGACTATTCTTTCTACAGTATAATCTGACTCACAACTTTCCTTTTTATAGAAATTGACCATTGGCGACAAGTGTGGTGTATGCAGGAAAGAAGGTGACATGACTTACTGCAATAAATGTTTCAGGGCTTTCCACTGGCCCTGCCATTTTCCTTCCCATGCAGATAAAATCAGGTATTGATCATTATACCCCAAAAGACCAAAGATATGCTTAATTCCCTAAATGGTTGTTTGATGCAGTTTAGGGTCATAGCCAAAGCATTTTTCATTATCCACATTTCATATGGGACAAGAAAGAAGTGTCAGTAAGGATGAGAGTTTTGTGCAAATGTCGCTCATTTGAATTTTGCTGCTCCTATAACGAACCTGACTCACTTAGAAAGTCAGGAAGTGACCTACCTTAAAAGGTTGGCATTCAAAGGAATAGGTTAACAATAGTATGAAGTCTGGTTTTTATATATTAGTATAACAGTCCTTTTGGGAAGAAAGGAAAAGATTGTATGAAACTCATATTGAAACATTGTTCTGTAAGCAGCAAGCATTTGATTCTGTTGTTGTTCATTCGTTCAGTCGTCTCCGACTCTTCATGACCTCATGGACCAGCCCACGCCAGAGCTCCCTGTCGGCCGTCACCACCCCCAGCTCCTTCAAGGTCAGTCCAGTCACTTCAAGGATGCCATCCATCCATCTTGCCCTTGGTCGGCCCCTCTTCCTTTTACCTTCCACTTTCCCCAGCATAATTGTCTTCTCCAGGCTTTGCTGTCTCCTCATGATGTGGCCAAAGTACTTCAACTTTGTCTCTAGTATCATTCCCTCCAATGAGCAGTCGGGCTTTATTTCCTGGAGGATGGACTGGTTGGATCTTCTCGCAGTCCAAGGCACTCTCAGAACTTTCCTCCAACACCACAGCTCAAAAGCATCTATCTTCCTTCGCTCAGCCTTCCCTAAGGTCCAGCTCTCACATCCGTAGGTTACTACGGATTCTATGTAACCACTAAGCTTATATCGTAAGAATGATACAAATAAACTCAGTTGCTGTTTCCCCTTCAAACAAGCTCTCTCTCTCCATCTCTCGGTTAGGGATCTCTGCATTCGTTTCAGCTCCCAAGGGCAGTGTACATGTAGACTGGGATGCAACTTACTAAGTAATGACATTACTAATGACATTTAAAAGTACATTCAAACATACATCTAGTATCAGAGATTAATTAAGTACAGGAAAGTACGTATCAAGAAGAGGAGCAGCTCAGCAGAGCCTCCAGTTGCCATCTTAAAGATGGAAGAGAAAACATTCTGACATGAATGTCCTCAACTTCTTGTTGAAGAAGGCATTCCATCCAGATTTAACCTCTTTTTCGTGGTTTATGAAATACAGACCTATGCTTACAAGGTGTTTCAGAGTTTTCTTCTATTCTATTCCAGTGGAATCTTGGTCTGCAAGTCCTGCTCTGGCAACTCTGCAACCAACAACTTGGAAGGAGCTGCAAACTCAACTACTTCAGCACTTTTATCTGTGAAGGTCAGAGGTTCCATAATCTTTCCAGCTTTATCAAGGCCAGTAGGCAAAAATTAAATCAGGTGACTCTTGGAAGATTCAACTGCAACATGTCAGTGATTCCCAAGTTATTCTTCAACTTGACTGTTAGATGTTGTTAGATACTGTTTGCCATGTTGGATCCCAGTCTTGGAGAAAAATTGGGGTACTACTACTACTACTGCTGCTAATTGCAGAAGCATAGTAGAAGCAGTAGTAGGTTCTTACATTCCATTTCAACTACCATGATAATATCCTGTAGAATTTCTGATTTTGTACTTTCACAAAGTTCAAGAGCTCTCTAGTTGAATACTATTTTTCAGGCCTGCACAATCTCCAACGTTTTTGGCCTCAACTCCCAGAAGCCGTGGCCAGCTTGTCCCATAACCAGGAATTTTGTGAGTTGGAGGCCAAAACAGCTGGAGGGCCACAGGTTGTGCAGGCCTAGTCTAAATGCTCATTAAACGACAGGTCCTAGAATTCCATAGGATGTTGCCATAGTAATGGATTATAGTACTGTAACAGTATGGTGAGTTTGGGATCCAATATCCTGGACCAGGTTTGAGGATTCTTGAACCTCAGTATCTGAAAAATTCTGAGAACTGGGAACATGTAATAGTACAATTCTTTGTTTTATAGATGGTTGGATTTGACAGACTCCTAACCCCTCTTTTGTAGAGAAAGATTAATACAGTTTATGTCAACATGTTTTAAAAATATGGTTATTTAAAATATTTTCCACCACTCCTCTTGCATTCCACTCAAATTTAAGTCAGAGACTCAAACCGTTGGTTTTGCCTCTATAGGTATTTGTTTGAACATTGCAAAAGAAGGCATCCTGTATTCCTTTGTACAATGTATTTCATTCCAGGTGTACAACAACCAGGGAGGTCATTAGGGCAGCTCTGTCATCTCAATCACTGACTGGTTGAAGTGATGCAGCTGAGATAATCCCAGGAAAAGAAAGAACTTTACAATGGGGCTGGAAGTTTATTTTCCTCCTCATTGTGTACAAGATCACCTGGACCATCCAGATTCACCTCCTTCTGCAGCTAAGGAGATAGGATTTGCACCTCCATAGTTCCTAGATCCTGTTTGCAGCCTTGGAGAGGAAGTGTAAAAGAGAGAACCCAAGTATACTCAACCCATGATGGTACAACTGCCACCATAATTATAACATTTTGGATGTAGGTGGTAATAGCAGCTGGGAAAATGAGTGTACTTCTGTAAAAAAAAGTTTTGAATTAAAACCGATGTGATTTTCCACTCATCTACTGTATTTTTTAAAAAAAATCTTTTTACAAATGCTCCAGGAGAAGTTTCTTAGTGGCCTCACTGTAATCAAGCCAATTGGTACTTGATCAGAAACATGCCCAGGCCCTGTAAAGGAAAAGTATATTCTGATTGAACAACCGAGGTCCTGAACACCACTGTTTTGGAAGCATTGCACGTGATGTTACGCTAATTTTGTGTGTGTCAGGAGCGACTTGAGAAACTGCAAGTCACTTCTGGTGTGAGATAATAGCCATCTGCAAGGACGCTGCCCAGGGGGTGTCTGGATATGTTACCATTCTTTGGGAAGCTTCTCTCATGTCCCTGCATGAGAAGCTGGAGCTGACAGGCAGGGGCTCACCCTGCTCCCCAGATTCAAACCACCGACCTTTCAGTAGCAGTCCTAATAATAGTAAGCTACATATAAGACTTCTAGTTCATTCCACTTGTCAGCATTTTCACTGCATTGAATTCAAATTTGCAGTATAATAGACATGTTGAATTCACCAGGTCTAAGTAAACACTCATACATAGGATAGTGCTCTAATATAGTATTTTGAATCTTAGGTGTTGGAAGAATCCATTGGGACTGAACCTGTTCTGAACAAAGATGAGCTGGATTCTCTCTTAGGAGAGGTAATAACATTCTTGAGACTTTATGACATAAAGCACAGGAATGCACCTTTAATTTGTTCTCATAAATTGCCTTTTTTCTGCTTATGAGCAAGTAGAAAAATAGAAATGCCTTTCTTTTTCTCTGCCATCTTCCAGAATACCTTTGATGGGATCTTGCACTGGGCCTTCCACAACATGACACGTCCAATCTCTGACAACCAAGGATTCTCATAGGACTGTGCATCTGGTCTTCTTTTGCTCTCCTTTTTCTCCATCCGATACACTAGCATCCAATGTGGTCTCTATTACTGTGACAATTATTCAGTTAAACTAATGCTTCAGTGCTTTCCGATTTGAACAGACTTACTCTCTCTTCAATAAACGTATGAAGAAATATTGATTTATAAGATACTCAAGTTTTTTCTCTCATAGAAACATCAGCAAGAATTTCCAGAAGCAAAACACTTTTTAATATTTAGATTTATTTATTCAAATAGACTTACATTTGTAAATGTTTGTTGCATACAGTACAATACTCTCCAGCTATTAATGTTCCAAAATAATTTCTCAGATAATGTGTTTTCTGTAAAGGGTCACAGCCTTCTATTTAAATAGTACATATAAAGGTATCATAGGCTCTAATTTAATATCTGCTTCCTCTTTGTCTACAGTCTTATAGAATCCTCTATATACATTTTAGATTAATTTTACATTGAGATGTGAATTTTGGTTGCCATTCATTAATAAAGTTCTCTAATAGTCCTCCTCTTAATAGTACAGTAATTTATCCATTATCAGCAAATCTGTAATGTATTTTTCCCATTCTTCTAAGGGAGGTATCTCCGAGGTTTTCCAATATCTAGCATATACTATTCGAGCTACCACTGTCATATAAAACAATTTTTCCGAATTTCCTTTCTAATTCTTCATAAGACATATTCAAAAGGTACATTTGTGATGTCATTTTGAAATTTGTGTTTAACACCTTTTTGAGATATACATAAATCTGTTCCCAGTAGTTAATTGGTTGCAAGTCCACAATGTGTGATAAAATGTGCCTTTTTCTTTCCCATATTTCCAACATTTGTCGGTGCAATTGTCCATCTTGGCTACTCTCTCTGGAGAGATACCATTGCAGGTGCATTTTGTAAACACTTTCTTTTAGGTTTTGACATGCAGTGTATTTCATTCATCTCTTCCATGTTTTTTCCCTTGGGCCATTTTTATCTCTTGGCCTATGTTTTGAGCCCATCTAACCATCGAGTCTTTTATGTCCTCTTCCGTGTGCCAAGTCGGTAGATTTTTGTATATATATGATGCTAGCTGTCTCCTGTCATTCATTGCTGTGATCTCGAAAATAAAGTAATGAGAAGGTGTTGATTTCTAATATGTATAATTTCTTTATGCTTGTGGATAAACAGTACTTTTTGTTGTTTCTTTGTCAGTATTGATGTAGAGATTGTCTGGTTTGCCTACTCTGGAACATATTATTGTCCTTCTTTAGGGGTCCCTTTCAAACCTATGATACATACTATATCTGTGTGTGTGAATCATATATATCTATATCTATGGCTGGATGGCTCTTTGTCAGGAGGGCTTTGTTTTCGTTTTCTTGCCCTGGTGAAGGGAGTTGGACTGGATGGCCTTAAGTATTTTCTGTTGGTCAAGGGGGTTCTGTGTGGGAAGTTTGCCCCGAGTCTGTCGTTTGTGGGGTTCAGAATGCTCTTTGATTGTAGGTGAACTGTGAATCCCAGTGACTACAACTCCCAAATGTCAAGGTCTATTTCTCCCAAACCCCATCTGTGTTCATATTTGGGCATATTGAGTGCTTGTGCCAAGTTTGGTCCAGATCCATCACTGTTTGAGTCCACAGTGCTCTCTGGATGTAGGTGAACTACAACTCCAAAACTCAAGGTCAATGCCCACCAAACCCTTCTAGTGTTTTCTGTTGGTCGTGGAAGTCCTGTGTGCCACATTTGGTTCAACTCCATCATTGGTGGAGTTCAGAATGCTCTTTGATTGTAGGTTAACTATAAATCCCAGCAACTACAACTCCCAAATTTTATTTATTTATTACATACATTTCCATCCCGCCCTCCTCCCCACAAGGGGACAAAATCAATCCCCCAGACCCCACCAGTATTCAAATTTGGACATATCAGGTATTTGTGCCAAATTTGGTCCAGTGAATGAAAATACATCCTGCAGATTAGGTATTTGCATGATGATTTTTTTGAGTGGTCACTCCTTGGATTAGTAGGTGTCTTGTGGCCAAATTTGGCGGCAATTCGTCCAGTTGTTTTTGAGTTATGTTAATCCCACAAATGAACATTACATTTTTATTTATATAGATAAGTCTTTTTGGTTTCTGGAACATCGCCACATCAAACCATGTTTTCGCATTTTGGAAGCCCAAGGTTCTAAGATGTTCTTTAAATTTCTCACGCAGCTGTCTATATAGAAGCCAATTGCATTTAAGGCCCATTTGGTTCAATTCTTCTAGAGGTTTCATTTCTGGGTTTTCTAAATAAGTCGGTCAGGATCAGCTCCCTGTAAGTTAACCATTTCCCTTGTAGGATGTTCTCCCTTTTGTAGTATGCCTCATGCCACTTCGGTATCTTTGTGTAAATTATTTTTTTATATCTATTCCAAGTGCTTAGAATTGGTCTCTGCATATAATGGTCATTAAATATGCCTGTTGGTTTGGTCTTCTGTATGTCCAAATATGCATGCCTATCCAAATGCAAGATTTATGCCTTCTAAATCTTGTAGCTCATTGTCTTCCAGAAGCAAAGCACTTTAAACATTTTCCTGGACACATTTCCCATTCAACAGGCACTCGTACTGAGTTATTCAACCTGCCCCAGCAAGGTCTGATCAACACTTTCTCTATTCTCCACATTAAAATATTGTAATTAGCAATTTTTAGAGAGGCATGTTAGTCGATTTCAGAATTAGAAGGGGAGGCGAAAGGACCTTCTGGTGGATTTAGTGTGTATTTTTGTGGCTTACACTCCATTTCCTCAGATGCACTAAGAAGTTCATAGGCTCCATTGATAAAATGTGGAGCAGGTGGTCTGAAATTAAAAAGTGGGATCTAAGACATAAGAGGATCTGTCATACAAAAATGAGTAATTACTATATTTTATTATCTCCTTCACATTTTCTAAAAACAGCCGGTTAGTCACATCATTCATTTGTGAATGCTATAGAAACACATGTTCCTAAGCTGAGGTAACAAACCAGTTTTGCAGAAACAAATAATTCTGTAATGATTCTAGCCCTCAAAGATCCTATTTATTTTTTCAGAAATTTCTTGAATTTCGTTATAGTTTATGATGTCTTGCTGTGCACCTTGTGGGGTTGATTTTGAGTCATTCTGTGCATCCCCCGATGGTCTTTCATGTATTCTGAGATGAAGTGGTGATTCTCTTGTAGTCATATTGTCACATTCAGACATCAAAGCTGGACAAAATAGAGTTGGTGCCAATTCCATTGTTTTCCTTGAGTAAACTTTCACACGATCACAATGATTTCTAAATCTATATGGTTTATAACTGAAAGTTAAAGCTAATCTAACAAAGAGTTTTAAATCCAGTACGTATTTTATGTCACAAAATTACCTAGTTTTGGAAGGCTTTAAAACTGCAAAGCCTAGTTATCCATCTCAGCATCTTCTAATCTGAGTTAGCAATCTGACTCAATCAATGGTAAAATACTATATGATCCAGCTACTTAGTTGCAGTGCAACACTCCTGGAATCATAGAATCGAAAGAGACCTCATGGGCCATCCAGTCCAACCTCCTGCCAAGAAGCAGGAAAATTGAGTTCAAAGCACCCCTGACAGATGGCCATCCAGACGCTGTTTAAATGCTTCAAAAGAAGGAGCCTCTACCACACTCTGGGGCAGAGGGTTCCACTGCTGAACGGCTCTCACAGTCAGGAAGTTCTTCCTAATGTTCAGATGGAATCTCCTTTCTTGTAGTTTGAAGCCATTGTTCCGCATCCTAGTCTCCAGGGCAGCAGAAAACAAGTTCGCTCCCTCCTCCCTATGACTTCCTCTCACATATTTATACATGGCTATCATGTCTCCTCTCAGCCTTCTCTTCTGCAGGCTAAACATGCCCAGCTCTTTAAGCCGCTCCTCATAGAGCTTGTTCTCCAGACCCTTGATCATTTTAGTCGCCTTCCTCTGGACACACTCCACCTTGTCAATATCTCCTGAGAATAGCTTTAAAATATAACTAAAGAGAAGGAAGAATTAAACAATCTCTGTATGAAAACAATTATGAAGATAGGTTCTTGTGGGTTTTTTCGGGCTATAGAGCCATGTTCTAGAGGCATTTCTCCTGACGTTTCGCCTGCATCTATGGCAAGCATCCTCAGAGGTTGAGAAGGTCTGTTGGAAGTAGGAAAAATGGGTTATATATCTGTGGAATGGCTGGGGTGGGGCAAGGAGCTCTTCCCTGCTGCAGTTAGGTGTGAATGTTTAGCTGATCACCTTCATTAGCATTTGAAGGCCTGCCTGAGTCTGGGAAAATCTGTTGCTGGGAGGTGTTAATCTGTGCCTGGTTTTTTCCCCTCTGTTGTTTAGCTGTTATAATTTTTGAGTTTTTTAATACTGGTAGCCAGATTTTGTTCATTTTCATGGTCTCTTCCTTTCTGTTGAAAACATTCACACCTAACTGCAGCAGGGAAGAGCTCCTTGCCCCACCCCAGCCATTCCACAGATATATAAACCCATTTTTCCTACTTCCAACAGCCCTTCTCAACCTCTGAGGATGCTTGCCATAGATGCAGGCGAAACGTCAGGAGAAATGCCTCTAGAACATGGCTCTATAGCCCGAAAAAACCCACAAGAACCTAATTCAAAATTTACTGGGTAACAATAGCCCGAAAAAAACCCACAAGAACCTAGTGATTCCAGCCATGAAAGCCTTCGACAATACAATTATGAAGATGGTCACAATTTCTCCAAAATGGGTACCATAGCATAGATATGATATGTATCCTTATTATTAACTGTTTTACTTTTGGTGTATAGTGGCCTTTTGCTCTTTGTATTTCAGGGAATCCTTTCCCCCAAAAATGGGTTTCAACATCATTTCATGCAAAAGTTAGATGGTTTTAAAGAAAAGGTGGTAAGGGAAACATATTTCCTTAAGGTTGTGGCTCTTCAGGGACTCGAGTTTTCATCATCTTCTCTACTGATGTTTTCAGTGTAAGAGACTGTTGGTAAATGCCAGTCATTTGTCGCTTCACATCAGACATATCCAGGGCTTGCTTTAGGTCATTCATTGTGTCCTGGAGCCTGGTTATGTAATCCAATAATTGTTTTTGTGTTCTGTGCAGGCTATTTGGGATGTCAGTTCTTTGGTTTGAAGCTGGAGGAAAGAGATAGGAAGACAAGAACATTGAGCAAGTATTTATACACAGACTCTTGCCAATTTGAGGCAAATTGTAACATGAAGCCTGCAGACCCCCACATTTGGGGGTGAAGCAATGGTTCATCTGGGGCTCTATGGGGGGCCTTCCATGGGAATAACTAATAATTTCCCCAAGGTCTACTTTAGCTGTGAAAGGGCCTTTAGTAAGACAAGTAATACACCGTCTCTCCCTAGAGACGTTCCCATTCCACCTGCCATTCACATAACATATTGGAGCAAGGTATTGTTTTGCTATGCCATCCTCTTTTGCTTCCTCAGGAGCATGAAATTCAAATGCAAATCATATCAACACAACAGGCACCAGTCAAAGCCCACTACACAATATATCCACAGGGTGTGTGATGCTATTCAATTATGAGACATCTCCAATGTGATTCTTTGAAGAAAGGGTTCCAACAGACTCTTGCTAGTTCTACCAGGTATGGCTAGTGGGAAATATTGCAGTATTATGCAAGGCTGCAAATCTAGGGCTCTGGCTATTGAAAGGGATGGGGATGAAGAAGTTGTTGTGTACTAGATTCTCACCAGAAGTGGCTGCTGAGATTGAGTCAGAAAACAGGCTGTCAACCGATTGGGAAGCAATTGTTTCACAAGCCCTATCCAGTCTGGGTGGCTCTTCTACTGCTGCAACAATAATACCTTTGGATCCAGATGGTTGTTGCAACAGAATATCAGCATCCCCTGATGGTGATCCAGGTGCTGTTGATGCTGTGGCCTGGTCCAGACCGTCAACATCTAGGGTAGAAATCGGGAAGAGAACTTGTTAGCAGGTTTTAATTAGTAAGGATCCTTTTTTTGACAGCCCAGGATGATCCTTGTGTACCTGCAGTTGCAGCCACGGTATCTGGGGAGTAAGAGAAAGGCATAGGATGATCATAGACATAGCAAGATCACCGTACACTCCTGCAGTCCTGTCCCATCCACAAGCCTTCCACCAAAGTTCCTTCACATACAACCTTTTCCAAATCTCCCTGGCATATATGCCAGGAGCCACCACAGGCTCACTTTGCTATCTGCACTCAAAAGGTATAGAATTGCCTCCTCAGAAGTGTAATTGTGGTATCTTGCTGCTGATCTAATGTATTTTTATTGTATAGTCAAGGAAAGTGACCCCCCCCCCCCTTTTCCATACAAGTGTATCACTCCTGCAGGATGCTGTGAGTTTGCGTCACAATAAACTGCAAATCTATCTGGTTTTGGGGCAGAAATGTCTCTGACTGTTGGGCAGTCAGAAGGATTAAATTGTGTTGAGGCATTGTCTGTAGAAGAAGAGATGGACAGTGAACCAGCCTTAGAGATAGGAGAAAAATTGGGGAGCAGCTGCTGACAGAGATCTAAACAGGCTGTTTTTGGACTGCAATGAAGACTACAGGACAAATTCTGGAGAGCTTCTATAAATCTCAGTTAAACACAACCCTATTATCAAGCTCTTGACTTTCACCAGATGGCGGTGGAGTGTCACAAGGGAGCTGGTTATTGCAGAACTCTACACAACCTCAAAGACTGTTGTGCCCAATACAAACATTTTGCCTGTTAACAAAAAGCCCTGCTTTTCAGAAGACCCCCAAAAGCCATGATTCACCTTTTAAGCCTCCACTCCAGCACTACATAGCAACTTTCTAAAAATACTGTATATATCCATACAGTCTAAGTCTACAAATTTTAGTCAAAAATGACCATAAAAATCTGGGTTGAATTACCCATGGATCAATATAATTCTATCTTATGTCCTAGCAAAAACAGAACCTTTTAATAATAATAATAATAATAATAATAATAATAATAATAATAATAATAACCTTTATTTATACTCTGCCACCATTTCCCCAAATGGGACTCGTGTGGCTCACATGAGGCTAAGCCCGATAATACAGTTACAATAAAATAAATACAAAACAGCAAAAATAACAACGCAATAAAATAAGGCAAATAACATAAGTGAACATAAGAACAAAACAGAGCAGTTTCTGAGTGATGAAAGGTTAGAGCTCAATCTATTCTGTCTGAACCTAAAAGAAGCATTGGGCCATTCTACTATCTTAGGTTTGGCACTGGACATGATTTTGCCTGGGAGAGAAAATAATGGCAACTATTAGGGATAGCTGGCCCTTGAGGCTGTGCTGGCATTTCCCTGTCTCTGAGGGACAACCCTTAACTTATGCATGGATCATATCAAAATCCATACATTTGGCCCCAAAGATTTTCCTCTACTTATACGTGAGTACACATAGTACCTTTTTTTCCAAATCTGGGGAAACAGATGCCCTTCTTAACATCTCCAGATTTATTTCTCATGTTTAGTCCATTCCAGGGACACAGACTTACTGAAGTCATTGAAGTACACTTCCTATTATGGGGCTGCCTGCCAATGTGTACATATGTCCATCTAGATAGTGTTCAAACCACCCACCCATCCATTCATGTGTACCAAAGTTTTTCCTCACCTGATGGCTGGACCCGAGATGCCTGATGAACTGGAGCCTTTCCCTATCAGATGAAAGAAGACATAAGTGATTCCACTTGATTCTGTAAGCTGTAGTTTAGCTACAAAGAAAGGCAGAACTTCAACATTTCCACAAGTTTTTGCTATTGTGGCAATCATTTTCATTTTGCTAATCGAAAATGCAAGTTTTCAAATTTTTCTAGAGAGCTCCTATTGCTACTAATTAGAAGATGCTACAAAACTATTTTTCTCCATTTCAGTATTCTGTGCAAAGAGTAGGGACTTTCACTTGCAAAAGGCTCCTCCTGGGTTTATTTCTTCCCCACATTAGTCAAAGATAGGTCTTCAAGTTGCACTCGCAGAGCTCAGGCAGTGTTGTATTTCAGTATCAATGTTGACTTTTGTGGAGAGGTGGCTATCAAGGTAGTGGAAATGGTCAACATTTTCCAATGTTACACTATTAAGCTGTATTTCTGGCATTGCAGAGGGATTGGCTGGTGACTCCTGGAAGAGCACTTTGGTTTTCTTGATGTTCAATGAGCGCTGCGAGTGCAGCATTTTTCTGAATGAAACAGAGAATGTTTGAGGACTGGGACATCCATAGGGATACCAAGGTGCTTGTTTATAAAGTTATTGTCCTCCCAATCCTGTGATACGCCTGTGAAACATGGACTGTCAACAGACATCACACTCAACTCCTGGAATGAGTCTTTTGGGAAGACAAGTGGACAAATGTCAGCGTGCTGGAAGAAGCAAACACCACCAGCACTGAAGTGATGCTCCCACACCATCAACTCCACTGGACTGGCTACGCTGTCCAATCACCGCCTCCCAAAGCAGTTACCATACTCCCAACTCAAGAATGGAAAACTGAAAGTTGGTGAACAGGAAAAGAGATTTAAAGATGGGCTTAAAGCCAACCTTAAAAACTGTGGCATAGACACTGAGAACTAGGAAATCTTGGCCCTTGAGCACTCTAACTGGAGATCAGCTGTGACCATCAGTGCTGTGGAATTTGAAGAGGCACTAATGGATAGCAAAAGGGAAAAAACATGCAAAGAGGAACCCTGACTGCCTTCCATCTGGAAACCGATGCCTTCACTGTGGAAAAATATTCGGGTCAAGAATAGGGCTCCACAGTCACCTATGTATCCACCACTAAGACACTACACTTGGAAGGCCATCATACTTGGACAACGAGTGATTGTCTAAGTAAGTAAGTATGTCTTCATGAATTACAAACACAAAAGATTGGAGAAAAGAGTTGTCAGTCATATTATTCATGCAATTTAAAACCACTCCACAAACATAATGTGAGGGAAGCAGTACAGAGGATCTACTGGTTTTTCTGTAGCAACACTTAGGTCAAAGAGAAGGAAAGCCTGGTCAGCCAGTGATTATGTGAAATATAGTTCTCCCTCCATTTTTGTGGTTTGAACTTTAGCAGATTTCATGAGATAATGTATCTCTGGGAATCTCTAGGTCCTCCAGCACAACATTGGGGTCAACTTTTGCCAGAAGCTGATCACAGAGTCTCACTGAAGGGCCTTGAGATTCCTGTATTTACCATATTAATCGAAGCTGTGAATAATCAGATTTGCAAAAGTTAAACTCACATGCATGAAGGGCTCACTGTATTAGGATAGTACATGTGCTGATACATGTAAAGATAAAGGAGTAATTAGAAATAATAATAATAATAATAATATTTTATTTATACCCCGCTACCATCTCCCCAAGGGACTTGGTGCGGCTTACATGAGGCCGAACCCACAATACACCAATAATAAAACAACAAGTAATAAAAAACAATAAAAATAAAACTCCTAACAGAAAATAAGCAATAAACATTAACAGTAACACAACGATGCTTAAAAACCTATGGCTGGGCCAAATGTAATAATTAAAATTTTAAAATAATGCTGAGCATGAACAGGTGAAATATGACTGGATAGAGTTTTCAGAGAGGGATGGGCGTTGAGACACTCCTAGATCACTAACAAAGTGCATTTAGAGGGCATATTGCTGGGAGTTTCCTTATTCTGGGAAGGCACACTGGAACAACCATGTTTTCAGGCTCCTCCTAAAGACTGCCAGAGTTGGGGCATGCCTGATGTCCTTGGGGAGTGAGTTCCAGAGTCGAGGGGCCACCACCGAGAAGGCCCTCCCCTCATTGCCACCAATCGCGCAACTATAAGAAATATACATGGAATCATTACCTTTCCTTTTCTGAAGTGTGGTAGTTTAGGAAGTTTTCCTGCCTGAAAGAAAGACCATGTTTATTAGACTTATTCCAAAATACAATGAAAATTTGAGGAATTAAAGAAGCTATATTGATTATTTTCTATAAAGACATATTCAGATTCCTCCACAAAATGCACATATAGCCTTTAACTAACGCATATAAGCATAACTTAGTAAACAAAGCCTCTGATATTGAAGTATTGTTTTAAAATTGTTATGCAGTCTCGCAATTTATCCCGTATCCTCTTCCTATGGTGACAGCGCTGCACTTCTCCCATTCCCAGTTTGATCACTTGCCCAATTGGTAATGAGTGCTGCTTTTAATTGAGTGTTAGTTGTTTTTTCCTGCTTACATGTTTTATTTAATTGTATTATTTTATTGTTTCCATTTTATGTTGTTTTTAGGTACCTTGTTCCGTGTATAAGACGCCCCTAGACCCTTCGGGGACTTTTGACTAATTACAAAGTATCAACTCAAGACTCGGCACTTTATGCTTTTAATATGTGCATTTGATTACGGAATGGCCTTAGACACTGATCCCTGGATGGCGCGTTTTAACACTGGAATGTATTTCAACTATGTTTAATATGTATTAATTTTACCTGCTATTCTCCAGAATGCAGTGGGTGAAAATCATAGATTTTATCCACCAAAATTGAAATCAAAAGAGAAGTGAGTCCTTATATACCAAAAAGCCAAGAAGCTGACATTTGGTATTTAAAAGGTTCAAAGGGATTTTGTTTACTTATGCAGGGTTTACCTGACCACATTAATTTCACATGCACATAATATTAGTGGGTTGCTGTGAGTTTTCCAGGCAGTATGGCCATATTCCAGAAGCATTATCTCCTGATGTTTCTGCCACATCTATGCCAGGCATCCTCGGAGGTTGTGAGGTATATTGTAAACTAGGCAAGGAAGGTTTATATATCTGTGGAAAGTCCAGGATGGGATTAAGAACTCTTGTCTGTTGGAAACAAGTCTAAATGTTGCAATTAATCACCTTGATTAACGTTGAAAAACCTTGCACCTGGCCGATTCCTGGATGGGGGAATCATTTTTGGGAGGTGTTAGCTGGCCCTGGTTGTTTTATGTCTGGAATTCACATTTTCAGAATGTTATTCTTTATTTACTATCCTGATATAGTGTTTTTAAAATATTGGTAGCCAGATTTTGTTCATTTTCATGGTTTCGTCCTTTCTGTTGAAATTGTCCACATGCTTGTGGATTTCAGTGGCTTCTCTGTGTAGTCTAACAAAGTAGTTGTTAGAGTGGTCCTGCATTTCTGTGTTCTTAAATAATGTGCTGTGTCCAGGTTGGTTCATCAAGTTAGTCTGCAGTGCCTTTCATGTTTCTTGATTCATGTTTGGGCGCTGGGTGGAGGAAAAGTGTTCTTATCACACATCAAGGGAAGCACTGCCCACATAGGGAAGCTGATGAAGAAACACAGCCTACAAACTATCTATAGACCCACTAAGACAATCCAACAAATGCTATGTTCAGCAAAGGATAAGATCCTCTCACCTCTGCAGGAGTCTATCGTATACAACTGTGGACAAGTCTACATAAGGACCACCGAATGTAGCATTGGCCAAACACGAATCAAATATCATGAAAGACACTGCAAACTAATTCAACCAGAGAAGTCAGCGTAGCAGAAAACCTGATAAACCAACCTGGACACAGCATATTATTTGAGAACACAGAAATGCTGGACCACTCTAACAACCAAACTACACAGAGAAGCCATTGAAATCCACAAGCATGTGTGCAATTTCAGCAAAAAAAAAAAGGGAAATCATGAACATGATCAAAACCTGGCTACCAGTAATTTAAAAAAAATTCTAAAATCATGACAGTAAATAAAAAATAACACTCTGAAAACAGGGGAATTCCAGACATAAAACAATCAGGGCCAGCTAACACCTCCCAACAAAAGATTCCCCCAGGCAGGAATTGGCCAGGCCTTGAAGGTGCAAGGCTTTTCAATGCTAATCAAGGGGATTAGCTGCAACATTAACACTTGTTTCCAACAGACAAGAGTTCTTTCTTCAACCCTGGACATTCCGCAGATATATAAACCTCCCTTGCCTAGTTTCAAATATACCTCAAATCTCTGAGGATGCCTGCCATAGATGTGGGCAAAATGTCAGGAGGAAATGCTTCTAGAACCTAGTCATACAGCCCAGAAAACTCACAACAACCCAGTGATTACAGCCATGAAAGCCTTCAACAACACATTGAACACATAATATTAGGTCAAATTATAAAGTCCTCTAGGTTTGGGTAAGAGATTGAGCAAAATTAGAAAAAGAAAAAATATTAAATCTAGAAGGGACAGAATTAAGAACAGGCTGGCACTCATATCTTTGATATGGGAAGGCCAAAACGGGAAAAAAATTGGCAACCATTTTATACGATCTTTCCTTCTGAAAGTGTAGCAAAACGTAAGAAAAACCTCTACGAAAAAAACACCGATGTGGATATCCCCTCTCGAGGCATCTCAAAGGAGGATATTAGGTTGGAATAACTGGCCAAATTATAAAGATATACTGAAAAGAGAGGAAGGAGAAATTAAGATGAAAACACAGCAAGAATTAAACAAAATAAACAAACGGATTTCATGGTATCAATATTGGCAGATAAAAGAGCATTTTAAGAAAGATAAAGAAATAGGATTTGAAGAACAGGAAAATTTCTGGGATAAAATCATGCAAACGGAGAGTAAATTAACATCAAAAATTTATTTTAAAAGTACTAGAATGGGCAAAAGGGAAAGAGGAAGAAAAATGATATATGAAAAGATGGAAAGAAAACATAGGGAGAACCATCAAAAAAGAGGAATGGGAGGAGCTATGGAACAAGAAATTAAAATATACCTGTGCAATGGAATTAAAAGAAAACTGGTTTAAAATGGCCCACAGATGGTATATGACCCCACACAAACTAGGGAAATATTACAAACATGTCAACTCAAAATGTTGGAAATGTGGAGATAGCAAAGGAACATATTACCATCTATGGAGGACACGTAAAAAAGCAACACAGTATTGAAAGAAGAAAAATGAAAATACTCATTTAAAGAAGAGACAGTGAAAGATGATACAAAAAGAGGGAGAAGAGAAAACCGAAAAAGAAGGAAAAGGGAAAAAAAACCTCATAGAAGATACCGGGAAGTCAAGAATTCTACACCTTTATCTATTTCTTTTTAAATCTTTCTATCTATATAGCTCTTTACTCATTATTAAGTATCCTTTCTATTATCCTTCACTGCCCACCCTTCCTCTTTCAGATTACCTATCCCTGCCCGCCCCCCCCTCGCTACTGACTGATTCTAAATCTTTCTGTTATTATTCTATACTTCTATCCTTAACTATTCTATATCTATACTGTCGATCAAAAGTTATTTGATATTTTAGCACATTAATATACTTTGTTTTGGATCAAATAAAGATTGTTTTTTAAAAATTATAAAGTCCTCTGAAATAGGTTGAATGACTCTTTTGTATTGTGCTGTATGAATCTCTCTCTCTTCTTTGTATGTTACCTGTATTTCTGTCTCTGGTATCAAATTTGCTTTTTAAAAGAAGTAATTCTCCAATTTACCTGGTGTACACCTGCATAATAATGACTTGTCGATTTCTATAAAACTTAGTATAGCTATATTACATTCCTATTCAGAATAAATCCAATTGCTAGCTCACTGGGAAAAGAGCCAGTGAATTAATAATAAAGTGGTAAGTCATTTCTGTCATTGGGACTATGAAATTTTAGCCTAGTGACAAAAACTACATAGAAATATTATGAAGCAGCAGAACATTAATTTTCAAAGGCTTCCACTAAAAACTTGCTATTCCTGCAGGAAAAAGAGTTGGGGTGCAGAAGCTGATATTAAAGTGCAGAGACCCTGAATCTAGGTATTATAAATGAACTACATACCTTTATTAATGTTTTTAACATTTGTTTACAACAACAACAACGAATAGAATTCTTCCAGTTTTTTGATCTCCCATATCCTCCTTGTACTTCAAATTCTGACAGTGTGTAACATTTTTCATTAGGATCCCCTGTCTTCCGAACCATGATACATTTCTCACGAACACCTGTAACAAACATATGTTTCTTGCATTCAGCAAAGCTCAACAGTAAGACCCCTTCCACACAGCTGTATAAAATCCTCATTGAACTGGATTATGTGGAAGTATGGACTCAGATAACCCAGTTCAAAGCAGATATTATGGACTATCTGCCTCGATATTCTGGGTTATATGGCTGTGTGGAAGGACCCTAAGAGAAAGATTCTCTGTCATCCGCACAGCCATATAACCCAGAATATCATGGCAGAAGATCTCATGTGTCTTCATGCTTTCCTTCTTTTTTGTTGAAATGGTTGCAAGTTATTGAATAAGTTATCTTTGATTATACTAGATAATTTGTTCATTTCTGCCATTTCAAACATCTTTAACATCCAGATTTCTTTTAAAGATAAGTCTGTATTCTTCTATTGTTATCTGCATTGGTATTAAATAACTTGAAGAGATGTCTTTATACTATTCAAAAACAATAGTTACCTTTTTTCATTTCTTCTTTAAACAAAACACCTTGAGTTCTTCCGCAGTACACATTCAGTGTGGGTCTTAAGGCATCGCAATGATACTTGGTTTGTACCCTTTTTCCTACATGAAATTAACAATTTGAAAGAATTGGTTAAAGTTGCTGTATCTTAGCTTCCTAGAAAATGACAACCATTTCATTTAATCTCAGGCTTGGCTAGAATAAATTTGATGAGGGATACACTATTTCAAATCACTCAAGGATGAATGACAGCATTCACTTCTGGCAGAAAACAGGAGAGATGTCTCAAGCTACATGCCTGTCTTTTTATGATTATACTAGATGCTCCCCAGTTTTCACTTTCTCTCTTTTCACTTTTAGGAAGACTGGGAGAGGATTGGAGAAATGATTGCCTGTAAACCTTAAAAATTGATGATCAGTTATTCCAATGTTTATTACTACAGTTCTAGAACAAGAGTGATAGACTAAAGTACAAATTAAACAGTGACAAGAATAAGCAATGAAAGGGTTGATTACAAAAAGGTTGTGATGGTCTGTAGCTTTGCATTATCTTTATTTTTCTGAATACACACAGTTTACTCAATGACACAAGATCATTATTTTTACCTTTTTTAGTGCATGCAGTTTTCCGATTGGCAGCTAACATTCTTTGGGACCTCCAGTTTCTCCTTTTCTTTCTCTTACCACCACGTGCTCTTCCTTAGAAAAACGATAACTGAAATTATTGTTTCAAATGTTTAAAAGCAATGCTTTTAAAAACGCGAGAGTCTTCTTCCAGGGGCAAACCAAGAATGAGCAACTTGGAAGTCCCTGAATAGACTCAGAAGCGGAGTGGGCAGATCAAAAGACAACCTGGCAAAATGGCACTACCTAAAAGAATCCCAAACCTTGTGTGACTGTGGAGCAGAACAGACAACTCCACATCTGTATGCTTGTCCACTGTGCCCTGCCTCATGTACAGAGGAAGAATTGTTGGAGGCTACAGACAATGCCTTTGCTGTTGCCCATTTTTGGTCAAAAGATATTTAGCCACCTGCGCGCCTTCTATTTTTATCAGTTTTATACTAATTTATGCAATGCTTTTGATACGAAATAAAAATAAATAAATAACTGAAATTATATCCATTTATTTGTAGTTTCTCCTTCAGTTTATATTTTGATGCATAACACCCAGGTATACCACATAAAGCAATGCATCTGATCTTCACAGCCCTGTCAAACCTGCATAAGTGTCCCTTACACTAATGGGTCCCCCTTTCTGGGCAGTGTGGGGATTGGTATCCTCAGTATAAACTGTCTGACCTTATCATTGTTCCCATTCCATATGTCGCCCACATAACATATCGATGCAAGGTATTGTTTTGTTATGCCATTCCCTTTTGCTCCCTCAGGATCTCATCAAATCAAAATTCAAATCACAATGATACAGCAGACATCCGTCAAGGCTAAATGCACAATATATTCACACACAGTGTGCAACTCTATACAATAATGAGATTTCCAGTGTGGTTCTTTGCAAAGAGGACCTGGGGTCTTCTGTGCTGATTCCAACAGGCTCCTATTTGTTCTACCAGGTAAGGTTAGTGCCTGTTCTCACTGCCTATTGTTATTTTTATGGTCATTTTAAAGCTAATTGTATTGTTTTAATCTGTTTCTGTAAACCGCTCCAAGCCAAATTGGGAGTAGCGGTATACAAATTGAATAAATAAATAAATAAAATGTTGCAGTATTATGCTAGCCTGCAGATCTGGGGTTCTAGATATTGGAAGGGACTGAGATGAAGAAGCTGTGCAATGTGTGGCTTGTACTAAACTCTTGCCAGAAGTGGAAGCTGGGGCTCAAGATGTTAGGAGTGTGTTAGAAAACAGACTGCCAACAGATTGGGAAGCAGTTGTCTCATAAACCCTATCCAGATTCTGTGGTTCTTCTGCTGCTGCAACCACGATACCTTTGGATCCAGATGGTTGTTGTGATACAATGTCAGCATCCCCTGATGGTGATCCAGAAGCTGTGGCCTGGTCTAGGCAGTCAACATATATGACATCTAGGGTAGAAATCAGGGGAAGAGAACTTATTAGCAAGTTTTAATTAATAAGGATCCTTTTTGGCAGCCCAGGAGGATCCTTGTGTCCCCACAGTTGCAGCCTCAGTATCTGGGGAGTAAGAGAAGAGGCATAGCAATACCACTGTACACTCCTGCAGTCCTGTACCATTCACAAGCCTTCCACCAAAGCTCCTTCACATACATCTCTTTCCAAATCTCCCTGACCTATATGTGACCATTTATCCCATTTCTGTTTGCCCCATCTATAGTTTTGCCCCTATGATGCACTTTCCCCCGCCCTAAACTGAAAGCCTTACCCCACTGTTTTATCCATCTTGGGCTCCCCTCACTCACATATTTTCTATTCCTACCTCATTCAGGGTTTTATCATTTTATCTCGTCCATTTGGCCTGCCCATCCTGTTCTATTTTATATTGTGTTAATTTGCTTTATTATTGTATATTGCTACTGTAATTATTTTCTGATGCAATTTTTGTTCTCTGCATTCTGTATTTTATTGTTCTCTGCATTCTGTATTTGAAGAAAACGGCACTCTCTAACTTGTATTTTTGGGCTTGGCTTCATGTTAGCTGCCCATTGGGGAGATGGTGGCTAGGTATAAATAAAGATGATAATAATGATGATGGTGATTATTATTATTATTATTGTTATTATTATTATTATTATTATTATTACTATTATTATTATTTGAAACACAAGATGAGTCCACAGCAGACAAGATCACTCTGCTGGCTGTTGTATTGGATTACGCCTCGGACACTTCCCAAGTGTCTAGGACTGTGTGATGTATCGGCGAATAATGCATGCAGATCCCAGTAAGGTGGCCTTCTGCAGCTGGCAGATGGTAATTTTGTCAGCGCCGATTGTGTTTAAGTGCAGGCCAAGGTCTTTAGGCACTGCACCCAGTGTGCCGATCACCACTGGGACCACCTTTACTGGCTTGTGCCAAAGTCTTTGCAGTTCGATCTTTAAATCCTCACATTGTGTCAGCTTTTCCAGTTGTTTCTCTTCAATCCTGCTGTCACCTGGGATTGCAACATCGACAATCCATACTTTGTTTTTTAACACGATTGTGAGGTCAGGAGTATTGTGCTCCAAAACTCTGTCTGTCTGAATTCGGAAGTCCCAGAGGAGTTTGACGTGTTCATTTTCTGTAACTTTTTCAGGCTTGTGATCCCACCAGTTCTTTATCACAGGCAGATGGTATTTGTGGCACAAGTTCCAATGAATCTCTGAGCAATGGTGTTATGCCTCTGCTTGTAGTCTGTCTGCGCAATCTTCTTGCAGCTGCTGAGGATGTGATCTATTGTTTCATCTGTTTCCTTGCAGAGTCTACATTTGGGATCTACATCTGGGACTTTTCAATTCTGGCTTTGATGGCATTGGTTCTAATGGCTTGTTCTTGGGCTGCCAGAATCAGGCCCTCCTTTGTCTCCTTTTTCAAAGTTCCATTTGTGAGCCACATCATCATCATCATCATCATCATCATTATTAGGAGTCACCACAGGCTCACTTTGCTATCTGCACTCAAAGGGCAATGAATGGTATCTATTTCTTTAAAAGTATAGTTGTGGTAGCTTGCTGTTGACCTAATGCATTTTTATTCAATGGTGAAAGAAAGTGACCCCCTTTTCCATACAAGTATATTGTTCCTGCCAGATGCTGTGAATTTGCATCATAACAAACTGCAGATCTATCTGATTGTTTGCCCAGACTGCACACTTCTTCTTCATTGAAATACCTCTAACTGTTGGATAGCCGAAAGGATGAATTTGTTTTAAAATATTGCTAGTCTACAGAGGAAGAGGTGGATAGTGAAGCAGCCTTAGGGAAAGGAAAATGTCTGGGGAGCAGCTGCTGGCAGAGATCTGATCAGGCTGTTGCTGGACCACAGTGAAGACTACAGGATAGATCCCAGAGAGCTGCTATACGACTCAGTTAAATAATATTATCAAGCTCTCGGCTTTCACCAGATGGCAGTGGAGTGTCATAGGGGAGCTGGCTATTGCAGAACCCTGTACAAAGTACAATCCCCAAAGGCTGCTGTGGCCAACACTAATTTTTGTACTGCTGACAAAAAAAGCAAAAGAACAACTAACTTCCCAGGAGCCATGATTCACATTTTAAATAGGTCACAGTCAGCACTGCAGAAGAACTTTTTTTTAAAGTGTCTATATGTTGGGAATCAGCTTGTGTTTGTGTTTCAGGATCCTGATGTGGGAAATGATGAGGGAAATGATGAGAGAAATGATGGTGCCAAGGCTGAGATATAAGATGGAGATTGTTTGGTAAATGGTTTTCATACAATGACAGAGAGGCCCCAGTGCAAAGGGCAGTTTCTCATGAGAATATCCTTGCTGGGCCTAGCAATGATGGTTCACTCCCTCTCTCTGTGAGCTCTCAAGATTTGGGTTTGGAAAACAATCCGACACCTGGGAATTTTAATGAGCAGCCAGATAGGGAGTTGAAGAATAGGTGGCTGGAGATCAGGCAGGATTGACAGCAAACACACTGTTTACGTTGCTCTGAAAGGCTTTGTCTGATAAGGAGCAAGTGTGGGGGAAAGCGAAAATAATTTCTGGGTTTTGGGATATAAGGTTTGATTCAAGGGAAAACCTGTTAGATCAGCCATTGTTTGGAAATCAAGTTCATGAGCCATGGAAATCCTGTTCAAGGGGTCTTGTTCCTGTGGAGTTTTTTAACCTTTTGGATTGACTTTGCATCCTGTTGATTCCTGTCTGGATAAACACTGTCTTGGATTGCTTTTATATCTTGTGTGGACATTGCTTTGTGTTACTGCCTTTTATGGACTTATTACTTTTTGGAACCTTCTTATTTTCTTACAAGCATTTATTTCTTCTGGCTATTTACTAAGCTTCAATAAAAGAAGATTTGTTTCTTCATTCTTCTTTTGGTGTGTTTTAAAGTCAGAGGGCTTTTTCCTGACCTAGAGTGCAACACTATACTCATGTATAAATCTGAAATTTTAGTCAAAAGTGGCCATAAAAACCTGGGTTGGCATATCCACAGATCAATGTAAGTACTTTATCTTTACTCTTAGCTAAAACACGCAATCCATACTAGGAATTTATTTATTTATTTATAGTATTTATATCCACTTTCTCTCAAAGGAGATTCAAAGCAGAAAACCTAAAAGAAACACCGACCTCTTCTACTATATCTCCAATATGGCACCTTTTCTGGCATTTTTGAACGCGTAGGCACTGGCCATTGCTGACCGGCCCCTGAGGGAGGTCCTGGCATTTCCTCTTCTATGAGGAAAAATCCCTCAACTTATGCACTGGTCATATCAACATCCATAAATTTGGCCACAATGCCTGCACTTAACTTATACTTGAGGTTGACTTATACACAGTATCTGTTTTCCAAATCTGGGGAAAACATTAACTTCTGGACACCTCCAGATTTATTTTCTCATGTTAACAGTTTAGTCTTAAAAATATAAGGTAGTGTTGGAATTGAAGAATCATAGAGTTGGAAGAGACCTCTTGGGCCATCCAGTCCAACCCTCTGCCAAGAAGCAGGAAAATTGCATTCAAAGCACCCTCAACAAATGGCCATCCAGCCTCTGTTTAAAAGTCTCCAAAGAAGGAATCTCCTCAACACTCCAGGCAGAGAGTTCCATTGCTGAACAACTCTCCTTACAGTTAAGTAGTTCTTCCTAATGTTCAGGGGGAATCTCCTTTCCTGTAGTTTGAAGCCATTGTTCCTTGTCCTAGTCTCCAGGGCAGCAGAAAACAAGGTTGCTCCCTCCTCCCTATGGCTTCCCCTCACATATTTAAACATGGCCCTCATCATGTCTCCTCTCAGCCTTCTCTTCTTCAGGCTAAACATGCCAAGCTTTTAAGGCAGCTCCTCATAGGGATTGTTCTCCAGATGTTTGATCATTTTAGTGGCTCTTCTCCAGATACATTCTGGCTTGTCAACATCTCCCTTCAATTGCGGTGCCCAGAATTGGACACAGTCTTCCAGGTGTGGTTTTTTATTTAAGGAAATGAAGCTTTATATTACAATTAAAAAGAAGACACTTTCAAACACAATGGCAAAACAAGAATTATATTCAGACTTCCTCAACATATAACCAAATTCAATGGGTCTTTAGTGCCCTTTGATGGGCAAAACAGACTTTTTGTTTAAGCCACAGAAATATATCCAAAGTAGAATACTCTCATCAACATACAATCTATTGCTTGATTGGCAACAAGTTGGGACTATTGCAGTTATCTAATTTGGACAAGGGATTCTACTTTAATTCAGTTTCCACCTTAGCCAAAAATCAGTTCCTTCAAAGCACATTTTTTGTCTGAAAGTTCATTCAAGATCCTTCTGTGACATATAAGGCTTATGTAAGGTCTGAGATGGATACTATCATATATACAATGTATCTTATGTGTTCAAAGCAATATAAAAAATCTAGCATTTATTGAAGCTGCCATTATTAGTGTAATCAAAACACTTCTACTCCAAGTCCCTTCAGCCAAGCAGTCAAAGCCCTCCCAACAGACAGTCATCCAGCCACAGTTCAAAAACTTCCAGAGAAGGAGAATCCACTGGAAGAGACCCCCAAGGGGTATCTAGTCCAGCCCCCTTCAACTAGGCAGGAAGACACAGTCAAAGCACTCCTGGATGGCCATCCAGCCTCTGTGTAAAAAAACCTCCAGAGAGGTTAATTACTCTAGAAGTGGAGTGTTGATGCTGTTCAAGTGTCAATATTGTTATAATGTTTATAATTTGCACAATTTGTTGATTGACTTACAGTAATTACCACTAAAATGGATACATTTCTAATTAAGAAAAGAAAATCAGTTGATAATTATATCTATGACACAAGAATCAACTGTAGACCATAAGAAGTGTAACGGAAAGAAATCCAAACCTCACTTAAACAGTAAAGAGTATATGAAACATATATATTACATATATTTACCATCGCTCATAGCTTGATGCATTGTATTCAAATCTGGATTTTTCTCCTTCTCATTTATGTTTTCAAGCATGTTATATATCGGATTTCCAATACTGCCTGAATTTGAAGTCATTTCCTTTGCGTATTTCTAGAAGATACAGTACACATAATTTGTTTAATCTCAGCATTCAAGAATATCATACATTTATAATCAAGGTGAAGCTGTGGCGCAGCTGGCTGGGAGTCAGCTGCATTAAGATCACTACTGACCTAAAGGTCATGAGTTCGAAGCCAGCCTGAGTCGGAGTGAGCTTCTGACCATTTGTATAGCTTGCTGTCGACCTTTGCAGCCCGAAAGACAGTTGCATCTGTCAAGTAGGAAATTTAGGTACCGCTTATGAGGGAAGGCAAATTTAACTAACGTACGAGGCCATAAAAATCTCCAGCAAGCATGCAAAGAATGAGGAAGTACTTCATCAGTGTCACAAATGGTCGGCGAAGGGACAGCTCCCCTGGTGGTCAGAATATCCTCAAGAAAAGTTGGAATGTTAAATTGCCTCTGTGTCTGTCTATATATGTTGTGTGTCTATGGCATTGAATGTTTGCCATGTATATGTACATTGTAATCCACCCTGAGTCCCTATGGGGTGAGAAGGGCGGAATATAAATACTGTAAATAAATAAATAATAAAATAAAACAACAATTAAAAACAAAAAAAATCAGGGCCAGCTAAAACACCCCAACAAAGGATTCCCCCATGCAGCAACCTGCCAGACTTTGAAGCTGTAAGGCCATTCTGTGCTAATCAAGGTGGCCAATTGTAACATTCAAGCAGACAAAGAGTTCTTTCTCCCACGTTAGACAACATTCCACAGATTATATATATAAACCTCACTTGCCTAGTTTCCAACAGGCCTCACAACCTCTGAGGATGCCTGCCATAAATGTGAGTGAAACATCAGGAGAGAATGCTTCTGGAATATGGCCAGACAGCTCGGAAAACTTACAGCAACCTAATTCAACTATATTTCCAAAAGTGAAAAAACAACAAGTAAAAGAAGCCCAAACTGGAGGACATCCAGAAGAATAAACAATCATGCCGTAAAACACTCAAACTGAATTGTTATATTAGTAGAAATGCCTGATGTGATTCAGCCCCTATGTGTATTCAGAAGCCTATAGCCCAGGTCTGGGCCAACTTGGGCCCTCCAGGTGTTTTGGACTCCAACTCCCACCATTCCTAACAGCCTCAGGCCCCTTCCTTTCCCTTGCTGAAAAAGAAAGGGCCTGAGGCTGTTAGGAATGGTGGGAGTTGGAGTCCAAAACACTTGGAGGGCCCAAGTTAACCCATAACTGGTGTGGATGCTTCCTTAAACCACTAATCCTCGGTCCTCTATGGAAAATAACACTTACCCTCTGCCTCCACTTCTGTTTCAGCAAAAATCCAATGAGGACTTGATGCCACTTTACAGCCAGGTGGATAAAAGGACTGAAACGGGGGCTGCCTGACCGAGGATGTCTCTCCTGTCCTTTGGTTTCCTCCCTCAACGAAGAATTGAAACAGAAAGTATTCGGCTCTTCCTCTTTCGCCTGTAGAGTTGCTAGCCTGGTTCTTTTTGGCGAGGAGGAGGGGAGAGCAAGGTATTCTTATAGAAACAGGCACGTTTTTGAGAGAGGACTAGCACAGTGTTTGTCAGCCTGGGGGTCGAGCCCCTGGGGTGGGGTCATGAGGGGGTGTCAGAGGGGTCGCCAAAGACCAGCAGGAAACACAGTATTTTCTGTTGGTCGTGGGGTTTCTGTGTGGAAAGTTTTGCCCGATTCTCTCGTTGGTGAATGCTCTTTGATTGTAGGTGAACTATAAATCCCAGCAACTACAACTCCCAAATGCCAAGATCTGTTTTCCCCAAGTTTGGTCCAGATCCATCTTGCCAAGTTTAGTCCAGATCCATCATCGTTTGAGTCCACGGTGCCCTCTTGATGTAGGTGAACTACAACTCCAAAACTCAAGGTCAATGCCCACCAAACCCTTCCAGTATATTCTGTTGATCGTGGGAGTTCTTTGTGCCGTTTGGTTCAATTCCATCGTTGCTGGAGTTCAAAATGCTCTTTGATTGTAGGCAAACTATAAATTCCAGCAACTACAACTCCCAAATGCCAAGATCTGTTTTCCCCAAACCACCAGTGTTGACATTTGGGCACACTGAGTATTCGGGCCAAGTTTGGTCCAGATCCATCATTGTTTGAGTCCACAGTGGTCTCTGGATGTAGATGAACTACAACTCCATAATTCAAGGTCAATGCCCACCAACTCTTCCAGTATGTTCTGTTTGGTCGTGGGAGTTCTTTGTGCCAAGTTTGGTTCAATTCCATCATTGTTGGAGTTCAAAATGCTCTTTAATTGTAGGCAAACTATAAATCCCAGCAACTACAACTCCCAAATGACAAAATCAGCCCCCCCCAACCCCACCAGTATTCAAATTTGTGTGCATCAGGTATTTTTGCCAAATTTGGTCCAGTGAATGAAAATACATCCTGCATATCAGATATTTAAATGACAATTCATAACAATAACAAAATTACAGTTAAGTAGTAACAAGGAAAATAATGTTATGGTTAGGGGTCACCGCAATATGATCAACTGTAGTAAGGGGTTGCAGTGAAGGAGGCCTAAGCCTAAGTAATATTAAATATTAGAAGCTTTACATGAACCAAAATATTAGTACAGACGTCATGCAAAGTGAAAGGCTTCAGTTGCGTTAGAATGTTAAAAGTTGCTCTATTTCTCAGCTTACATAGGAAATTAGCTTGTGGTTAGGCACAGGGGTCTGCAGGGCTGTTCCGGTTCATATGTAGAAAACAGTATGTAGTTAGGGTTAGGGTTGTTATTCTCGAGTGTGTCGAGAATAACAGGAAGCCAGGTGCACAAAAGTACTTTCCATGACAAAAATAATGTGGCTTACCTAAGTGTATAAAACCTTGCTGAAATCAATAAGCAGGGGGCAGCTTCTTGCAAGGTACTGACCTGTGCATAGTACCTGCTGCTTGCTTTTGCACTTCTCCTGAGACTGGGTGTTTGTCTTTCTGCCTCCTGCGACCAGACCCAAAGTAGGGACCCTGAACTGGAGTCCCTAACAGCACATTGGGAAGGTTGAGAAACACTGGTCTAGTAGGATAGAGCAGGCATGGGCAAACTTCTGCCCTCCAGGTGTTTTGGACTTCAACTGCTCCTTTATACCTGAAAAATCACTTTTAGAAGTTGTTAAAAACTCTTCTCACAATCACTCTAATGAAGCCCCAGGGTATGAAAAAAACTACCAGTCGCTACTAATATTACTTCCTCTTCCTGCTCCTCTTCATATTGGGCGTGCCTGTTCTGTAGATTTAATAGTTTCACACTGTCTTAAGTGCCATGGCTCAATGCAGCTTGAAGTTGAATGTGGCATCAGCTCTCCTTCACCCCAGAAGATTAAAGAAAATTTAGGCCCCACCCTTCTACACTGCCACATAAAATCCAGATTATCTGCTTTGAACCGGATTATATGGCAGTGTATACTCTTGCTTTGATAATCTGCATTATGTGGCAGCATAGAAGGGGCCTTACTTGTACCTTTCAGCATTCCACATCATTGAGCTCTGGCAGTTAAAGTCTGGATATACACTGCCATATAATCCAGTTTCTGAATCCACATTATCTGCTTTGAACTGGATTATATGAGTCTACACTGTCATATAATCCAGTGCAAAGCAAATAACTTGGAGCCCTTCCACACATCCCTATATCCCAGAATATCAAGGCAGAAAATCCCACAATATTTGCTTTGAACTGGGTTATCTGAGTTCACAGACAATGTGGGATTTTCTGCCTTGATATTCTAGGATATAGGAATATAGGGATGTGTGGAAGGACCCTTGGATTCTAAACTGGTGTCTGTTGAAGCATGCAAGAAATCAGTGTGTGTGTGTCTACTGTAAAATAAGATGCATGAAGCTGATTGATCAGGCTATGCCTGGGGAGAAGGCTGAGCCTGGGACTTTTGGATGCTGTTAGGGTCACCCAAAATCTGAAATGACTTGAAGGTACACAAGAATAACAATGCTAATTAATTTTACTCTCTCATTGGTGAAAAGCAGGCCTACACTTCCCACTGAAATACTGGTAAGTTTATGTTGGTTGAAATTGTTCTTAATTTTAAATATTTTATTGTTCTTTCATACAAATAAGATATGTGCATTGTTTGTACGGATTGATTCATAGTCTGCCCCACAATAGTCTGAGGGATCATGAACCGGTCAACGGCTTTAAAAGTTTGAGGACCCATGTTTTAAGCGATAATTAAGAATTCTTAATTAATTATGAGTGTGCTTGCAGTTTTATGCAGACAATCTACAAGAAAGGAGATTCCATCTGAACATTAGGAAGAACTTCCTGACTGTAAGAGCTGTTCAGCAATGGTACTCTCTGCCCCAGAGAGTGGTAGAGGCTCCTTCTTTGGAGGCTTTTAAATAGGGGCTGGATGGCCATCTGTCGGGGGTGCTTTGAATGCTATTTTCCTGCTTCTTCACAGTGGGTTGGACTGGATGGCCCATGAGGTCTCTTCCAACTGGGTTGTTGTAGGTTTTTCCGGGCTATATGGCCATGTTCTAGAGGCATTTTCTCCTGACGTTTCGCCTGCATCTATGGCAAGCATCCTCAGAGGTAGTGAGGTCTGTTGGAAGTAGGAAAATGGGTCTATATATCTGTGGAATGATCAGGGTGGGACAAAGGACTTTTGTCTGCTGCAGCTAGGTGTGTATGTTTCAACTGACCACCTTGATTAGCATTTAATGGCTTGGAAGTACCTGGGGGGAATCTTTTGTTGAGAGTGATTTGATGTGCCTGATTGTTTACTCTCTGTTGTTTTGCTGTTGTAATTTTTGAGTTTTTTCTCTTCCAACTCTATGATTCTATGAATATCCAGCAGAGGGCAGTCCTATCCCGCTCCAAATCCAGACACAGACTGCTCAAAAATTAATGTTTTCCTGCTATTAATGTTGTATGCAGTTCTTATTTCCTGTAGCGGCTATATATTGTGATTTAAAATTATGAAGTTGTAACAAACACATCAGAACAAAGACGGCTTTTAGCACTCTGTGTTTCATTTTACATTTCTTTTGCTATTTCAGCAATGACAGCTGTGTTTACATATTAGTTTGGTATTCCTTCTGCGATTTTACTTTGGCATCCATTCAGCTTTTCACATTCACCAAAAAGCTTTAGCAAGTATACCGGTTATTTCCTACAGTAAATAAATGGTTGGCTCTTCATAGACTTGGCTTGCAAACAGGCTAACTTTTTTTCTGACTTTTTTTTTGTTCCAGGCTAAACCCCAGAGAAGGGAGGGAAGCACTGGCTCTGATTTTTTTAAGCACAACATTTTCTTTTTAACTATTCAATTGAAATCTGTTTCCTGGCGGCGCCTACCAACAATAGATTTTATTTTTCAAACACATTAAATAATTGAGTTGCAATCTCAAGACCATGTATTCACAAAAGTCCCATTGGACTCTAGGGAGATATTCCAGGGTTACCACACAAAGAGCACATATTAACCCTTATTTTGCTTTTATTGTGAGAAAGTAAGCTATCCACTTTCTTTCAAGCGCAATTCATGAATACCATTAATGTATGTTTTTTTAATCGATTATTTATTACTTATTTCACATAGATTCATAGTTTCTCGACACATTTGCTCAACACATTTGTACTCATTTGCACACTGCAGACGACACATATATCCCAACACACAGTTTGGACAGCTCTAAACTCTTGACATTCTCTAAATAGTACTATAGGAGCAGGAGGGCCTGGCTATTGTTAATCAGTGGTGAGTGACATGTATTTCCACATGTTTAGAGAGTGTATCCTTTGGTACATATTCCAGATAAGCCCTGCAGTAAAAACACATTCTGACTCAGTCTAGTTCCTTGTTTACTTTTCTCTTATGCTTCTATACTTCTCCATCTTACAATGTGTGGGGTGTTAGAATAGACCACGAGCTTTCCCTGTGTTTGCAGAACTGAGTTCAGACATATCCGGAGCATATTATTGCAACACCGGAACACTTCTGCACTTTTTGAACCTTTGTAGAGCAAAGAGCAGCTGTTCTGAAGAGTAGGGTAACATTAAGTCTAGTTGAATCCGGCTCTAGGGGTGGTGCTCATCTCCATTTCTAAGGCGAAGAGCTGGCATTGTCCTTAGACATCTCCCAAGTCATGTGGCCAGCATGACTGCAAGGAGCGCCATTACCTTCCTTCCAAAGTGGTACCTATTGATCTACTCACATTTGCATGTTTTCAAACGGCTAAGTTGATAGAATCTGGGGCTAATGATGGGAGCTCACCCCGCTCTGCGGATCATTCGGTCAGCAAGGTCAACAGATCAGCGGTTTAAACCGCTGTGACACCATGGAGTAAAGAATGGTACACATCTGGTAACGTATTTTTTTCTGTCTAGGTAAATTTTACATATTCCTGCAGAAGGTGGTGTGGAATTGTGAATCAACTTTAATTAAAGGGTGATTTCAATTGTGAGCAGGTCCCATCTGATATCTGAAAG